CTATAGAGTCCAGTGGAGTTTCATTTCAAGCGCAACGCTGGCCAGTGAGATAAATCACGATCTTACATCACCCACAATGTGGGCACCCAACGGTGAAATGGCCCGGCGGTGAAAGAACATGCTCCTGGCTAGCACACCTAGGCAAAACACTACAGATTGCGTGTGATGGAGTCGTTTGCGCTGGTGTCTTTGAGACTTGATCCTGGCATGCGTGACTCAAATCTGTTTCACTTAACCATGCTTTCATGGCACCCCCACTCCCTAGCTTGTCTTCTCCCTCACCATCCCATACGCTATACCATCTCTTTTTTTTAAAATTCCTAGGATTTCTAAAACTATCTCACTTGGTCTCGCACCATCTTGTCGTATATCCTACTACTTTTATCTCTGTGTACGCGGTACAGCCCTACTAACTCATAATGAATGAGAAAAAGGCTAAAAAGCTGGCTGTGGGGTGGGGGGTGGGGGGGGGGGGTCAAGTATTCATCTCCATATCTTGCTGCCGTTTATACACACGCTTTGGCGAGCGAAGAAAGTAATTCTACAACGAAAAGTCGCCTGAGGCTATTTGTTGTTAGTCGTCGCATGGAACGATGCATAACCACATGGCGCACCAAGCTTACACCCATGCGTGCTTAGCAGTTAGGCAAGGACTTTGAGGAGCTTGAAGAAGTGGCTTTTAGAACAAATTCCTGCACGCTCTGACCCCTTTACAACAACACAAAATGACAGGTCCAATTTACATAGGCAACAATGCAATCGAACACTCAGTGGAATGGAAATGATATACTATAAGGCATAACAGCACCAAGATTGTTACATCATCTCTGCGTCGCTATCTTTAGCAATTTTCCGTGGAGGGAATGCGAAGTACCAATGATTAAAGACAATATCCAGACGGACTACTTTTGCTTGCTATGTATTACACACATGTACTGTTGATGATTTTCGACTGTGGTCAGATCTGAACCTACATTATGTATCACCAAGTCTTACGTTGCACATAGACTATCATTTCGTGAGTCTTTACTGACACATGTGATCCCTTTATAATCGTATGCTGGGCTATTGTTGTTGTTTACAATAGAAATAAGTATGACCTAGTTCTCGGCTGCGGGTGACGGATCTCTACTTCTTATCAAAATGTCATTACTATATGTTGTTGTCGTTTTGAGTCATGGTGTTGCCTCTGCCGCGCGCCGGCGCCGGCGCCGCCCGCGCAGACCATACGTACTCGCCATCACTCGCCCCCTCCATCTCTGCTGCTAGGTACCATGCCAAACGCTATACCGTACTTAGACCGCAGTAAGTCACGGCAAGTGACCAGTCGATGACAGAATTGCGGGGGGTATTTTTCATAGACACCTCGTTTCAGGTGTCTAATGGTGTTTGCAGGTGGTCTACAGAAAACTCCCCGTACAAAATGGCTATTCTCAAAGTCGTTATCTGCGCAAACCGGCCGATTCCGCTTTCGGTAAGCGTAGAAGGCGCGACTTGTAAAGTAGCTCTTTTTAAATGCGTAGTGCACCTGCAAGAAGTCTGTGGACAGTCTCCGGAGCTCGCGAAAGTCAGAAATCACGTGAATATTCCACGAAAAAAATGTCGGCTTCTTCAGCTCTGGCGATACACAAACACATTGTGCCGTTGCCGCGTGCGTTGCTACCCCTTTCAAACGCGCACCACCAATGAGGGCGTTTTATGATGACGTAAACAATTTTTGAGGGGGGCGGGGGCTGTCTGCTCGGAGTCACACGTAAAAAAGCGTCTTTTTCCATCCGAAGGTAAGAATGAGCGCAGCGTTGCTAGCTTGTTGCTACCCATTTGAACGCGCAAACACCAATCAGATACTTCGGTCTAAACCGGTTAGACGCGGAAGCTCGGTGTCAACGTTACATTGCAACCCTCGGGGCATGTGGGTAGCGCCCTCGCTGCGCTCGGGACGCCAACATTGCATCAGCCCCTCGGGTTGCAATGTAGCGTAGACACCTCGCTTCCGCGTCTAACCTATATTTAGAGTGAGCTAGGTTCGAATTGACCAATCAGATTGCAAAGCCGAGGTTTACTATTTCCCGTAATAAACCTCGACGGCGTTTACTATATAGTAAACCTACAGAAACTACAAAACCTACAGATAAAACAGGAAAACATAACAAAATGTACATGTAAACAACAAGATCAACAACTGAATCTACATTGACGCGTCGTCCACGCGCACGCGCAGTCCCCCCTGCGCGCAACCAGAAAAAGAAGGCGGAGTCGCTACCGCGTGTCTCTGCCGCTTCGCTCTTTTTGCACTGCATTTTCTGGCGCTCTGAGCCTGTCTCCATCGAGTCATCGTTAGAACCATACGAAAGAACAGGAAAGCCAGAGCGCTCAACGTGAAGTGCTCACTCTAAAATAGTTAGACGCTGATGCCTCGGTAACCACGCGCCGGTAAAAAGCCTCGTGCCCCGGGGGTAGCGCCCTCGCTGCACTCGGGGCGCCACAATGCCGGGGCTCTCGGCTTTCTACTGTGCGTAATTACCTCGAATCAGCGTCTAACTATTATGTAGCACACATGGAGGTGAAACTTTGTGCCCATGTGTATTACATTGTTTCCTTGACGACCACAACACCTAATGGGCTCAGGCACTTTTCTTTAGAATTACTTCTTCACTGAAACTTTTTACGCATATGTGTAATATCATTTTCCATGACAACCACTTTGTTTGAACAACAACAAATAGCCTCAGGCATTTTTTTAAAGAAATTACTTCACTTCTGAAACTCGCTAAAGGTAGCACGCATGGAGATGAAACTTGATACACATGTGTATTACATCATTTCCATGACAACTACATGTTTCTATGATGACTGCATATTGTTGTAGCTTCAGGCAGTTCTCTTCAAACACTCTAACGGTGGCACTCACGGAGATGGAACTTGGTCAGAATGCATATTACATCGTTTCCATGACAACCACGTATTATTTGAACAGCAACAAATAGTCTCATACAGTTACTTCTTCAGTCCTCAAGCTTGCTAACGGAAGCACACATGGAGATTAAACTTGGTACGCATGCGTATTACATTCTTTCTATGATTACGGGCATTTTTCTCTTATTATAGGGGGGGCTTGCCCCCTTTCACAGAGATCGACGTATAAAAAATGAGTGGAGACAAGTAAATTAAAAATCCTGCGAATTTCAAAAAGAGGATGGTATAAAAGTAAAGGGAGACAAGATAGGTAAGGGATACATGAAGCATTGTTAATGAGCAGATTTGAGCACGCTGATACCCCCAACTCCATCACACAATCCCTATATTGTTGCCTAGCTGAAGTATTAAGCGTTTAACATCACACAATAGAAAATACTAAAAAGTCATGCTACTGAGTAACCAAGACTACAAATAAAGGGGCATACCACGCAACAATATAGGGATTGTGTTTGGGTTTGGGGGTGTCAGTGTGCTCAAATTTGTTCATTAACCATGCTTCATGTATCCCATCCCTATCTTGTCTCCCTTTCTTTTTATACCATCCCTATATGCCTCATTTTTTAAATTCCCAGGATTTTTCATTTACTTGTGTAATTGGCATACGTACCAAGTTTTATCTCTATCCGTGCTACCATTGGAAACTTTGGGTTCAATGGTCAGGAGCGTTTCCACTGTCTTCGAGCAATCTTGTGCCAGGCGCAGGATCTTCTTCGAGCGTGAGTGAGGAACTTCCCGGTTCCAGCGGACTATCGACACCGACGGCATCAAGTACGGCAAGCCAGAGCTTCGAGGAGGAGGTGGCTGGTGTGGGCGGGGCGGGGGAAGATGCGGTAAGCGAGCGATCGTTCGAGACGGAAGGGACGACGACTGGGGCTGTCGAAGGCATTGAAAGCGGCACTGCAGGGGCTATAGGCTCTGTCCACAAAGTCATCCGATGAGATCTTGGGCAAATTTGTTGAGGAGTGGCTTCAGGTTTTGGGAAAGGAAGAAATGAAGTTAGTAGTTATGTTTTTATGTTACCATTTGGTTAGCATGTTTTCCTTCACTGAAACCAAGGCTGCTGAATACGCTGCTCTAATGCTAAACAAAAGCGATCAAACAGTTCGGCGGTGGAGAAGTGGGCTCATTGAAAATGATGGAGTCTTGCCCGAATCAGATCATGGAAAACACCAATGCACTGGTGTAATATTGAAGGATGAAGACCTAAACAAGAAGGCAACAGAGTGCAATGCAGCTGTGAAAGGACGGCCGAATCTTACCTCCATTGATTTTTGCCGTTGGGTAAATGAAACTTTGCTTCCTAATTCAACATTGGAGCCTGGTTTCCCTCTGAAAATATGCCTAGAAACCGCTCGCACCTGGCTTCATTGACTGGGATTTGAAGTTTTAACCACCCAAAAAGAATATTCGTCGACGGGCACGAACGTAGCGATGTTATCGATTCACGCAAGCTCTTCCTACGCAAGATGGCAAAGCTCGGCTTTTTTCACTTCACCAATGCTCCCACCGAGGACGCAGCGAACTCACTCCCTACTGATATAGATCCCCCCACAATTGAAAGGCGATGAGTCGACCTTTATGTTGAACGAAGACCAGCCTATGCAGTGGGGAATGAAAGGAGAGAAAATACACACACATGCCGCCAACCTTCCTCCTTCGGGTATTTCATCTCAGCGATGACAACTGCACGTTCCATCTGCACGATGAATTTGTCACGAGTCCAATACTCCTCTCTTTAGCTTCACTTTCAGAAAGTTTGATTGTGATTGAATACAGTATTTGAAAACTATGTAAAGTATGTCCAAATGGACAGCTTTGCCTGCATGCACTATACTGTTCTTCGGAATCTAAACTTCCTATCAGTCGCACACTTGAAGATTAACATTAGTACACATATGTGTTCTTCCAATGACATTAGTAAACAACAAGTATGTACCTTAAGGAACTTCTTGACAACTTTTCTTCTGTCATTAAACTTGCTAACAGAGTCTCTACATCTAAGTACGCATACATGAGAATTTGCAAGACCGTTGATTTTAGTACATATTTAGAAATAAAGAGGTCTATAATTTATTATATTATAGTGGGACTTATAGGGATCCCATCTTTATCTCTTTACCTTCGTTTTTTACCATCCCAGTGAGTATTCCTTCTTTTTTTATTTTTACCTGGTGATCTTGAGTATAATATCAATTCTCTGTAGGAGTTAAAGCTGAGGAAGGATGACTTAGAGGCAGAAGTTGAAATACTTGATAAACTCTCTCATAAGCTATTTTTTCCTGGAGCCACTTTACATTGTATAGTTTTTCATGATGGCCACAGTTGGAGGTATGTGTTATATATATATATGCTAACTAAGAATTCTAAGCCCACCTTTGTTTCCTTTTAAAAATTGCGGCAATATTTTTCTATTATAGCTTTGACAAAAAATGAGTGGAGACAAGTAAATTAAAAATCCTGCAAATTGAGAATAGACATATAGGGATGGTATAAAAAGAAAGAGAGACAAGATAGGATGGGATACATGAAGCATGGTTAATGAACAGATTTGAGCACGCTGACACCCCCAACCCCATCACAAAATCCCTATATTTTAACCTAGGTTAAGTATTAAACATTCACCATTGCAATACTCAGAACCTATAATACAAAAAATGTCATGCTACTGTGTAACCAACATCGTTATAGAGTCCAAGTGGAGTTTTAATTAAAGGTAATGTGGCAGTATAAAAGTAGAAATGTTACAAAACAACCGGGACACGGTGAAAGAAAAGCTTGCTTTTAGTAACCTTTAGCCCTTGTATAATGCCACAGGTAACTATATAGGGATTGTGTGATGGGGTTGGGGTGTCAGCTTGGTTGCATGATATTCAAAATAGGGATTGCTTTTGAAGGGCCTTTTGTCTGTAGTAGTGGACAGTATCAATGTTAGGGAGATTAAATATTTCATACCGATGGCAATACTAACAATCGGAAATAGCCAGCTAGCCAGGTTGTCCTGCCCTTTCTTCGAGGATGATAGTTTATCTTGCTTTTAGATTCTTCGACATGGGAACGCTTGAAAAGGTCATTTAGCATGGGCGTTGAGCACGTGTGTTACGTCAGTATCGAAAACTTTTTGCAAGTAATAATATTTCAGCCTATTAGCAAAGTGAAAAACTTTTGTTGTGCTTGTTTGACGCACTGTTTTTTCATGAAAGACGAGTGTCTTGACTAGTGATGTTCCAATTGCTGCTCATTGATGCAATGGAGCTACAGCAAGTAGCTTTATTGGTGTGTGACAATGTAGTGTGGCCTGCTTTGTACACATGTGTGATTGATTCTCGGCTGCCAGATCTATCTTACAAGCGGGTTTCGCCTAGAGTTAGCACTTCAGTGCGGTTTGTATTACGTGTGTTAGAATTCATGTTTACTTGTTGTGTAACCCACATTACTAATGTAGCCGCTTTGGAAATGGGGTGTGAATGCTTTATCCTGTACAGTTTAAGTAGAAGTACGTATTTAAGTTTTATCAGGTAGTTTTGGAGTTGAGGTGAAATATTGCTGTTTGAACTAGCTGTTGTTTATGTTCTGTAGGGTAGATATACATAATACCACCGTAATGCTTTTCATATCAGAATTCATGTCTATTTTTTTGCTTAACCCACTTTTCCTTTGTGTGAGACAGAATGTAGCAGGCCACTAATGCAAAAATAAGCTCTTGCATACGCATGTGTGAGGAATGCTAGGTTTGCAATATGTTCCATTTTCCATTGTGCTGTGCCACATTGCTAGCATTGAAGATTGACCTTGTGGTTAGAACCTATCATCAGTAATTGTCTTTGATGTTTACGTTTGTATTCAAGTGTCTAAAACCCATAGTACTTTCTCTCCTAAGTTTTATGTGTCTGACTTGGAAGTTAGATCACTTAGGCTTCACAAAGGTGAAAGTAATATTCTACAAGAGCAATAGCCCCTGACTCAGCATTCTCTAGAATTCCGTTTCCCGTAGCTAATTCCAACTGCGATTCCAACTGCGAATCCAACGCCGAGATCGTCGATGAAATCCTGCATGAGAGAGCCCAAGTCGAGACTCATACACCGGGTCAGGCCGTCGCTAGCCATCAACAACATATCAGCATCTCCCAAGCGACGTGGGCTGAGGACTCCAGTGGGCGTGTCTTGCTCCAGTGGGGATTGCGAGATCATTTTGTCCAGTTGCTGCGATTCTTAGACGATGAACTCTTCCTGTTCTGCTGTACTTTCGAAGCCGGAAGAAAATAAGCCTTCCCACTCGTCACTGATTCCAGTCTAAATTCTGGCAGGCACAGCCACGCCCTCCATGTTCTAAACACTGAACTCGCCTCCTCGGTTTGAAAAACCCTCTCTCCGCCTCAGTTACTATCTCCCCTCCCCCTCAGGTGTTTAAAACCTCGTAGTGACTCGTTCCAGTTATCTAACCTTAACTTTGAAGTGTGTCAGTGGTCAGTCTGAGTATGGGACCTGGCTTTCCGTTGGTTCTTCCTGTCCTTATCAAGCCTGATTATATGCTCATTGTGACTTGTTTGGGATTCTTGTCACAGAACTTGGGCTTATAGTACGAAATAGTAAACTTGTTGTGACACATGATTATCGATATAATTCGTAGTTTAAAAATGGCCTGTTACAAATAGTGTGTTAAATTGCCACGCTGGGTTGGGGGTGGCTACTATCTTTTTTTGTCTATCACCAGAAAGTGAGTGGCGTTTATTGGCATAATGTGTGTGGAATTGTTTGAAGGGTGACTCTGTACCTAGCTGCCTTTGAAGAAGTTCCTCTAGTTGTCTTGTGGATGGTTTCAGAGTTGAAGTTTTGTTCTCTAGTTGTGTCCTTCAGCTCTCATGTGACCAAATGCCCCCCTGTGATCTACTGTCCTACGAAAATTAATAGAATATGCAGTTTTGGACATGCTGCCATAATTTGTTTCGCACGCAACTCAATTTTTGCCCTTGGATGAACACATTTTATCTTTCCCTTAATTGGTACTGATGTCTGGTGTGTGCAGTTTTAACTATTTTTTGTATGTTATAATGGAGTTCAGTGTTGCGATTGTGAAGTGTCAGGATGGAGGACTGGATTACAGTGAAGTAATCAAGCCCTATGTGGAAAATGGAGAGACTATGAAACTAGGTTTGTGTAATTTTTATGTTTGCACAGCCAAGGATTTTGTACTTGTTGGTGTATTTTTATCTACTGGCACTACATGCAAAATAATAAAGTGCAAACCCTAGTATTTAGTAGGATCACAAGATAGGGATGGGATACATGACGCATGGTTAACACACAGATTGTAGCTCGCTGACACCCCGATAATCCCTAGATTGTTGCCTGATGCCCCACTCTTAAACTAAATTTGGACTATGTAACCTTGTTGGTTTATGTTTGTGAAAGGGGGTAAGCCCTCTATAAAACATTTTATTAATGGAAGTTGTTTACAAACATTTGGTCGTCATGGAGCTGATGTAATAGCCACGTGCACCAAGTTTGATTTCTATGGGTGCTACCGTTAGTAAGTTTAGAGAAAATTCCTAAAGCTGTTTTTTGTTGTAAAACAATCAGTTGTCATCATGAAAACGATATAATATGCATGTGTACCAAGTTTCATCTCATTGCGTGCTATCGTTAGCAAGTTTGAGGTGATTCCAAGAAAAGTGCTTTGTGGTATTTTGTTATTGTTCAAACCATAAGTGGTCGTGATGGAAACTATGTAATACACATGCATACCAAGTTGCATCTCCATACCATTAGCAAGTTGAGGAGTGAAAAAGAAATAGTGCCTGAGGCTTTGTTGTTGTTCAGACAGTAAGTGGTCATCATAGAAACGAAGTAGTATACATGAGTACCAAGTGTCACCTCCGTGTGTGATACCGTTGACTAGTTTGAGGAGTGATGAAGTAATTTCAAGAAAAGTGCTTGAGGGTATTTGTTGTTCAAACAATATGTGGTCGTCATGGAACGATGTAATATGCATGCGTGCCAAGTGTCACCTCCATTCGTGCTATCCTTTACAAGTTTGAGTAGTGAAGTAGTAATTTAAAGAAAATTGCCTGAGGCTATTTGTAGTAAATTATTTTACATGCATGCATACCATGTTTTATGTCAATGTGTGGTACCGTTGGCAAGTTAGAGTAGTGAATAAAACTTTAAGCAATATTGCCTGAGGCTAATTGTTGTCATTTACAAATATGTATTGTTGTGGTTTTGATCGCAGTCACTGAATACATTGTGTATACCAACTTTCCCTTCGTTACACTAACACACATTTCCCCATTGTAATGTATTGCCTGGGGCTATATGTTGTTGTTTACAGTAACATAAAAGTATGACGTTGTACATGTGGTTATCGATATGCGTAGTCCTACAATATTTCATGGCTTTGTCTGTTTTTGTTTTTGAGTTATGCTTGTTTAAGAAGAAGAAGAAAGTGATGATGATGAACAAAACAGTGATTGGCGTTGTACCTACATAGCATAAGTGTATGAGACTATGATAGTTAACCCTCGGCGGCGCGCATGCGCAGCGAGGGTTACGGTAGTCGTTCTCTGTGTCTGTCTGTCTGTCTGTCTGTCTCCACGTTTTCTGCCACCACGCGCAACAAACAGGCCAAAAAGCGACACCAACGGGTTCAGCGCTACACTTGCTTCATTTTGAAACTGGCAATTTTCGTAAAAGTACCGCGTTCAAAAGTTATGGCGTGAAAAAGCCAATATGCTAATGAGTATATACCATCATCATGGCTTACCTCGACCGTAAATGGCTTACCTCGACCGCTTTTGCCGTCAGGCACATTGCGGAGGATATAGCGAGAATACCGAACGCTGCCCACGGTTCCAGCTAGGCAGCACGAGCAATACACGATCGACGGGTGGTGAGCGAGCCGGCGGTTAGTGCGAGCGAGGAGGCAGAGGAACGGGAGAGAGCGAGACATGACAATGCGCATGTGTTTATCATAGTGCGCCACGAACCGTGTGCGTGATGAATGCGCGCATGTGCGGATCAATCACAAACAAACGGCCTGTCCACATGCATGACGTATAAACCCGGACCACACATATTATGTTTGAGCAAACGTGTATTGGCGTCATAGCCCCACTGTGGGACTCCACGCCGATGGTTTAGCACTTCAGTGCCTTTCATTTTGTATTGTTCTTCTTCTGCTTCTTCTTCAGATTCAACACCGGCTGCCATAACAAAAAAAACTAAGTAACGTAATTAGTCATGTAACAATAGACCATGTGATGCCAAGAGAAAAAAGATGTAGAGCTCTGGACAGCTGTTTCGGGCTTGTTAGCCCTCATCAGCAAAGCATACCGCAACTTCTCTCTCTGGCATCACGAGTTTATAAAGGCAAAGTTGAGCGCGGCGCTTGTGGTTATGAACTAATGACATTCATCCCCACAAGGCGTTGAGCCAAAACCCGAATTCAAAATGCTGACAAGTGGATTGGGCCGCGGCAATGAAGCCAGCAAGCGCCCATATCCTGCCAGCGCATACACATGTAACAATAGACCATGTGATGCCAAGAGAAAAAAGATGGGAGTTCTGGAAAGCTTTTTCGGGCTTGTTAGCCCTCATCAGCAAAGCATACCACAACTTCTCTCTCTGGCATAACGAGTTTATAAAGGCAAAGTTGAGCGCAGCACTTGTGGTTATGAACTAATGACATTCATCCCCATAAGGCGTTGCCAGTACAGAGCCAAAACCCGAATTCAGAATGCTGATGACATTTTGTAAGAATGTATGTAGATATCCACAACCAGATGTGCACGGTGATACTACAACAAATAGCCCCAGGCAATACATTATAATGGAACACATGTGTTAGTGTAAGTCACAGATTGTATGAGCTATGCGAACAAAACTTTGTATCACTAAGTACTATATAGGGATTGGCATGGTACCTAGCATCATAGATGTATGGGGCTATGATAGGGAGTTTTGTTCATCTTCTCCTTCACATTCAATACCCATAACTCAAAAACAAAATGACATAATAGTAACGATATTTTGTAAGAATGTAGATATCCGTCACCAGAAGAGATTGGTCATACTTATTTCTTTGTTAACAACATTGTTTACTGTAAACAACAACAAATAGCCTGAGGCAATACGTTATAATTGGATCACGTGTCAGTATAACTAAGAGTTACTTTGTAGAAATAATGTATTCAATCACCAACATCAAAATCACAACAGTACATATTTGTAAACATCAACAAATAGCCTCAGGCACTTCCTTTAAATTTACTTCTCAAACTCTGCAATAGTAGCACGAATAGAGATGAAACTTGGTATGTATGCCTATTATATCATTTCAATGGCAATTACATGTTTCCTTGACGACCACATTTTGTTTGAAAAAGCCTCAGGCAATTTTCTTTCAAACCACTTCTTCACTCCTCAAATTTGCTAACTGTGGCACGCATGGAGATGAAACTTGGTGCGCATGTGTATTACATCGTTTCCATGACGACCACAACAACAAATAGCCTCAGGCACTTTTCTTTAAAACTATTTCTTCACTTCTCAAACTTGCTAACTGTAGCACGCATGGAGGTGAAACTTGGTGCGCATGTGTATTATATCGTTTCGATGACGACCACAAAAACAAATAGCCTCTGGCACTTTTCTTTAAAATTACTTCTTCACTCCTCAAACTTGCTAACTGTAGCACGCATGGAGGTTAAGCTTTGTGCGCATTTGTATTACATCGTTCCATGACTACCACAACAACAAATAGCCTCAGGCAATTTTCCTTAAAATTACTTCTTCACTCCTCAAAGTCGCCAACTGTAGCACGCATGGAGATGAAACTTGGTACGCATACGTGTAACATCATTTCCATGACAACCACTTTGTTTGAACAACAACAAATAGCCTCAGGCAATTTTCTTGAAAATTACTTCTTCACTTCTTAAACTCGGTAAAGGTAGCACGCATGGAGATGAAACTTGGTACACATGTGTATTACATCGGTTCCATGACAACCTCGTATTATTTGAAACACAACCAATAGCCTCGGGCATTTACTTCTTCACTCTTCAAACTTGTTAACGGCAGCACACATGGAGATGAAACTTGGTTATTATTGCCCCCTTTCGCAGAGATAACATAGTAGTATATAAAAATGAGTGAAGACAAGTAAATTAAAAATCCTGCGAATTTAAAAAAAGAGGCATATAGGGATGGTAGGGAGACAAGATAGGGATGGGGTACATGGAGCATGGTTAATGAACAGATTTGAGCACGCTGACACCCCGACCCCATCACACAATCCCTATATTGTCGCCTAGTGTGCCATTCATAAACTCCATTTGCACTGTTGGTTACTCAGTAGCATGACTTTTTTGTGTTAAAGTTTGACTATTGTGTAATGTTGATTGTTTAATACTTCACCTAGGCAACAACATAGGGATTGTGTAATGGGGTCGGGGTGTCAGCGTGCTCAAATCTGTTCATTAACCATGCTTCATGTATCCCATCCCTCTCTTGTCTCCCTTTCTTTTTATACCATCCCTATATGCCTCTGTTTTAAATTCGCTGGATTTTAAATTTACTTGTGCTAAATGTATTCAATCACCGACATAAAAACACAATACATGTTTGTAAACAACAACAGATATCCTCAGGGAATTTTTCTTTGAAGTTATCGTCACTCCTCTAACTTGCTAACAGTACCACCATTGACATGTGTATTACATTAAGACAACTAACTACCTGTTTCCATGACGACTGCATGTTCGTAAACAACAACAAACAGTAACATTTCTATGGGTGCTACCGTTAGTATGTTTAGAGATAAGTTCCTAAAGCTATTTGCTGATAGATCTGAAGGGATACTCGTGGGGTTAAACAAGATTTGTTTCCAGAGTGAGTAGCTAGGTTTTGAGATTTAGATTTATCAAATGCAATTGCTAAGCAGAGATCTTATAGGTTTGGCCCAAATTAGGCAATATTTTGTGTTGTATACCAATGTAGCTCTTCAGACCGCCATTCCATCATCTAGCTTCAAGGTTTCTAGTGGCTGAAGAGTAGCTAAAATAATCTTTTGAATGATGCTATTATCACAGTAAGCACTCTGGAAAAATCCTACAATGACAGTCAGCACTTTGGAAAGCTTTTTAGAGCAATGTGATATGTGGTTGTGTGTCATAAAGGAGGATAGTGCTAACAAATCTGTGTTTACTGATAAGACTAGCTAAGCCCAGAACTTTGGTATGTATCTCCCCTAAGAATCGTTTTGTAGGCTTAGTAAAACTGGTATATGTAAAAACGTTTATGTCGCATAACAGTACTCAGTACTCAGTACTTAACCATGTTGTAGCCCAGTTAGGTAATAGGAGGCGACCCTTTTCCTCTGTCAGTAATTGTACAGCTTGTGAACCAGCTGCTCTTACACTGCTCTTGTCGTAGTTCTTAAACAGTTGCTGAAGAATGTTCTGATTTTGCATATTTAACCTTGTCAGCTGCTTGCGATGATGCCAAGTTCAATCGATGTACTGCACAGTGTACAGTAATTGCAAATGGTGTTATTTCCTTTAGATGCTACACCTGTGTTGCAGCCCTTCATTGTGGCTGCACCATCTGTGCTAATGCCTGGAGGTTTTGTCATATCTAAGCCAGTGCTTTCTGTATATTCAACTATTCTTTTTGTGATAGTGGAATGGAAGACTTGGCATCACCACCAAATTAGATAGGTCCTAGCCTTGAGCTTCCAAAACGTCAATGTTTTTCAAGTAACATGAATTTAGTTCCCTAGTCTGTTAGTTCTCCTTGCTCGTCTGCCAATTGCTTTTCGCAGCCAGAGACCGTAATGGGTTATTACTTCATGTAAGAGTCACGAAATATGTAAAGTCAGCACTTTTAATGCCTAAAATTGTCTCCCTGTGTCTTCCCTGTCTCCCTATGTCTCCCCATGTGTCCCCATGTCTCCCTATGTCTACCTATATCTCCTCCTGTCTCCCCTGTCTCCTTATGTCTCCCCCTGTCTCCCTATGTCTCCTCCTGTTTCCCTGGTGTGTCTCCTGTCTCCCCGTGTCTCCCTATGTCTCCCCCTGTTTCCTCCTGTCTCCTTATGTCTCCCCCTGTCTTCCCCTGTCTCCCTATGTCTCCTCCTGTTTCCCTGGTGTCTCTCCTGTCTCCCCGTGTCTCCCTATGACTCCCCAGTCTCCCTGTGTCTCCCTATTACTCCCAGTCTCCATGTGTCTCCCTATGACTCCCCAGTCTCCCTGTGTCTACCTATGACTTCAAGTCTCCCTGTGTCTCCCTATGACTTCCCAGTCTTCCAGTGTCTCCCTATGACTCCACAGTATCCCTGTGTCTCCCTGAGACACAGGGAGTCATAGTGAGACACAGGATGATGAGAGTTTTTATTCTTACAGGCGATATTTTTAACACCACTTAGCTATCATCATTTTAGTAAATTCCAAACCTGAGTATTGCATGCTGACGTGTGCCCTTGAGCATGTTGTACACACCACTTGCAAGCTCCCGCATCTCCTTTTGCCAGAGGAAATAGAAGACGTACTGGTCATGCTTGCGGAAACGCCCGTCCTTGTTCATGCATGAGGCGTGATTAGACAAATTCACTCGGTGAGATTTTCTGCTGGCTGGTGTGATGTGCGTAGTAACACACAGAAGCGTGTCGGTAGGGACCGTGCAACTTAACCACGCACATGTACCGGATTTTGCTCGCATTGTTTTACACAATTGTGCTTGCATAGTGCACTGTGTTCATTTGTGTCCTGGCGGCTGCTACCACACTAGTGTAGCAGAGGGTTTGCACTTCAGTGTTTTTTCGTATGTCTTGGAAGTCACCAGTGTAGGCAAATTTCACCAGCTGCTTCAGAAACTGCACGTGGCAAAAGATGCACACATTTACAGGGCCTTTCTCCTGCAGTCTTTCCACATGTGTCTGTTTCAATCCATGCCTTAATGTTAATCCCATACTTATTCCATTATTTCATTGCATTGGTGTAGGTGATATTACCCTCACTGTAAACGTATATGATGAGGGGAATATGGCCAGTCTTGTGACTGCTGGAGGTTAGTATTCATACGTAATATTTGTGCTTTATGTGTGTCAGAGAATAATTTAAAATTAATTGGCAGTGGGTTGGCTCCCCCTTTTCACTTCAGTACTTTTTTTCAGGAGCTCATGGAACTCATGTTGCCAGTATTATTGCTGCATATGACTCTAACTGTCAGGATGCAAGTGGAGTTGCTCCAGGATCCCAGATCATCTCTGTAAAAATTGGAGACTTACGGCTTGGCACAATGGAAACAGCTTCGTCCTTGATCAGAGCGGTTAGTTTTTAGGTCGACTGATTTAAATTACTGTTTTGTTTTGTTTTGCCATCTTTGGTCTAAAGTTACCCGAAATGTAACTACCATTAAAAAACTGATGCTGGTGGTCCAAATTTGCTATTGTTTTTTTTCTATCTAGTTCTTCTGTACTTCTAAACCACTGTTGTAAGAATGTAAACAGATTAATGGCTTTAGGTGTGGTCCCTCATCAGGTTTTGAGACTGCATCCGAGTTCATAATTGTAGCTTTACTATATACCGAACTTAGTCTGGGTGGCCATATTCATATTTTCTGCTTTGATGTTTATGACGATTATATTCTTTCTACGCTCTTAGTACTTATTTTCTGAAAATGCAACTTATTCTTTGCCCCATCACCATATCCAAGTTCATCGTTTATGAGCATATTTTTTAACTGGTTTCTATACAACTGAAGTCCTGGTAGGTGGACTAGCCATCCTAGAGAACTTATGTGTATTCCTGCCTCTTTTCAAATGCTTACTCTTCGTTTTATTAACCCTCGCCTGCGTGCATGCGCAGCGAGGGTTATTATAGTCGGTCTATATGTGTGTGTGCGTGTCCGTCCGTCTGTCCACCGTTTTTCTTGGTAACCACAGCAACTCTGAGCATGAAACGTAGATATATTATCAAGTAGGAGGCATGCATGGTAAACTACGATTCTGGAGCGAAAAAGGCCGGGGAAGCTGATGAAACAGACGGCTGCCAAGCTGAGTCTGCGTCAAATAGATATCGCGGATGATCGCTTTTGTGCATGTGGAGATTTGCATTTCTGCCAGGATTGGTAGTACAGTTGAGTAGGAGCGAAATTGGCGGTCTCTGATCTTCTCTGAGACAGCCAACTATTGAACCTCCATAATCAACAGTGGCAAGGGTTATGCACTTACAAGTGCTTTTCATTGTCTGAAGTTCTCAACTGCAGGAAAATGTAGCACAGTCGTTAGCAATATGGAATTTAATTTATGGGTGTCATCTTCGATACACCCACACATCATACTATAATTATTGTAAATTGTAGCCCAATATGCACTCAGATCAAAGTTGCCACTAGGGCTGTTAGTTCCGTATAAGCTCGCTGTTTGGATTGTTACATTAATCATTTGTAATCCGCCCTGCGGTTAGGCATGAATATCATTAATAACCATTGTAAGGTGTTTTTAAGAACTTACGGCAATGGATGTATTAGCCATGAATATCATTAATGGTAAGCGCAGTGTGCCTTCCTAGTCGTCTCAACGGGCCGATTTTCCATTTATTTTCCGGCGACACGACTGTAATTTTCTATGCGCTTCTAAATACACGCAAATATGCGCGAAATGTTGCACTGCTAGCACCGTAATGTTGTACGGCATTATAAATGCACGCAAAACATGCACTTACCGGCCGATACATACGTACAAAATGTTGGTAAGTGCATGTGCGTGTTCAAATAGAAGTTCCAAAGGAAGTATATGCCTTTGTTTCAGATTTCTACTGTCGTGTTCTTGTGTTTCATACACTGGCCTAGATGGCTTTGGTACTGTTTGATAAATTGTTTTACCCTAATTATGGTAATTAAAAGAAATCACAAGCAATGGAGGAATGAATATTTTAATTTGTAGTGTTCTGTGGCAGTTTCCTGTGGTGCAGATATTATAAACTTCAGCTATGGAGAAGCTTCACACTGGGCAAACAAAGGGTTAGTTGCCTTCCTTTGTTAACCCTTGACATGCATGCACAAGAGGGTCACAGTAGTTTGTTCGCAAGTTTTGTTTACTGTGGCCATGTCTGTCATTATTTGCGATTGACATGCATGTGTTTTTATACCAGCTGTGTTACCATGCACATAAGCTTGCACATTCATACAAGCACGAGCATGGGTACAGATAAATTATGGCAATATTGCGAGGTGTACTGCTTCTGCTTTGTAGTATGAGCGCTCCTTTGCAAATGTACGTACATCAGTAGAGATGCTGCGAGTTTCCTGGTAATTGTTTGTGCCATATTTATATATATTTATTGTGCCTAGACAATTACTGGATTAATAGCAGTTTCCTGTATTTGCTAAGCGTTGATACTCATGCTTGGTCTTGAGCACAGAGGTCACATATTATTAAGTTCCGCCCCATGTTTGGCATGATACGCTTCATGTGCAAAAGCCGTTTCATTCTCCTTCAATATTATGTTGGGTGTACGTATATATTAATCATTACAGAGCTGTGCTGGAACTCATGTCTGAGATGTGTCAGAAATACAACATTATTTTTGTAGCTAGTGCTGGAAACAATGGACCAGCTCTATCAACTGTTGGATGTCCAGGAGGAAACACAAATGGCATAATAGGTTAAGTTAAGTGTTTTTTTAAAATTAACACTACTTGCATGTGCTGTCACATTGCTTTACAGGACAGAAATGACTGTTACATGGTGTGTAGACATACGTTTGGGACAAGATTTGGTGTGCAAATGTATTTGAGCCAAATATAGAACCATCGACATCAGTACCTCAATCGCTTAGATGGCAAAAAATATCATCATTTTTTTAACTCTGTCTGAATTGCTTGGGTTAATTCTTTTTTTTTGTGTCTGCCCATCTTAACTATACTCGCAGCAACAGGTAAAGTAGTTACCAGACGGTGTTGAGAGCTTGAGCACTATGTTTTAAAAACTTGTTGTTCGTCAGTCTACCGGTTTAAGCATTTTACTGAAACGTTCAGTTTTTCTCGACTCTGTTCATTCACCATAAAGGCTTGAAGAGTTCCAAGAAGCAAGTCCAGCTTTTTTAACCCACGAAGAAAAAGTAACTGGTGATTCGATTGATCTTGTGGCCACTTGTGTTTGGTCACACATTTTCCACATGCGTTATTAACCCTCGGCGCGCATGCGCAGCGAGGGTTACAGTACTTGTTTCTTAAGTGTGTCTGTCATTCAGTGCTCCTTGGCGTCAAAATGTACATGAAACGTATATTTATAGCATACTAGCCACAGAGGAAAGACAACCAGAAGTCACCCTCCATCCCCCATCCCCCACCCAAGTACATACACAGACACAAACAACACAGTCTGTCTTGCTGTGTGTCTGTTACCACGTTTTCTGCCACCACACGCCAGAAGTCGGCCAAACAAAGATAGTAACGGGTTCAGTTCTTCACTGACTTGATTCTTAAAAAGGCGATTTTCATAAAACTACTGCGTTCGAAGGTTATGGCGTGAAAACCAAGTGAACAAGCCAATAAGTGCAATGTCCGGGTGAACAAACTTCATTTTTTGTGTATGGTGTTTCTAGTCCATTTTTATGTGCTCTGAATGCTGAAATCTAGGAGTTGGAGCATTTGTTACACCTAAAATGATGTGTGGTGAGTACTCGATGACACGTGCAAAGCCTGGCTTGCCTTACACTTGGAGCTCCAGAGGTCCTGCGTGAGTTCCGTGTTACATACGTGCATATTTTTTATCCTTCAGCTATACATATATTATTTTGTATCTAGTGCACACGTTTCACTTGAATAAGTAAACAAATGCGGGAGTTAGAAATACTTCACCAGCAGACAAGTTCTAGAAGTTGAATGGAAGAAATACCGTGGATAAGGTATAGTTCTCATAGTTCTCAAAGTTAGACTCAGTTGTGGTGCTTCTCTGCAGCCATGGTTTCTAGTTCGTTGTACCAGTTTTAGTACGTATGTCACTGTCCTTGAATAGCTGGACTTTCTGAGATATGTTGTCCTGTTGGTGCTGTCCTGCACTGGGTGGAAACTGCCATACGTGTCTGTGATGACACGTGAAAGGAGAACAAATGGCTTATGCCAATGCCTCCCGTTAGTATCCCATATTTGCAAATCGGTGAAATAGACTTCAGTGCTCCTTGGCGTCAAAATGTACATGAAAAGTATATTTATAGCATACTAGCCACAGAGGAAAGACAACCAGAAGTCACCCTCCATCCCCCATCCCCCACCCAAGTACATACACAGACACAAACAACACAGTTGCACACAACAAAGTAGGACACCAAGTGCCGTGCGCAGTAGAGTAACGTGCGTGGGCGACGACATGAATGCAGTAGCAGAGACACGGGTTCGCTTGCATATTTCTGGTGGGGGTACGGCTGCCTGGACCAGCCTTGAGAACTGGGGCGGTGGGTTAGAGAGTCTTTTATGGCGTGCCACCTCTCGCCACACACCTAGTGTCCATACAGAGGCAGTAGAAATATATAAAATATATATTTGTGTATAAAAATAGAAAGAACTGATCTTAATGAAAAAGTAAAAGTAAAAAGAAAGAGGCGGTAAAGCTCTCTGTAAAATAAGTTCGTAGAAATATTGACAAATAGAAAAAATAGAAAAATAGAAAATTTGGTAACAAAGAACAAAAACGTACGCGCAGACCTGGCTCATGAGCTACAGAGCGGCTTTGCAATGATTCTATTTAGTGCAGAGTTGTATGCACGCGTTGTAAAATAAGAAAGTATAAAAACGTATAGATCTGCATGAGACGTGGCGACTCTGGAACGGATCCATTGCTGGTAAACATACACCATCTTCAATATGTCTGCGTAAGCTACAACCATATTTGTCTAAAAACCGCACATGTTTCTTCGCAAACCTTTGAAAAACGACACACAATTCTTAAGTACCTGAATCCTTGGCGAAGTCTTTGAGTTAGTTTGTAGTGCCTCACCGCAAAATGAGCATAGTTACTGCATATTCTACCTATACGTACAAGCTGGGAAACATAAACTCCACATGCAGGTCAAGATGGTATATTAGAAGAAAGATATGGCAATAATAAAATTGAAATTGTCTCGCTTGTGATATAATGTTTCCAATTTTCTGTAGTTACCAGTAAATCTAACTAGTTTCACATTCCGTAGTTTTCTTCAGTTGGAGCTTGCAAGGGTATGCCACTTATCGCTGAATGAAACGCAGTATTATTTAGTGTTAAAAGATCATCAATATATCTCATTGTATTATTGAATTTCTTAGCCAACATTAAAATTTGTTTAATTAGGCCTCTTACATACTGGTATTCATAATAGAAGAGAAACAAATTTGCTACTAATGGCGCACAACCCGTGCCCATCGGAATTCCCACACATTGTCTGTACACTCTATTGCCTATACTTACATAAATATTATCTATCAGATATTCCACATATGCAACAAGCTGTTCTTCAGTTATGTTATGTTTAGATGGTGATGATGATGGTGTGTTTGACCAATATGCTCTTCCAGTATGGTCGGCTATAAAGAACACACTGTTTCTCACTTTGTAGGCCTCCTTGATTAAAGATTGTAAGGCTTGTTTGAGCAAACAATGAGGTATAATGTTGAAAAATCAAATGTTTAGCGGTAAAAAAATAATTTATTTATTTAAGGTTGAAAGAACCTGCTGTGAGTTATCTGTAATCCCAAAACAATTAACTCCAGTTCTACAAAAAATGCCATTACAGTATTGTCGAAAATGGTTGGTAACTAATTTAAGGCAACTAATGAAAAGCACTGAAGTGCAAACCCTCGGCGAACTGCGCATGCGCGGTACCGCTAATGGACGGACCCGCATTCTCCCGCTAGTAGCTCTCGGAGAGTCCGACGCGGGCTAGCTACGGTAGTAGATAGCATGCGGGAGTCGATACACGCCCTTCGCTGTGGTTTCTTGTGCCTCCAAGGTACACAAAGCAAGCGGATCAGGTCGGGGTGAGCCAGCATACCGCGTTGATCGCGTCTAATATACGCATGCGCACCGCTTATTGATGGGTTGGGCCACGGAACACGGTCCGCGACGGTGGCAGTTTGTCGCTTTCGAACGCAGTCGTTTCAGGAAAAACCGTTCGATTAAACTGATTCTTATTACCCGTTTATTACGTCGTATCGTTTGTGGGACGAATAAACCATCGAGAAGTGAGTTGGAGCATGGACAGACAGACAGACAAACCCAACTACTGTAACCCTCGCTGCGCATGCACGCCGAGGGTTAACTAGTAAGTAACTTAGATAAAGGCTTTGTAGTGCACTTATGCGAAGCAGCTATAAACCTAGAACCATAAGGTTTTTTGTGTAACTTTGGAAGCCAATAAAACAGGGGTAAGCATTCACAATCAGGCTGTACTACTATCCGATTGGCTGTCATAAACTCCAAATGCTCATCCACTAGTTTGTCACAATCCGTTGCAGCAAGCTTATACGTTGTAGTCGCACTGATTTCCCTTAACACAATCTCTAAGTAATATTTCTTGCGCACTACTATCACATTTCTAGATGCCCTATCAGCTGGTACTAAGACATACTTACTATGAAGTTCCTGGAGAGACCCTAAATGCTTTCTACTTCGAAGAATATGCATCCTTCTTCTATTTATATGTCTACTCGTGACCTTATCCTCTTTTGAATGTATTCATTGACCTTGCATTCCCATTCGTTACATGCTCTTATGTCGACTCTTTCCTTCCGCGACCATTTACGTTTATACTTAGCTACTGCTTCCTTACACAAGCTCTCATTAATACTCCAGTTAATGCAGTTCTGTTCCCTGAACGATCGTCCCTTCTCTATCAGGCCTCTAAGTTTACTTACTATCGTTAAGTCTCCCGTTATTACATGTCCTGCAGGCTCATAGCTGTATTTACTTTTACTACAGTCACAGTACATATCCTTAGTTCTGCTATCAACATCTAATTCTTCCTCTACCTTCTTTTGATAAAATATCCCATGTCATCTTCGGCTACTTTAGTTACCGTTCCCATGGTTACACCACCATCAGAGTCCGGAGAAGGAAGATTTGTCGTGAGTTTGCTATAGAGGGAGGGAGAAACCTTAGTACCTTCAGTTAGTGACAAGTATGTCCACTCAAGAAACCATCTTCCTAAACTGCTCTTTAAGCCTGAACACCTAGACAAGAACTGTGCTGAATTGCTGACTCTGTGTGAGGAGTACCACTTTACAAAGTCACACGTGAACAGTCAAAATTTAAAAAAGGTTATATTTCCCACTAGGGTGCGCCAAGGTGCCATTGCAAATAATGGGTGTGGTCAGGTTATGAGTATTGCAGTTCTTTGACCTTTGCCACGCAGGGGCTCTCCCCATTTTTTCCAAAGGCTCTTATATCCCTGCTCGTATGGTAGGAGGCAAAGAAAGCACACCACGTAATGGTGAAGAACTGATGAAGTCGTGCACCTGTTTACTCTTTCATAGAATGGAGGAGGGATATCAGTATGCTAATAAGCGTGTAAAACAATGCTCGAAAAATCCGAGAAAAATGACTGTAAATCGCGTGCATTTTAGCCCTGGTATAGAGAAAAATAATTATTCATAATTGTTGCTGAATGAAGGAACCTTCTCTTTTCAAACTTGCTAACAGTAGCACGCATGGAGAAAAAACTTGGTCATTTCCATGATGACTACAGGTTTGTAATCAAACAATGAATAGCCTCGGCCACTTTTTTCACTTGCTAACTGTAGCTCACATTGAGATGAAATTTGGTTTGATGTGTAGTGCACTGTGTACTTCTTCATTCTTTAAACCTATGGAAGTTGGTACGCATGCGTATTACCATCGCGACCACAGAAACAAATAGCCTGTGCTTTCCATGTGGCTGTCACCACACACTCACTGTTAACATGCGTGCTTTTTACTGTGATGGCATCAAAGTACGTAAGTTAACACAGCTAAAGTCCGTTTGCGTTCACCTTGCACTTGGAAGTACTACTGTCGAAACTGTTTATGCAAACACACGTCATAACGAGCATACCACAAGTGTCTGTGACTAATAGCCACCACAGTAGTGCCGGCTATCATCCCTAGCAAAGACGGCACTCCGAGCTTGGTGGAGCGAGTTTGGTTCAGTCCAGTGAGAGATTATAGGCGTGTGAAACCAACTCTGTAAAGTTGTGCGTTGATTGCTTAAAGAGTCAGCCCACCTGGCTTTGTCTCGTACCCAGCCGCCCAACCCACAAGGGCAAGGGAAGTAGCAATTGAAGGTCCTATGGATATTATGGTTATGTAACTTCCGCAAAGTATTACATGTGTAAGGCTCTTTCCACATTTGTTTCTTTACTTTTGGATGCGGTTTGCAAGTCAAACTGTCTCGATCATTGATTCCGCCAAGTTAACCTGCCGTAACTGGCCTGGGACATCCACAGCTAGGCAAACGGCATTATCGCACGAGCGAGGTTTGAGGTAAGTTCTTATAGCGAGAACGCTGTCCTACGGCAAATCAGAGGTTTTCAGGACGGAGAAAAGAACTTAAGATGAAGTGGTGTAAGCATTCAATAGCGTTATGCACGCACCAGAAAGACTGGAGGTAGAATAAAAGCAGAATAACGAAATCTTTTGTCCTCCTACCCCGTGCTTTTTCTCCAGCTTTTGCCTCCTTGCACCTGGGAAATAGCACCTGATGTCTACGATGATATTTGTTCCTCTAGTACACATGATAGGTTTGCCGCCAAAGCCAAAAATAGGTCGTCTACTTTCAATGTATGCCATCTGTATAAATACACAAAGTATGCTACCTGATGATACGAACAACGCGATTTGCTATGAAACTACCCTTTGAATGGTAAAGGAGTTGGTGAGTGTCCGCCTATATTTGTAAGGAAATTGGAAAACCCCCAATGCTTTACAGGCATAAACAAAATAGAATTGCCTGTGTGGTACTGTTCACAAAAGAAACCCTTGATGGATGGTGGGATTTTAAGTAGTGTACTGAGGAGAATTAATGCCAGGTGAAGGAAAATTCCTTTTTATTGAATATGCTAGATATCATCCAGCTGATCTCACTGAAAAATACAGCAATATTAAAGTTGTTTTCTCCCCCCAAATGCCACGTCAAAGCTGCAGCCCCTCAATCTAGGGATAGTCTAATCTCACTGTAGAAAGCAGTATGTAGAGACTAAATTAAGTAAATGCTTAATGGCAACAATTGTTTTTAGCTCCATATCAGTTCTGTAAACAATTTGTTGGTCTTCAGAAGCTTGATAATCTGTAGATTTGACAGTAATTCAGAAATGTTTCGGAAGATGTGTAATTCTTGACAAAGGCTTCAATGTTGTTGAATAAAGATGTCTTGATAAAGAACAACGGGCATGCAACAGAAGCTAATGAAGTTAACAAGTTTTCAAGCCATGTTACAGGTGTTTATTACAGCAAACTCTCCAGTAGTTTAAGACAAACAACCCTAGATATGCATATGAAATGCGTTTGTGCTGAAAAAAACTTTTGATCCTCACTAAACCAGCCAATTCAGGCACATCACGGAGTGGCTTGATTGAGTTTCTGAGATCCAGCTACCTCACTAATCCAGGCACTTGTTCAGGTCCCAAGTGTGGCTGGAATAGTTACTGAGATCCCACTGTGGTTATTTTTAGGACATGCCTTCGAGGGAATTACGTACTTTGTGATGTTTGGGTGTATGTAACATTATACAGGGAATTGTGTGTGTGTATTTGTGGAGGAGGGGGTTAGAAGAGGGGAAAAGAAGAGAGTGTGGGAGAATGAGATGTAGCGACAGAGACCCGGGGCGGAGGGGGTTGGGAGAATGGCCTGTCAGCATCATCAAAGCACAAGACCACTGGACAGACATATATGTACTCAGACTTTCTATGGAGTCGCAAACCGCAGTGTGCCTCCCCATAGTATTTGATACAGGAGCGACAGTACTCAAGGCCGGTGATTGGGGGAACTACCTTACTGATCATCATTGACCACGAGTTTCAGTTTCTTTAATGTCCCGACTCATGGCCAACTACAGTAGGGGCGGGGCGGGACTGCTCCCGTTAGTTGGAGTCCGGCATGTACATGTGTGAAATGTTTAGCTATAGCCGAAGCGGAGGTCTATCGTGTAGCGAGCATGGTCAGTTAGGCTAATGTACGTACGTTGCTACGTAATGTTACGACGAATCTCTAACCATTTGCAAAAAGTAACTGTAGAAGATGTTTGTCAAAAACTGCGAACTTTTACTTTTTTACTTTCAGGTTTGCATAATCACTTCTTTGGTTTTGTAGAACTGATGGTGACATTGGTGTATGTGTTACTGCTCCTGGTGGGGCAATAACGTCTGTACCAGTATGGACACAAAGAAAGAAGCAGCTTATGAATGGAACTTCAATGTCTTCTCCACATGTATCTGGATGTATAGGTATGTTAAATACTGGCGTATGTAGTAAGCCTGTAGCTTAGGAGCCCATACAGGTTCAAAGTAGATAGTTTATGGGGTTTACTTTTTTAGAGCCAGGTTGGCACAACGTCACGTGAAGGTACAAGGGTTAATAGTCCAACAATCATTTTAAAGGGTTAATGTGCGTTGGAAAAAAAGGAGAAATATACAAAACAGAGTTACGCTCTTGTACACATGAAAATAAATGCAACCAGTTTCCTTCAATAAAAATTGTTCACATACAGAAGTAAGCTTTAGCACAACAGGGTTGTAACATGCCATCAGTATGCAACGGACATGTTGGCCTGCGTGTATCGAGGCGGTGTCGTGACAATGAGTCAATGCGCAAAAGTCCAACGTGTCCGTTGACTCTTACTGAAATAGATTACCACATTACAGTAGCGTACATTAGTAGAGAGAGAGAGACACCGGAGCTAACGGCCAGCTCCACACACACACAATGACCATGACACGACTGACTCGACTGTTGCCAGACAGGCCGGTTTTACAGAACAGAAAAGCGCGCACTACATGATTACACAACTGAACATAACCGTAATACAATACTATAACGTGACCTAAGCGATAACGTGACCTGAACATAACCGTAATACAATACTACTAGGAATGCGCACGCGCATATTTTGCCTCGAGCATACCAGCCAATGCATAAACAGTCCGATTGAGGCCGCTTGTGCGCGCGCTCTACTGACTGCGCGCTAAGCCAGACTTCCTACGAATCTGCGCGCACGGCGGAAGCTAGACTTCCTACGAATGACGGAAGTTACATTTCCTTTTGGTGACTACTTGACATTCCTAAGCGTGACTAATTGACGACGTACGTACGCATATCGCGAGAATACAACCCGGAGTAGTTGCCTCACGCTAACGCGCTCGGCAATAACGTGACCTAAGCGATAACAACATAACGTGACCTGAGCGAATGACACACATACACAATAGATAGTGTCCTTGAGTTCACCACAGTCATAAATGCTATAAGCTAGTTCCACTAAAGTTCAACCTGACCACATAAACAACTGTTCACCTTCGCACCCACAGTTGCATAGCCGGACATATTTGGAGGGTATTTACGCCCACGGTGGCATACCCAGAAATATTTTCGAGACGCTTTTCATGTGCTGAATGCAATGCAATAATTAACCCTCGGCGCGCATGCGCAGCGAGGGTTACGGTAGTTGGTTTGTCTGTCTGTCTGTCTGTCTGTGTGTCAACGCTTATTCTGGCACTACAGGCTATGAGGCGGCCAATTAGCGATACCAGCGGCTTCAGAACTATGCGAGCCTGGAAAATAAAAGGCGTTTCTCTTGAAATGACTGCATTCGAGAGATATGCCATGAAAACAAGCCAAAAACCAATATGCATAATTGCGTTGGGCTTACTGCAACCTGATCCACTCGCTCTGTGTACCCTGGAAGCTAAGGAAATCACAACGAACGGCATGTATCGACTCCCGCATGCTATCGTAGCAATCCCGTGTCGTACTCTCCGCGCGCACTAGCGGGAGACCACGAGTAAACGCATACTACTAATAGCTCAGCCCATCAATTAGCAGTATCGCGCATGCGCAGTTCGCCGAGGGTTTGCACTTTAGCGCTTTTCATTATTGTTATCGACGATCACTTGCAAGCCACCCACAATAGCTTGCCTGACAACATTTTTAAACCTCTTTACTTTACCTCTACTGGGTTTTCTCTGTGTTTCATGTTCGTTCACTTAATACGGTATTATTTTCCTCTTGCAAGTTGTCGAACTAAAACTGTAGAGTGCACGTGACGCAATTTTGCATGTACATGTATGCACAGATGCGTGGTCAACTTTACTGCTCCTATAGTGCACCCAAACCCTTCCCCTATGTGTGAATTTAGTTCTTTGCCTCTACTGAAGGCAGCAGCTTGCAAAGTAGCTGAACACGCATTACGAGCCACGAGGGTTAAGGGGACTGTGAATTGTTTCGCCCACGCCGCTAACAGTTCGCTTAACTTACACGTGTTACGTTAACTATGGAGTACTGTGGTCAACAACCACCTGTGCATTACGTAGCTCTGTGTCAGTTTTGTCGTTCTTTGTTTTTGTACTGTACTTTGAACGAAGTAGAAGGCTTGCCCAGAGGGTGAAATTGTTTTAAGAAGCAATTGCGAGACACGGACACGTGAAGCTCGTGGATCGACGGATACTTCGTAGCGTATGCGACAATAAGGTGCCTGTTATGAAAATGATCTAGGTTAGGAAAAGAAGGCACGCATGCTCTTAAATGGTTGAAATACTAAGAGTAGGTGGTACTTTCGATAGGTTGTATAACTTCATTGGTGCGAGAATTGATGCACGTTATTTTCTTTGTGTAGCGTGGTTTCCTCGAACGTATCACTAAGTATACACTGTAGTAGTGAGTATATAGGGATGGGCATGGTACATACTTAGCATCATAGATGTACGGGGCTACGATAGGGGGTTTTGTTCATCATCATCGTCATCATGTTCTTCTTCTTCTTCTTAAACCGGCATAACTCAAAAACCGTTACATTTGTAGGAATGTACATATCCATAACCACATATGCAACGTCATACTTTTTTGACGATCTTGTTTACTGTAAACAACAACAAAATTACCCCAGGCAATACATTATAATAGGAATACATGTGTCAGTGTAACTCACAATTGGTACGTAAGAGCTATGTCAACGAAAATATGTATACATGATGTATTCAATAGCCAACGTCAAAATCACAACAATGTTTGTGAATAACAACAAATAGCCTCAGGCATTGGTGTCTGTCTGTCTGTTACTCGACATCTCACTTCTCGAGTGCTTGTTCGTCTCACAAAGGATATGACCTACTTAACGTGCAATGAAGGTCAGAAAGTTCGAACGTTTTCTCTGAAACTGCTCCGTTGCAAAGCTAGAGCGCGAAAATGGCGCATGACTTTACTTACGTGTGGGCGTCACAATGCACTGAGGGTTTGCACTTCAGTGCTTTTCATTTTCTCTATTATTAATTTTTTATAGGGGGTTGCCCCCCCTTTACATTAGTAGTATTAAAAAATGAGTGGTGACAAGCGAATTAAAAAAATAGGCATAATTATATGGATGGTATAAAAAGAAAGGGAGACAAGATATGGATGGGATACATGAAGCATTGTTAAGGAACAGATTTGAGCGCACTGACACCCCAACCCCAACACACAATCCCTATATTGTTGTCTAGGTGCAAGTATTAAAAATATTCACCATTACAATGCTCAGAACTTATAATACAAAAAAGTCATGCTACTGAGTAACCTACTCTCAACTCTGTTCATTAACCATGCTTCATGCATCCCATGCCTATCTTGTCTCCCTTTCTTTTTATACCATCCCTATATATATATTTTTTAATTCGTAGGATTTTTACATTATGTTTGCAACTGCTGATAGAGTAGAAGAACCGTTTTTTTTTAAAAAACACCGAGAATGTCTTGCCGGTACGCTGTCTCTACACACAGCGACGGCAGAGCTAATTATAACTTTTTAGATAGACTCTGTCGATATGTCAGGCCAAGTTGAAAATTGATTGGACATGGTCAGTCACAGAAATCAACAAGCAGTGAGAGTTACACATACTTCAACAAAAACGCACACAAGGATGCACTCAAATGCACTGAGAACGCAGTAGATTTGTGGTGGTCAGATCCTCGTAGGCCTAACCAAGAACCAAGAAAAGAATACAGGCCAAGAGACTGCGATATTCAGACAGAACCATCCACTAATGATGCAGACGCTGCTGAATTTAGCTTGAATGATTGGGAGGAGTGGTTTGCATAGTGTGTATGTCCAGATGGTAGGCCCAGTGGAGCCAGGGAAGTGCTGACTGCAGCTGCCCTTGTGGACGCCTATGTTAACAGAAGCCCCATCTGTGCCACCACCAACTAGAACTGAGCCACTCCTCCCAAGCAGCCCCTCCCTGTCACGGATGTCTTCCAGCCTTAACGCTCGCGCACAGGAATTCTCGCCAAGACTCTCGCAGCGTTTTCGCTTGGCCATTTTGTCCACAGGAAATGAAAATTGACCGGCCGTGCCTGCTATATGAACGGCAAATGGCTGATGTCCGACAGTTATAATTAGCTCTGGACGGTTTGGATACAGGGCGAGTATCAACTCCTGCATGCTCTATAGTTGTGTAGCTAGCCAGTTACAGACTCTCAGTGAGCCCAAGAGACCACAAGCATAGTAAAATAGCCCAGTCCATCAATTAGCGGTTACACACGCATTGTCTACTGTGTCAATTGTTTTCACTTCAGTGCTTTTCATTCATTGTTATTTAAACTTGCTGTCAAATGTGTTGACCATTTATCTTTTCAGCTTTGATATTATCAGCCCTCAAAAGTGATAAAATGCCCTACAGTCCAGCATTAATGAAGAAGGTCATTGAGAATACAGCTACCCCTCTTGGTAAACATGATCCATTTTCTGTTGGCCATGGAGTGATACAGGTTTGTTGTGATGTTTGAATAATCTGAGTATTTTTGTGAGCATCCAGTAAAACGTCCCCTCCTGAATGGAGAAAGCAGTAAAGTTGAACCTAAGTTGTTACTATACAGTGTAGTTACAACCCAAAGATCTGTTACCTGTAATAGTGTGTGACAATTTCTACCGACAGTGTACTCTTTTGGTTCACTGATTGAAGTTTGCTCAGCCACACACTGGTGAACATTTGTGATCTAGCGAGGCTGGGGGGTAGGCAGTTTTATTTAGTTTTTTCAAGAACCTGCGTCTCAAGTATTCTTTAAGATATCCGAAGTGTTTTCTAGACTTTTTTCTTCCTAGCCTAGTTTCTCTGGCAATAGCAGAGCTGCATGATTTTTTCCCTTTGCTGCTCCCATTTGTCTAATATTCCAAGTAAACTTCAGTAGTTGAGCTTGGTGAGATAATGTTGCTGGGAACCTTTTCCTAAACGGATATTCCGTCTGCTAGTTTACAACTTCTTTCAATTATTGTGTTGCCACTGCCGTAGATGCATATTGCTTCTTGTTGTCAACTGTTTGCGGTGTCCTGCGTGCCTCACCCTGTGACACTATTGTTGCTTGGTGTGCCACTCATTTTGAACTCTATAACAGTGTTGGTTACTAGGAAGCATGACTTTTTTGTATTTATTCCTGACTGTGATAGTGAATGTTTCATACCTTACCTAGGCAACAATATGCGGATTGGGTCAGGGGTTTCAGCATGCCAAAATACGTTCATTAACCATGCTTCCTGTATCCAATCCCTATCTTATGCACACATATTTGAGGTTTGTATGTTTCACTTTCAGTTTTAAGCAGATCCTATATAAGTCTGATTTGTATGATCATAAAGAGCATGTACACAAGAAATGCCTCGAAAATCGCATAGCCGCTAATTTAAAAAGTCGGTTTTCATAATTTGTTTTGTTGTCGTTAAGTTTAGACAAGTGTATCTCAAAAGATGAAACTTTTCACAGATATCACTAAGTACGGTAGTACTTAGTATATAGGGATTGACATGGTACCTAGCATCATAGATGTATGGGGCTATGATAGGGAGTTTTGTTCATCTTCTTCTTCTTCTTCTTCTTCTTAAACCAGCGTAACTCAAAAATCGAAAGAGATAAAGCCATGAAATTTTGTAAGAATGTACATATCGATAACCACATGTGCAACGTCATACTTTTTAGTTTTTAAACAATGTTGTTTACTGTAAACAACAACAAAATTGCCCCAGGCCATACATTATAATGGGCAATACGTTATAATGGGCATACTACATGTGTTAGTGTAACTCACAATTGGTAAGAGTTATGGGAGCTGAAGTTTGTATACACAATGTATTCAATAGCCAACATCAAAATGACAACAATACATGCTTGTAAATAACAACAAATAGCCTCAGGCACTTTTGTTTAAAATTACTTCTTCACTGCTCAAAATTTGCTAACTGTAGTAGCACGCATGGAGGTGAAACTTGGTATGCATGTGTAATACATCGTTTTCATGACGACCACAATAACAAATAGCCTGAGGCACTTTTCTTTAAAATTACTTCTTCACTCCTAAAACTTGCTAACTGTAGCACGCATGGAGATGGAACTTGGTACGCATGTGTGTAACATCGTTTCCATGACGACCACAACAACAAATAGCCTCAGGCACTTTTCTTTAAAATTACTTCTTCACTGCTCAAAATTTGCTAACTGTAGCATGCATGGAGGTGAAACTTGGAATGCATGTGTATTACATCGTTTCCATGACGACCACAATAACAAATAGCCTGAGGCACTTTTACTTCTTCACTCCTAAAACTTGCTAACTGTAGCACGCATGGAGATGGAACTTGGTACGCATGTGTGTAACATCGTTTCCATGACGACCACAACAAAAAATAGGCACTTTTCTTAAATTACTTCTTCACTCCTAAAACTTGCTAACTGTAGCACGCATGGAGGTGAAACTTGGTACGCATGTGTATTACATCGTTTCCATGACGACCACAATAACAAATAGCCTGAGGCGCTTTTCTTTAAAATTACTTCTTCACTCCTAAAACTTGCTAACTGTAGCACGCATGGAGATGGAACTTGGTATGCATGTGTGTAACATCGTTTCCATGATGACCACAACAACAAATAGCCTCAGGCACTTTTCTTAAATTACTTCTTCACTCCTAAAACTAGCACACATGGAGGTGAAACTTGATACGCATGTGTGTAACATCGTTTCCATGATGACCACAACAACAAATATATAGCCTCAGGCACTTTTCTTTAAAATTACTTCTTAACTCCTCAAACTTGCTAATGGCAGCACACATGGAGATGAAACATGGTATGCATATCATTTCCATCACGAGAACAGGCATTTTTTCGTCTATTATTAATTTTTATAGGGGCTTGCCCCCTTCCACAGAGATAATACGTAGTAGTATATAAAAATGAGTGGAGACAAGTAAATTAAAAATCCTGCGAATTTAAAAAAAGAGGCATATAGGGATGGTAGAAAAAGAAAGGGAGACAAGATAGGGATTGGATACATGAAGCATGGTTAATGAACAGATTTGAGTACGCTGACACCCCCAACCCCATCACACAATCCCTATATTATTGTTGCCTGGTGTGCTACTCTTATAAGGGCTAAAGGTTACTAAAAGCAGGCATTCTTTCACCGTGTCCTTGCTTTTAGTAACATTTATACTGCCACATTCCGTTTAATTAAACTCCACTTGGACTCTATAAGGGTGTTGGTTACTCAGTAGTGCATTGTAAGTCTGAGTATTGTAATGGTGAATGTTTAATACTTCACCTAGGCAACAATAAATTATAGGGATGGTGTGATGGGGTTGGGGGTGTCAGCGTACTCAGATCTGTTCATTAACCATGCTTCATGTATCCAATCCCTATCTTGTCTCCCTTTCTTTTTCTACCATCCCTATATGCCTCTTTTTTTAAATTCGCAGGATTTTTAATTTACTTGTTGGAATGTGTGATTCGACATGCATGAGCATTTTTGTTTGGTACCTAACAGTGTTGTTTACATGTAAACAACAAAAATAGCCCAGGGCAATACTTTATGATAGAGACCCAATAAAATGTGCCAGAGTGATAGAACTTTGTACACATGCATTATCAAAATGTAAACCTTACAAGTTTTTAAAGAACAACAAACAGCCTCGGGCAATAAATGGTGTTTGTGCCTATAGCTTACTTACGGTTAACCTTCTAACAATGAAACTTGGTACACTGATATACCATAAGATTTCATCAAAACAGAAATTACAACTTTGTAAACAACAACAAATGGCCTCGAGCAATAAAGACTTGTAGATTGTGTTTGTTCCTATAACTTGCTTGTGGTTGGTCCTCTAACAATGAAACTTGGTACAAACTAGTTCATCCCTGTCTTGTTTCCTTGCTTTTTGCATCCATACTTTTTAGATTAGAAATTTTTTTTCATTCACTGCATCGATGTGATCCTGGAACGATTGCATGAGCTTTATATTTGCATGTCGGGATAGAAATTGAACTTACCATCAAACGCGTACAGAGAGTTTTTCCTTATTCTTGCACAATGTACGTTTATTGGACAAGAATTGTAGCTTGTGGTTTGTTTATTATCCTTGGCTTACGTAATATTCGGTGTTATAATGTGATCTTGAAACAACGACATGTTGTTTGCAACCATCATTAAGTACAGTGGCCCTCAGTATGTAGGTGTCTAGCATCAAACATGTTTTGTTATCGTCTCCTCCTACTTATTCTATTCTCCTCTCCATGTTCCTAAGAACAGCCATTTCGGCCAATTTGTTTGACAGGTTGACAAGGCTTTTGAAGCTGCAAAAAGAGGCTTGGCATCTTCACTTGTTGATTTGCAGGTCAGTATGTCTTTGTATCATAGGAATGATACAGGTTATGCTCATGCATTTGAGATTTGTATGTTTCACTTTCAGTTTTAATCAGATCCCACTTCTGACATATCAGCACAATAGGTCTGGAACACAGGAAAATCATTTTTATGGAGTGTGTAGTTCTTCTAGCATGACACTACAGTTGAAATTCCTTCATTTGTGCAAATATCTCCAATTAGGCGGTTTGATTAACAAAAGTAGAATTTTTGCATTGTGCTGGGTTTTTGAAGGTCAACCTCACAGAAGTAAAGTGAATTATGCTAAGTTATTAACCCTCGGCGCGCATGCGCAGCGAGGGTTACAGTAGTTGGGTTTGTCTGTCTGTCTGTCTGTTACTCTTCATCTCACTTCTCGAATGTTCTTTCGTCTCGCAAAGGATACCACCTACTGAACGGGCAATGAAGGTCAGAATTTTCGAACGGTTTTCTCTGAAAACGCTCCGTTGCAAAGCTAGAGCACGAAAAAGCCAATATGCAAATACACAACGGACGGAACGGCTTACCGCGGTCTGATCGATCCGCGTGCTCTGCGTACCTCGGAGGCACCAGAAGATGCAACACAGGGCGTGTATCGCCTCTCGCATGCTATCTAGTAGTGTAGTTAGCCCGCGTCAGATTCTTCGCGAGCTGGGAAGAGACCACGAGTGACAGCTAAAACTAAACCCAGCCCATCAATTAGTGGTACGGCGCATGCGGTTACTTACGCGTGCGCGTCACTGTGCGCCGAGGATTTGGACTTCAGTGCTTTTCATTCATTAGTTGTCCTAATTTACATTGTTCCACACAAACGATATGAATTGACTTCTTCTTCTTCGGATACAACAGCCATAACTCAAAAATGAAACAACACAGTAGTGTAATTTTGTTAGAATGTAACTCTCACTCTAACTCTCAGACGGTACCACCCATTTACATAAAACTTGGTACACATGTGTACTATATACAGCACATCCATGACAACTGCCTGTTTGTAAACAACAACAAATAGCCCCAGGCACTTATATTGAAAATTACTTCTTTACTCCTCAACTTGTTAAACATGCATGTAGATATGTTGGAAAATGCACATTCCAAACACCCCCAGAGACTGCGTATAAATAGCCAAAACACCTGTGTTAGAGAATGTTTCACCTTCAGCAAGATGTCACTGCACAAGCAGCTCTCCACAAAAATAGTCCAAAACATGCCCATACAACACTATAAACATAGAAGCAAGTCTCTGCTTTGCAAGCCGGCTTGGGCCTGTAAAGCCCTAATCTGCTTTCCAGCCACTTCCTTTTGTGCGCATGCGTGAGAGAGGGAATGCCTCAAGACGGTTAATGAGTACTCCGACCCCTCACGCAATCCCTATATTGTTGCCTAGGTGAAGTATTAAACATTCACTATATTATTAACCCTCGGCGCGCATGCGCTGCGAGGGTTACTGTACTTGGTCGGTAAGTTTGTCTGTCTGTCTGTCTGTCTGTTACCACGTTTTCTTCAACCACACGCAACGAGACAACGAAAGAGCTATACCAACAGGTTCATCGCTACACTGGGTTCCTTTTTTAAAAGGACGATTTTCGTAAAACTGCGGCGTTCAAAAGTTATGGCGTGAAAAGCAAGTTAACATGCCAATGTGCTAATTAGTATTCGCTTACTTCTAGGAAGCGAGAAATAAACGCATGCGTGTGTTACACTGACGGGTTGCGCATAATGATCACGTGTTTTTCGCCGTAAATGGGCGGTCATGGTTTGAGGGCAGCGTTCGAGGATATTTCTTGTCATTTCTGGTGCAAATACTTATTTGAGCTGGCAATCAGCACTCGTCTACATTCCGAGCGTTGTAGGCAGAGGGGGCTGACCGATGGAGAGCGCGATAGACGCCTGAAGATGTCCGCAGTGTGACACAACAGTACTCGGCGGCGTGGAACCACGCATGTGACACATAGCCCAAACCACATACGTGGTTCCACGCCGCCGAGGGTTTTACACTTTAGTGCTTTTCATTATGTCGGCACCCATAGCTTGAAAATTTCTACAGACAAAGCAACCAAACTGAGCTTAATAGTGACACACCAGGCAACAATATAGGGATTGCGTGATGGGTCGGGGGTGTCAGCGTGCTCAAATCTGTTCATAAGCCATGCTTCATGTATTCCTTCCCTGTCTTGTCTCCCTTTCTTTTTATACCATCTTTATATTCCTCTGTTATTAAATTAGGAGGATTTTTTATTTACTTGTTGATTTACGTAGCATGCATAAGGCAGAAAGTACTCATTAACCGGGTTGACACATCATATACGCTGTTAGGTGTGAAAACAAAGTTTCTACCATTTCTGTTACCTTGCTGACGCTATGCTGATTAGGTTACAGTTTCTGGAGGTAGTGGACGAGGAATCTACTTAAGGGAACCTCATGAAGTTGAAAAATTATATCTTGCTACTGTTACCGTACAACCAATATTTATGCAGAAAGCAGGTTAGCAAAAATATATGTACTGCATTGGAACTCTAATAACGGACAATCCTAAATTTGCAATATCTTTCGTATAGCAGACAAAAGTCAGTATGCTCCCGCACACTTCCACATTTAAGTCTCGTCCCCAGACCACCCATGCATTGGAACAAGACCAGCAGACTATGCTGTAGAGGCTCATTGCTACATAGTCTATCAATAAGTCAGAGCTACGTAATTGTGAACTTCGGCGTAGTAGCAATATTACTGACAAACATCTAGAGACCTTTCGGTCAGTAGACCTTCCTCAGTCAATGATAGCACAACTACAGAACTGACCATTTAAGTAGTGACTGTATGCCTAAATAAGGAAAGAGTGAAAACAAGTGGAGAAGATAAAGACAGAACAACAGAATAGGTGATGAACAACAGAAACTAGACATGTAGGCTGGGATAACACAGACAAGACGCGAGCCAGAGCAGAAGAGAGACTGGATTTGTCATAGGGAAACACAGTGAAGATAAACTATAAGCAGGGGCGTCCAGATGAGGCACCACTACGCTGTCAGGAGCAGGGACTCTAGGAATGGGATAGCGATGCATGCAAGTACCAACCAGAACAATGTGGACTGGGATGCCGCTAAGGTGGTAGCATACGAGGTGCACCTAATCAGTAGAGTCCCTGCATATCAGAGAACAGACAAACACAAGCAACCTGGACAGTGGCTATACAGTTAGCCCCAACCGGGACGCCTGTTTCAAAACTGTGCTAGAGTGTGGACTTGCTTGTTTGGATTGCATAGTTGCGCTTGCTCCACAGGCTTGATATGCCCCTATAATCTTATTGATAAGTATATCATTTGTAAAGAACACTTTTTGTTTCTAAATCATTGTTGCACTTTGTTTTGTTTGTGTTTAGAAACTGAAGAAAAGGCTTCATTTGAATTAAAGTTAGCTCTTTTGAGCAGCAAATCATGGGTTTTGTCTCCTAACCACTTAATTGTTTGGAATGGAGGTACGTATATAATACATTACGAGTGGTGCAAGTTAATGTGTATTGTCTATATTTGGATGCTTGTGTAATCTGTCTGGTTAGTATTGTTGTTTAAAAACCTGTTGCACCTATTAGCTTGCATGGCAAGCAGTGTTAGCAAACCAATAAAGGAGCTCCCTTAGCTGGATTTATCACTAAGTACGGTAGTACTTAGTATATAGGGATTGACATGGTACCTTGCATCATAGATGTATGGGGCTATGTTAGGGAGTTTTGTTGTTCTTCTTCCTGTTCAACCAGCATAACTCAAAAACCGAAAGAGATAAAGCCATGAAATTTTGTAGGAATGTACATATCGATAACCACACAGGCACTTTTCTTAAAAATTACTTCTTCACTCCTCAAACCCGCTAACGGTACCACGCATGGAGATGAAACTTGGTATGCATGCGTGTAGCATAATTTCCATGACGACCACAACAACAAATAGCCTCAGGCACTTTTCTTTAAAGTTTACTTCTTCACTCCTCAAACTTGCTAACTGTAGCACGTATGGAGGTGAAACTTGGTGCGCATGTGTATTACATCGTTTCCATGACGACCACAACAACAAATAGCCTCAGGCACTTTTCTTTAAAATTAATTCTTCACTCCTCAAATTTGCTAACTGTAGCACACATGGAGGTGAAACTTGGTGCGCATGTGTATTACATCGTTTCCATGACGACCACGACAACAAATAGCCTCCGGCACTTTTCTTTAAAATTACTTCTTCACTCCTCAAACTTGCTAACGGCAGCACACATGGAGATGAAACATGGTATGCATATCATTTCCATGACGACAACAGGCATTTTTTCTCTATTATTAATTTTTAAAGGGGCTTGCCCCCTTCCCCAGAGATAATACGTAGTAACGTGTAAAAAATGAGTAGAGACAAGTAAATTAAAAACCCTGCAAATTTAAAAAGGTGGCATATAGGGATCGTATAAAAAGAAAAGGAGACAAGATAGGGATGGTGTTTGTGGAAGCACAGAGATGGTAGCGAGGAGTTAGGACTCCCACAGGTCATTACAACAGCCCTATATCGTTGTATCGGTGCTTTACTTCCTTGTGAATATATCAGCCAACCTTGCATACTTGAATTTTGTTTTCTTGCGTTACACAATTTTCCCATGTTTCCATGTATATACGTACATGTATATCCAATGTTATGGTCAGCTGATTACACTTCCACCTAAATGCGCACTCCATGGAAACAAATCTATCAAAGGTAATTAGTAAGTACTTCATTACCTATAGCAATATTCTACAGACTCTGTCATCACTCCCACTCCCACCCTATGGAGAAGATTGAAAACTTTCCCTATCATAGCCCAAAACATCTATGATGCTAGGTACTCACACCGTACGACGATATAGGGCTGTTGTAATGACCTATTGGAGTTCTAACTCCTCGCTAGCATCTCTGTTCTTCCACAAACACCATCCCTATCTTGTCTCCCTTTCTTTTTATACGATCCCTATATGCCACCTTTTTAAATCCTAAATTCGCAGGATTCTTAATTTACTTGTTATATTTTGCGTGTGCTGATCAAAGGCACCACCAGTGCTTTATTCATGATAAAAGAACACTTTTGCTCTTAAGCACAATGCGGTAGTACAAACGGCTGCCGCTTTTCAGGCACAGTTAAAGGAGAGACAGGTACCAGAATCGTATTTAACCGATTACACGCCGTTGTCGCCTGTACGCGACAGATCCGCGCGCGCTGGCAACGCCGCTGTCGCTTATAGGTGACACACGTACCTGTCAAAGTCAATGTGCTTCCGCTCCACGGCTGTAGCATCGATCCTTTTCACAACCTTTCCACTGCATGAAGTTCAGCTAACTAAAAGTGCACTTTGAACTTTGTACTCTCATATATAAAGCGGGAGAAAACGGGCCAAGTTTACAAACGCTGGTTTGCGCGCGCACAGCGATATCTGCAGCCGGTGCGTCTTTATTCTACGGAGATATTGCTACGCATCTTTGATTTTCTGCTGTAAGTGAATAAAAACATCATGAATATATAATATTCAGTACAGTATTTGTACAGTTTGATAGCATGGCTAGGCAAAGATTCACAGCAAATGACGTACTGGGATTGCTAGAGTGTGATGATGATCATGATGAACCAATGATGCAAGATAGTGACAATGAAGACTTTCTGTGTGATGAAGGTAAACTCAACAGCTAATACAACTACATAAATTACTGTTATGATCTAGCAGATGAGATTGACTATGAAGATGACGAACAGCCCAGGATGCACGCTGTACGGTCCAGCAATTCTCTCCCAACATCAATTGCTACCAACACCCCCAGCGATCATTCTCTCTTCCCACCATCTGTTGCTACCAACAACACCCCCAGCAATCACTCTCTCCTCCCGACATCGGTCGCTACCAACCCCCCCAGCGATCACTCTCTCCTCCCGACGTCGGTCGCTACCAACCCCCCCCAGCGATCACTCTCTATTCCCGACATCAGTTGCTAGCAATTGTCTCCCTCCCAGCACTCTTTCTCCACCCACTGTGTCCCAAACACCTTACACTCCAGCATGGAGTAGACAGACTCATCCTGTCACCGTCGCCCAATTCACCAGTGCAGTAGGTCCTACGTTTGATGTCCCAGAGTCTCCCTCCTCTGTGTTCCTTCTTTTCTGGCCTGACAACTTTCTGCAAGAGATCTGTGCACAAACAAACATCTACGCACAACAGGTAATGGGGCCAGCGAAGTACGCAGATTGGGTGGAGGTGAGTGTGCCAGAGTTGAAAGCCTATTTAGGGTTTTCAATACTCGTGGGGATTGTGAAGCTCCCAGCACTGGATGACTACTGGAAGGTTGACCCGTTTTTACACTTCCCCCCCATCGCCAGTCGCGACAGCGTTTCAGGGACATCTCCCGCTACCGCTACCTCCACTTTGTGGACAACACCCAGCTAGTGCCTCGTGGTCAGCCTGGCTACGACAAACTGGGGAAGGTGCGATCGGTCATTGACCACTGCAGTAGTGTGTTCAGGGAGAGTTACAACCCACACTGTGAATGCGCGGCTGATGAGGCAATGGTCAAATACCAAAGCAGGACGTCCCTCAAACAGTACATACCACAGAAACCGGTAAAGAGAGGGATAAAAGTGTGGGTCAGGGCTGACAGCCACAATGGCTACTTCAGCCAGTTTGAGGTGTACCAGGGGAAGGGGAGCAACACTACACCTGAGCTTGGTCTTGGGGGGTCTGTGGTGAAGACCTTGACGCGGCCTCTTGTGGGGAAAAACCACCATATCTTTATGGACAACTTTTTCACGAGCCCAGCACTGTTCATGGACCTGCTTCAGGATGGCATCTAACGGTCAGATCCAACAGGAGAGGTTTTCCACAAGATCTGAAGGGGAAACGAATCTTGAAGAACAGGTATACACACTCTACACACACACACACATCTACAGGTACACACTCTACATACACACACATCTACATACATACATATTACGCTACATACATAGTTTTATAATACACACTTTTGCAGGGGGGATTTCACAGTTCCACAGTCTGGTCAGTTGACGGCAACAGTCTGGTTGGACAACAAAAGCAGGTGCAATTGATGGCGACCAATGTTCAGCCAGATGAGAGAGGGACTGTCAGACGCAGGCACACTGACACCACTGTGCGTGAGGTCCAGGCACCGACAACAATAATTAGCTACAACAAGTGGATGGGAGGAGTGGACAGGGGTGATCAGCTACGGCAATACTACCACCTACATCTAAAGAGCCGGAAAGTGTACAAGTACATTTTCTGCTTTCTTGTAGACGTCTCCATCGCCAACGCGTTCATCCTCCACAAGTACAACACCTCCATCCACCAGACTGTCACCGTTCAAAGCCTTTCGTCTCGTACAAATGTTGCGTAAAAACTTACCTTCACACCGTTGCAGAAGCTGCACTGCAGGGACTCTTCTTTATAGCGTGTATAAAAGTTCCACCGTTTTCTCGCCTGGACGCCCGGAACACGAAGACCACGTGTATGTACGCGGTTGTGAAATCCGGCCCCAGCAAGAAGCGTGCAGCACCAACAGCAGCTCCAGTTGTCCCCCGACCCCGACGACCAACAGCCCAAGCCCACTTCCCATTGCGGCGACCAACAGGCAGCGTTGTTGGTACTGCTCCCACACATGTCGGCCGCCACTGAGGAGAGAGACAATGTGGTACTGTGGAGAGTGCGACTTGTACCTCTGCCACACAGGAGTCAGAGAGACTGACTGCTTCATGGCACACCATAAGCACTACTATGAATATTATGCATACAACCTACGCAGCTAGCGCAAAATACATGTAAAGCGGCAGGTTCTAACGGCAAACCCATCTGTGTATAAACTTACCTACACAGGTTTCGTGAAGCTTTCAGGGAATCTTCTTCACATTAGCGCTGAGTTGCATATCCAAAAGCTCCGACGTCTTCTTGCCTGGTAGCGCGGAACATGAGAACCACATCAACGCGTAATTTTCTTACACAAATGTTGCGTAAAAACTTACCTTCACACCGTTGCAGAAGCTGCAACGGACTCTTCTTCATAGTAACGCTAAGTTGAGTGTATAAAAGTTCCACCGTTTTCTCGCCAGGACGCCCGGAACACGAAGACCACGTGTATGTACGCGGTTGTGAAATCCGGCCCCACACTTACGGTGCCATAAGGGCCCCGCCTGGGTTCTGTACGATGGAGCATTTCGCCGCAGAGCCGAGGTAACAAAGGACCTCAACTGGTCGGTGGTTAACACATCCTTATTCAATCTGTGCTTTGGGGGGAGGGCTCGCCGTCGGGGCATCTGCCAAGTGTGCCTAAGTGAACAGCACACAGCAGAGAGGTGCCCTCGGCTGGTGCTGGCAGTGGGAGGCACACTGGCATACTCGGCTGCGGTCCATCCGGGCATGGCGTATGCTCTGGCTGGCATTCCACCGTCATACCCGCCATCTCCGCCACAGGAGATTTGCTGGCTGTTCAACGCCCGGGGTGGGAACCGATGTAGGTTCCAGCAGTGCAAGTTTGCACACATATGTTACCGGTGCAGGGCTTCAGGCCATGGTGCTGCACAGTGCACAGCTCCTGGAAAGAGCGACAACTTTGGAGGGAAGTGCCCTCAGTTGGGGTAGGAGGACGGTCTACTACGAAGCAGACAGCAGCCCTCGATATGGCTCTTGCGGACGTACGAGTAGAGCTATGTAGTTGTACATGAACTTCTAATGCATATTATACTGGCAGACAGTGTACCAGGAAAGATTACTCCTTATATGTGGCATAGCGGTGCGGGGGATTAATAGGGTTGGCATAAGGGAACGCGATAAGGGGGTAAAGGTTAGGGGAAGGTGTGAAAAAAAGTGTGACCACTCTAGCCTGTCTTTGTTCACTAGTCTGCTAGTGTGACCAAGGTGTCATGCCTCATGATTCAGAAGCAATGCTAGAGGGTCACACCTCTTCTATACGTAGGTAGGATAGAAGCAGGTTCTGAGGTTTGCTCCCCCCCCCCTTGTTTACACGCACACACATACCCTGTAGGTGGATATCAGTACACTGCAGATTGGCTGGCATTAGAGCAGCAGGGAACATCGACTGAAAGGTCTGTCAGCCAGGTGGGGGCTATAAGCAAAGTCACGACCCCGCTCATTTTGACAGAGTGGGAGGCCGCGTTGCAAAGGCACCCAGATCAGGTTTACGCACAATACCTCCTCATGGGGGCTGCGGGATGGGTTTCGCATCGGTTTTGACCGGCAGCAAGCACTCCAGTCGGCCCCAAAGAATATGCGTTCTGCGGTAGAGCACCCAGAGGTTGTATCGGAGTACCTTGCTGAAGAGGTGGCCGCCGGCCGAGTTGTGGGTCCTCTGCCAGAGGAGGTAGGGGTGGCATGGCACATGAGCCGGTTCGGGGTGATACCTAAGCCAAACAAGTGGCGGCTGATTGTTGATCTCTCTTACCCGCCTGTGCATAGTGTCAACGATGGAATTGATCCGGAGTTGTGCTCATTAAAGTACACCAGAGTTGAAGAGGTGGCTGAGTTTCTGTGGCACTATTTGGATGACTTCATCACAGTCGGCAGGGGTAGCACAGGGGAGTGTGAGCTGAATATCTCGATTTTCAACCATGTCTGCAGGCGATTAGGTATCCCGTTGGCAGCAGACAAGTGTGAGGGGCCGGCCGTGCCATGCCTCACATTTCTTGGAATAGAAATCGACTCACAGGAGATGTGAGTTTCGCCTGCCAGCCGAGAAGCTGCAAGTTGCGCAAGAGATTTGGTAGCTGGGCAGGTAAAAAGTCATGCGCAAGGCGGGACAGTTGCAGTCGTAACGCCACTTGCAGCACACAGCCACCGTATGGCGGCCAGGTCGGACCTTCATCAGAGGCTCTATGAAGCCTCGGTGGCGGTAACTAAAGCAGCACATCACCATGTTCGTGCTGAACTCCGATGCGGGTCGGATCTGGCTGGTGGCTACCTTTCTGAGTCCTGGAATGACATATCGTTGTGTGTCAGCAAGTCAACAGCAGGTTCCCTAGGCACGTGGTTGTGTCAGATGCATCTGGCTCATGGGGTGCGGGCATACTATGCCCAGGAATGGTTCCAACTAGAGTGGGCAGGTTCAACTTTGGAAGGGGTCTCAATAGCGTGAAGAACTCATCCCTCTGGTAGTGGCAGTGGCATATGGGGCTCGGATTGGAGAGGGGACGTAGTGTCTTGCAAGAAGACCGGTAAACACAGCGGTGTGGCAGTAATAGCAACCAGAACCTCTCGGGACAAGCACATTATGCAGTTTGCTCAGGTGTCTCTTTTCCTGGAGGCAAAAGACGATGTCACCTGGTGGCATCTCACATACCAGGGGTGCACATGAGCTGGCAGCCCATCTGTCACGTAATTGATGTCTCTCTTTCTGCAGCAGGCCCACCCCTCTACATCCCAAACCCCTCGTTGTCCCCCCAGGAGCTGCAGGCTCTGGTGTTCAGTCAGCAGGACTGACCTCTGCAGCCTGAGGAATCAGTTCAAGAGTATTTTTCAGGCAGGGCGTAGCGCCAGCCACAGGCAGAACATATGCAGCAGTGGTAGAAAGACGGTACAGAGCTTATCGATTCTCTCTACGAGCATCCAAGACCAATTAGACGTCACGCAAAACTACTCGCTGCTACTACGTGTCTCATTTAGCTACACAGGCTTTGCCTACTCGCATAAAGACGCTTTATCTATCTGCAATCAGATACTTCTTAATCATCCAACGACTAGGCACTACGTCAGTCGCCACCACACTTAAGTTGCAGATGTGTGTCAGTTGTTCAGCTGAGTTTATATCAAGGTAAAGGCGCCTCCAACCCCGCTCCCAATTACACCTCCAATTCTTCGCCAATTGCGGTCGGTTTGCGTCAGGAGGATACACAAACTACGACCATATCCTGATATGCTGGCAGTTTGCTGCGTCAGTTTCTTGGTTTCTTCTCGCTGGGCGAACTTGATACCAAGCTACTGGTGTCGACCCAGCCATGCAACGAGTCCAGAAGCTGTAGCGACGTGACTGCCGACTGCCCGAGCAGGCCAAAAACTGATCTCGTGTGCAAACTGACAAGCAAAGGCCAAGACGCGACACGTTTGGAGAGTGTTTGGCGACACAGTATTTCTCAGCAGCTAAGGAAGCCACATTTGACACACATGTTCGTATTTCCCTCTGCCCTCTCCCACATATTTGGGGCCCTCCCGCTCAGACGCGACATCGTCCTCGTGCAGCACTGCTCGCGTACATGGCCGTCCGGACAACATCCAGGTCCACTTTTCAAGGGCTTGGATGGGCACCTCTGGCGAAGCCGTGGATGATGGCAAGCTGCGGGAAGCTTTGGCAGAGGCTGGGCACGATCAGCGGAGTATGCGGACATAGCTTTTAGAATCGGAGCTGCCACGACACGCGGCAGTAGCTGGCATTGAAGATTCCACCATTCAGGCGCTGGGGAGGTGGTCGAGACGCGTCGTTCTTATCGTATATTCGACTGACCCCACAGGAACTTGCACTAATTTCAACCAGGATGGCAGCAACATCCACACCAAACCCCAAGCACGAAATGACCATATACACCGTGTTTGCTTTAAGACATATGTGTATATACTGTTCCTTTTGTGATTGTTGTAGCGAGCGAGGGCATGTGGCTAGAACACCAGGCAAGGATATTGCTTCACTTGGGTGAGGAAGGGAAGGCTTGGCCTTCCCCCTTGGACCATGATGGTGTCGATTACCGACTCCAGCATGCCACTCAAGCGCACAATATAGTGCATGGACTGAGCACACACACTCATGTTAGCGCTCACCTTCATGGGCAAAGGCCATTGCACAATCGCGGGAGCACACCCGAGTGTATAGAGCCGGCAGTGTAGCGCAGTAGTGGGTATCCGTTGCGGGAATAAAGAGCGCCTGGTCAACATGCCTCCAACACAATGAATAATATAGGACACAGTGAACGAGCCACACCTCTCGAGCACTTGCAGGTTCAACCAGCAATCATGTGCGATCCGTAGTTAAGTAGCACAGCTTTCTTACCCCTTGGAGTCATAGCAGTCGTATGTATCTTGACCTTTGCGGAGTGTTATCGCCACATCAGAGCAGCGTTGAGTTGCGGGAAGAAACGAGCTAGAACCGGCTTCATTCCTGCTCATTGCCTTTGAATCACCTATGGTACAATATATCAATTAAATCACGAGGGACGTGCTATACGATGATAGAGGTACTCAATGCTGGTCACTATAGGCCAAAAACACCCGGCTTCCCCTCGTGCTATATGACTATATTGAGACATGCACTCTCGTACCTATATTTCGCGTGCAGCACTACCTTCCGTGCTTTAACTAATACGTAGTGTATTATAATATGTTTAGGCGTTTTCTGCGTGCATCTTCAGAAATGAAATACAGTTTAGCCTCTATTTTGTGGAAGTAACTGAATAATGCTCTATTTGCAGCTCGGCAGTTTAAGGTTGAGGTGGAACCGAGGAACTTACCTAGTGGTGTGCACTATGCTGAGGTTGGTTCATTTTAGGTTTAGCCATAGTGGTGTGAGGTGGCGAGTAGTACGAAGGCAAGGTAGGAGCAGTAGGAGACAACCGAGGAGGAGACACCCACGGCGCGCATGCGCAGCGAGGGTTACAGTAGTTGGGTCTGTCTGTCTGTCTGTCCTTCTGTGTGTCTGTTACTCAACATCTCACTTCTCCAATGTTTTTTCGTCTCACAAATGATACTACCTACTTAACGGGCAATGAAGGTCAGAAATTTTGCGGCGATTTTCCTGAAATAGCTGCATTCGAGAGATATGCCGTGAAAACAAGCGAAAAAGCCAACTGCCTAATCTCACTGGGCTTACCGCGACCTGATCCGCTTGCTCTGTGTACCTTGGAGGCTCAAGAAGTCACAACGAATGGCATGTATCGACTCCCGCATGCTATCTACTACTGTAGCTAGCCCGTGTCATACTCTCCGCGAGCTACTAGCTGGAGACCACGACTCCACGAGTAACACATACAAATAGCCCAGCCCATCAATTAGCAGTATCGCGCATGCGCAGTTCGCCGAGGGTTTGCACTTCAGTGCTTTTCATGTTTATACTACTGATTGTCTGAATGCTGTTTGTAGTCTCGAATCCAGACCCTCTCTTTTCCGCGATCGTTTAATGCATGCAGAAGACAAAAGGAGAGTATATGGACAAATGTAGCACTAACGTGCAAACCCTCGGCGAATTGCGCATGTGCGGTACCGCTAATTGATGGGCTGGGCCTAGTATATTAGTATACGTTTACTCGTGATCTCCTGCTAGTAGCTCGCGGAGAGTCTGACACGGGCTAGCCACAGTAGTAGATAGCTTGCGTGAGTCTATACACGCCCTTCGTTGTGACTTCTTGTGTCTTCAAGATACACAGAGCGAGCGGACCCGGTCGAGGTAAGCCTGTGCTAATTAGCATACTGGCTTGTTGACTTGGTTTTCACGCCATAACTCTCGAATGCAGCATTTTTACTTAAATCGAGCCAGTATAGCGCTGAACCCGTTGTATCTCGCACTCTTGAGTGTGTTCACCTTCAAATGCCCTGTTTTTCCCGTAGTATAGGGAGTTACGGCAGATTTCCCGACTTCATGGAAAATGTGCAGTGCATCTTCTTCGGTTCTGGGCTCTGTAGCATGTCTGCTAATTATTGTAGTACTACTACGTAGGCTTCCGGAACAAAGTTGACGCACATTAATGTGACAGCAGCAACTAGCTACAACTTCTCAGTGCAAAGATGTTCAGAGTCCAACGAGGACGCTAATACAGGGCCCAAGGCTTCCTACGTAAATCACATTATCATTATAGAGTACAGCCCATACAAAACTCATGTATCCTAAAGTATGTGCGTAGGCCCTGGAGTGTAAACAGTATCTAATAGTATTCTTTGATAGTATTCGTCTTTTAGTTAGTGTTCCTACAGAGGAGACTAGATTTCTCCAAGCAAATTGGAGTACTTCAAACTGACGTACTTACGTAGAAGACTAGATCATGCACAAACAAGCGCTGTCACCCTTACTGTGCAATGACAGATTATTGCTACTATAGAGTAGCAACACTTGCGGCATGTATTTACTACGTCTGTTGTTGTTTAAAAAAAGTGTCATGTAACAATATATCATGCATCTTGTTTTGAGCTATATGAAAGGGGTCGAATTTCAACCAAATTACATTGCTGGAAAGTGTCCATTGGTTCACATTGAGTTTTGGCGTTCAGAATTAAGAAGTTTATAATATTATAAGGGGCCGTGGTTGTGCTACCAGAATCTCAAACAAACACACACTATTGAGAATGTATAGTAAGCACAGAACACAATACAAATTTTGAAACCATGCATTGTTTGCATGGTTGCGCATATTAACGGAGGCGGCGCATATTGAGTTTAATTCTCCACTGTATGTGATATTGTGTAGGATAATCGGGGGAAATACAGGATGTCCCGCATAAATATAATTATAGGAAAAGATATCTGGAGCTGTCCCAGAACTCAGGAGCACTTCTTCATGACTCCTCTTCATCAAAACTAGCTGATTGGGGTACAGAAGCCTCACTTGGCTTTTTCTGACAAACTTCAGCATGCACAAAGCATCGGTGGGTCGACTACATTGTGAAGCCTGTCGTTCATTTGCTAATGTTTTTGAACAAAAGCATGGACAGACAAAGGTAGGCATTATGCACCTACCATGTGACAGAGCGCGGCACAGACAGGGTCACTACAACTGAAACTTTTGACACTATGGTAGTTTTGATGATACCTCGCTTTGTAACAGTAAGTTCAATGCTGTACTTGCTTGATTTTCTGCTTTTAAAGTTCCATGATAACCAAGTCAACAGACAAAATGCTTATTACTCCTGATCTCGCCCGGATTATTGCACTGCAGAAGCATGGTTAGCGTCCAGCAATGCCTATAATGAATGACACAGGCTTTTTTGTTTACAACTTGTAATGACAAATTCTTAATAGACCATTAGCATACCACATTCCTTTGTTACAGAACCAAGCCTTGGCGTAAAAACACTACGTTTAGGTTAACCCCTGTTTCCAGGCGACTGAAATTCGAAGGAGTGTGAAGACATGACAGATGAAAAACTCCATCGAGGTACCAGCAGCGACCTAGAAACAATAGAAGCTACAGCACTCGTTCGTCGTCCACCGCGCTTCACCCACTTTATGCGGTGTGACGTACTGCTAACGCAAATGGATGTGATCAGGTTATTAGCATTCGTTGACCTTTGCCATGCAGGTGCTCCAACCACTTTTGCGAAGCGGCTCTAATCTAATTAATTGAACATGGTCACATACATAAAAGTAGAAGAATCAGGTTTGATCTCTCCTTGCCAATAATTCCTACGAAGGGAACTCCTAGAGACGTAGCAAATGCCGCCGAATGGACAAGAGTGTTGTCGCTAGGTAGATCATAATCGAGGAGGCAGCTTATTCTTAATATTTTTATACAAAGAAGCGCGTAATAGAAACAAATGTGACCAAGTGTAACAAGCTGGCCAAAAGTGTGACGCCAACAAGAGCGACAGGTTCTGCAATACACAGGCTCTAATTTTAAATTTTGCAATTTTACTGCGTTCAAAGTTACACCCGAAAACCAAGTGAACATGGCAATGTGCAAATTACCGGCTCACCTGGACCACATTCTTGGTTTGCCTACTGTAAAACACTAGCCCCTGTCCAAAGCTAGCGAAAGACGGTGAAACTGAGGTAACGTGGTAATTTAGCGTAGCCCAGCCCATGCAATATCGATACTCATTTGTCTTTACGCAGGGTTTGCGCTTTAGTGGTTTTGATTTTGTATTGTGAAGGTAGTGGCGTATGTGCCTGATGATGAGAGAGGACCTCTATTCCGAATTCCAGTTACGGTTGTTGTCCCTGATCAGTAAGTGTACACTGTATATTTTAATGTTATGGTCAATCTTAGCTTGTGGGAAGGTAGAACTTCATACTTGATGTTCGTGTTCTTGCATCTCTCTAACTACATAGGCAGTTGTATAAGCTCTATATATTGTACGCAATTACTTCATTTCATCTAGAGATTTTACTCAAGTTGTGAGTTTTGGGAAGACTTGGGGGTGTAACGTGAGTTGAGCTGTCATGAGTATTGTGTGGTGTAGGGTGTTTTAACTTCATGTGATTTTGCAATAAGTTAATATAAAGAAGGGTAGGAGAAGATCATATTTTGCAGATTTTTCAATGCCGTATGGTACTACCCAAGGATGAGCATGGTACCTAGCACCATGCAGTTGTGGGTAATTTATGTTGGCACTGATAAGTTTCTTTGTTACCTCAGATTAATTAGCCTACGCATCTTGCTTCTAATGCCTGGTTGAAAAATATTTCTTCAGATGTCTTCATCAGGGGAAGGAGAACAAAGTAACAGGAATGACAAATATTTCTCCTTCCCCTTATAAAGACACCCGAAGAGGTGTTGAAATGTTGATATGAATCATTGAGATTGACCTGAAAACATAATCAAACCAAACGTTGACTCTGTCTAACCCTGGCTACGCAGGTATCTATAGGTTTGTACGCATCTGCTCAAATAATACACAATGCTACGTGGTGTATGTGCTCTCCATAACTCTAGTTTTTAGTATGGGCATCAGCTTGAAGCGCTTGTTAGCTCTCCATCCATTTCTTCTGTTAAAAGGCATTGACGCTGTGGTGCATTTATCTGCTAATAAGCCTTACCTACAAGTGGCTCGGATGACCGTGCATTAAAATTAAGTTTGTGCACGAACTCAAAATGACACTACACAGTAGGTACTAAGTAATTCCTGGCGGACACTCAAAGCAGAGGCAAAGCTGAGTTACAGCACCTAGGTCTGTGCATGTGTCTGTGCTTGTTTTGGTCTGTGCACTAGAGGCTATGAGGTTGACTATGAGCAATACCAACAGCTTCAGAACTCTAAAAGAAAAAAATAAGGGGGCAATTGCTTAAATGACTGCATTCAAGGGATTAAACCAAGCGAAAAAGGCAATATACATAATGAGCCGTTTAGCCCGTTCAGCACACTGTTGGGGGATTGATTTACTTGGGGGTGTGCATACAGTCCAGTGTTGCTAACCGTACCTACTGATGCCGCTAGCCTCAGTCCGTGGTAATTCCGTAGAATGGGTGGCATTGTTAGGACATTAATTAACCTGTGCTTTTTGCACATGGGTATTGTGCAAAACAGCTCACACTAATTCTTTTAATAGCACTATTTTAGTGGCCTTGCACCCCTTAATCCGAGTCTTGCAGAATGAAGAAAACAGCATGATAGTTGCTGAGCATAAAATTTCTCTGTTCGCACCGCTTGAGAATGCCATATATACCTGCAGTTAATGAGAATAATGTAGTGTATTGTTAACAAATTAGACCGTCTAAGTATGTGCTGATTAAAATGTCACCATGCTACTGTATGCAGGTTAACCAGCGAAAAAAAGGGATTGTTTTCTGTTCCTGAACTGCGACTGGAAAAAGATTTTGTTAAAAGGCTCTTCTTCCACGTTCCCAAGGAAGCTTCTTGGGCAGGTAAGACATAATTATTTTGTGTTACCTTATTCTTTGCCTAAATGTTCATCCGCCTAGTAACAGGAGTCTGTAGTACATGCATTTAGCAATTTCCAAGATGGTCTACCCACACCGTAATAGTAGGCTTGCGTATAGTTTTGCACTTTGTAGTTACCTGAAATTAGTGGGATGTAGGGATGGCACGGGTCAAATCTCATGTGATCCGCATACGAAACGCTGAACGATGCCATTACCTTACTCAGCAGCACGCGCCATGGGCGTTGTCCTTAGCCATTACTTGGATACATGCTCTTTGTGACAGTAGGGATCAGTCTGATTTGTCAAAAGTTGGACCTGATTGAAACTGAAAGTTAAACATGAAAAAGCTGTCCCTATATCCCCTTCATTCTTCATTTCGAAGAAACGATTTTTCCACTTGTTTCCATTACTCTGACTACACAGAAAGCACCATGCACTAAGCTTTACTATAGAGCAAAATGAAGCTGGGTAAGCAGGGAGAATGAAAAGCAGTTAATTTCGGGCTGTTGGTTTGCTCTGTACTCCTTACTGCTTTTCATTCTCCCTGCTTACCCAGCTTCATTTTGCTCTATAGTAAAGCTTAGTGCATGGTGCTTTCTGTGTAGTCAGAGTAATGGCAACAAGTGGAAAAATCGTTTCTTCGAAATGAAGAATGAAGGGGATATAGGGACAGCTTTTTCATGTTTAACTTTCAGTTTCAATCAGGTCCAACTTTTGACAAATCAGACTGATCCCTATTGTCACAAAGAGCATGTATCCAAGTAATGGCTGAAATCTCATAATCAGTACTTGATTTATTCAAAAAAGTCCGTTTTCAAAATTGTTCTTCTCGTTGTTGTTGTTGTTGTTGTTGTTGAATTTCAACAAGCGTATCTCAAAAACCAGGTAAGATATGGAGATGAAACTTTGCACAGAGATTGGAATCCGTGACAAGTCATACAAGAGCATTTTAAACATGGAAACAAGCCCCAGGCAATACATTATGATAAAGTGTGCTAACTAGGTAAAAGTAATACCCAGAGTGATAAAAACTTTGTACACACATCATTAGTAACACATTGCAAGTTTGTAACAACAAACAGCCTCAGGCAATAAAATGATGTTTGTGCCTATATATAACTTGCTTATTGTTGGTCCTCTAACAATGAAACTTGGTACACTGATTTACCATGATAAAAGTTCATCGAAACGTACGTAAATTACAAGTTTGTAAACAACAACAAACAGCCTTAGGCAATGAAGAACTTGCTCATGCTGGGTTATCTAACAATGACACTTTGTACACTTATGTACTTTGGTGGTGAAATAAGTTTGGCCTGTCTTACATACATTGTTTACTTGTCAAAAACCATCCCTATAATAATGTACTTTACCCTGACTTTATTTATAGATCTGAAACTGTCAAATATTGTGTGTGAATCCAAAACTTGCATTACTGTGCATACGGTCCAAATTATTCCTGGGAGATCTTTCCGAGAGAATGAGAATAAAGAGCAAATAAGTGCTGAGAACAACGGAAGCTCTGAGATAATTCTTAGTGTTGTGGTAAGTGGCTGATTTTGATTTGAGCTCATGGGGTTTACTCTCCTTTAACCTTTAGTGTACACATGATACTCAAGGCTGACTTTTTGGCTTCTAAACCACTGTTTAAAGCCAGGCAAAATACTAGAAGGTCGGTCTAGGCACAATTTCTCACTCCTGCTTACAGATCATCTTACTGAAATATAACATACAATTAGTAGACATTATGATCGAGGGTGGAAATGAAGCACAGCCAACTGTCCTTTACAAATAGTACTCCCACTAAGAAGAAATACTGGTAATTTGCGTAGTTGAGTTCCCGCAAGCTGCCTGAAAAGGGTATCCTGTCGATAATTACGGAAATTGATGATCAGTTTTTCCCATTGATACAGTAATTTGTTTCCCAAAGTGGTTTCTGTGAATTGTTTAATCTGTATCAGGTGTGGAGGGTGTGACAAAGAGGTGGTCGAGAGATTTGAATCCCTGCTATGCAACAAAAGGCCTTCTATTGGTAGCACGGCCAACACATCTCAAATCCAGTACCCTAAACCATATCATTTCTAGCCACTGACTCCCTCCTAGAGTACTTGCTCCTGGTTGCACTGGTGAATGGGAACTGTACTTAGGGAAAGTAAATGGAATTGGGCAGCCAGGTCACCATCAACACCAGCATAGAGCCAGGCAGTGGCATGCAGTCAGTATTGCCTTCCTTGTTTATTAGATTCGCTTCTTTATATTCCTGAAAACCATAGTACACAAACACGACACCTAAAACCCTTTAATTTCTGGACTGATAATGAGAAACAGGTATTGTCGCTAAAACCCTTTACCAAATTTTCCCACATTCAGTCTACGACCCATATCCTCTATACCATTTTCATAATTTCATGCACCTTGTGTATAGTAATAGATCTAGTTAGCCCTAGCCTAGACCCAACCAACCCCGCCTAGCCTAGCCTAACAAGACCTATTTGAACTTAAAGGGAATGTGGCAGTTACAATTATGAAATGTTATTAAATTGCTTTCTTTTACTGTGTCCATATAGTTTTGTTCCGTCCGTTGGTAACAATTTAGCCCATATATTCTACCATGTTCCATTTAATGTGTCCTAGAGAGTTTTGTGGGGTGTTCTCACTGTTGCAAGAGGCTCTACTGCTCTCTAATGTTTGTACTTAGTTGGTAGATTAAGCATTTTTGCTTAAAACTTACTTCAAATATTGGTTCTCTTTTCTCTCATTAGGGTGGATATACCATGGAATTGTGCTTATCTCTCTACTGGTCTGAGTTAAGGGATGTTACTCTTAGTCTCGAGGTGTTATTTCGTTGTGTTCATCCAAGTCCCTCATGCCTTACCTTTGTAAGAAAATGCGGGGGGAAATGTTTGCTTTTAACAGTAGCACTGTTTTTGTATGTACAGAACTCCTCTAACATGTGGACTAGTGTCGATGTTACTGGCTTCATGCGTGAAGAGGAAGTGTTTCCTGAGTTTAAACTCACCCACCGAATTGTTTATAAAAGGTTTGACAGTACCTCAAAATAGAACATTTGTGTGTACTTGAGCAAGTGCGAGCGAGATAACCAATTGGTCTGATCAGTGAAAAGTTTTTTTATGAATATACACTGCCTCCTATCTCCTATCTGCATCCACATTATGCCACGCCACACTCATGTTCGTCAAGAAGGCGCTGTATTCAGGTTATAATCATAAAGAAGGCATATAAGTACCGCTCATAGATTTTTTTCTGCGCTTCATAATTGTGCCCAGTGTTTCCAATGTTAGTGCAATGATCTACAACTTGTGCTTTGTTTGTTCCCATGCTATCACTATTTCAATACTGTTTGAAACAAAGGTAGCACGACAAAAGGAGCACATTGTACAGTTGATGTAGAGTGTAGTGGGTTCTTGCTGTTTCTCGATGCCCTCTTGGAACATCACCTACGTACGTACATGGAAGCATCTGTACATCAGTGCACAGGAATCTAACCTGTACTGATAATTACATAAACTACATCACTTCAGCACAAAGTATTCGTAGTACAAGCGCTTTTTGCCCGTACCTCTACATTGTCGTTATCACTTCCAGTATGCGGCATATAAGACGAAGAATGTATGCCACGTAAGTGCCCTAACCTTGTCCTACTCCCCTGGATCCAGGGGGTTAGTTCATGATCACATGAGGGCAATATTTGCTGGGACGCATCACATTACAGTGTTATCTCGTCCTCCAGACTGTAGTAACGCAGCACGGGTGTACTTGCTACTGCCTGCTTCAGTGCATCTTGTGCCCCTTGCTGGGGTTGGTCCCAAACCCACTCCGTCTCTTTTTGAGTTAGTTCTTGTAGAGGCTTCGTCATATCAGACAAAGATGGAAGGAATTTGCTTAAGTACTGAACCATTCCGAGAAAGCGCTGGACCCCAGCAACATCTATAGGTGGGGGCATCTCTCCTATAGCCCTCACTTTTGCCGGGTCAGCACAGATTCCTTGGTCTGTCGCGATGTGCCAAATGAATGGAACGGCATGTAATCTGAGTTGGATCTTGTCTGCATTTAAGTGTATGCCTTGTTCTGCACAACGCTTCAGGAAAGCGGCCAAGTTTTGGTCGTGGCTGACCACTGCTTCCGTTTCTGACTCACCTTGGCCAGCCACCAGAAATCATCTGCTACGACTTCCACACCTTGTAACCCCTCAATCAACTCATGCATCCTCCTCTGGAATACTTCTGGTGCAGAACTAATTCCGAAGGGCATGCGTCTCCAGCGATAGCGCCCAAACGGTGTATGAAAAAGTCGTCAAGAACGAGGACTGTTCGTCCAACTCTACATGCCAGAATCCTTTACTAACATCGAGTACTGTGAACACCTTGGCTCCGTGGAGCTGAGTCGCCACATCTTCAATTGTTGGGAGTGGGTAGTGTTCCTGGAGGATGACCTGATTGATGTCTTTGGGATCTAGGCACAACCGCAGTTTGCCATTTTTCTTTGGCACTATTACCAGTGAGCTGATCCAGGCAGTTGGGCATTGTACTGGTGCTATAATCTCCTGCTGAGTGAGTTCAGCCAGGGTGTGTTTGAGGGTTTCACACAAAGTTACTGGGACTCTGTGAGGGGCATGCTGAACAGGAGTAGCATGCCCATCCAGCCTTATGTGATATAGGCCCTCAAGTCGGCCCACTCCTTCACCAAAAATCCCCGGGTACTGCACTTGAATTGAACTGTTGAATTGTAAGGGGGCCTGGTTGGTCAAGTGCATACACAGGTGCATTACCAGTCCTGGGCTCGTTTAAGGCGTCATTATCTAGGTAGGACACAATCTTCATGTCCAGGCATGCTTTCCGCCCCAGGAGTGGTCGGATACCCACATGATCTATGAGTTTGCAATCTAAACGACAATGGTAGTCTCCACGCCACACACGGATGAAGGCGGTAATTTTCATGGAGGAGGGACTCACCTTTGCCAGTGCTGTGTCATGGGTGGCCTTTGTGTAGATACTGAGTGGTACCACGTTGCACTGGGCCCCTGTGTCAACTTGAAATGGAATGTAGTTGCCTGACTCCAGCCGCAGAGTAATGGTTTGTGAATCATCCAGCTTCTGGCTTGACGTGGATGTTTGGTGGGTCTACTCGCTTTCATCCTGTTCCTCGGACTGGTCGATAGGGTGTGCTGATGAGCCACCCCCACTCCGGCACTTGGTTGCAAAATGATTGAACTTGTTGCACTTGGTACACCGTTTCTTGTATGCTGGACAGTTTTCCCTCTTGCACAAACTGTGGCGCCGACCGCAGTTCCAACATTCTGGGATAGGTTTGCGTTCTTGGTTGTTCTCCAGCCCTTTGGTTGCCCCTGGCCAGTGTTCCCGGGGTATGGTGGGAGAAATTTGGCTTTCACCATGGACAAGAGTCGGGGATTTGCTGTGTACTTGGACAAGATATTGGAAATCACCAAACTGGAAGAGGAAAAAGAGGCAGTCGCCACAACCCTAGACGAACTTACGACAGCAGTGGCCATGAGAGTAGGACAAACAAGCCAGATGGTGCAAAATCTACGGCAAGAAGCTATCAAAGTACGCGACCATCTTACTCGTATTTTAAGCTAAGCATACATACACAGCATATTATACACAGCATATTATACACTACATGCTAAACACCAAAGGATGACAAATATCTCACAAGAAGGAGCTGTATCGAGAGGGCTTTGCTCTTGATGACGGCCCATTCTGCCGAGCCCTTGACTAGACCATTGGGAAACTTAGAAAACTACGGTGGTACTTTCACTGGTAGTCATGCCCATAAATTTAGTCACATACGTTTAAATCTCAACACATTACAGATTCGTACACACAATAGGAGCTCAACATAGCCGTGTTATGTCTAGCAGTAACAACTGTTGCCGCCCAGAGATGTCCTGCTCTACTAGAGAAGGCATCTGCTAAGTTCAAAACGACTTTCACGTTCTTCTCCAAGTGCCACGAGGTTTATAGTTCCCAATGTCTTCTTTCCGACAATGACTTGTCCGATTCAGTTGAAGAATATACACAATGCCATTGTCCATGGTGTAAACCAAATTTCTTGCTCCAGGGTCATGCATACAGGAATTTATGAAATTCTACAGTTAGAAATTTCCTGAGGCATCCATCACACCGAAACTTCACTTGTTACTGTAGAGTTTTTGGGACAGTGGAGGGTTGGATTTGGAATGCTGGGAGAGCCGAATCCATTCACGCGGTCTAAAACAACCTCAAAGCGGTCTATGCTAGTGTGCATGACAGGGAAGAGTGACTGTGACTAGTTACGCAGGAACAACACAGAAGGGTAGGCCCACCTCTGCAGCGCGGAGGAGTAGGGCTACTGCCTACCTACAATGGACAGCACCTTGTAGTGCCGAACTTGCTTCACCCTTTTTCTTGTCCTACCTTCATGGCCACTGCTGTCTATAGCTCGTTAGCTTGCCATTCTATACAATAGACAAATCAATAATCAAAACCTACCGGGCTGCCTTGACTCACCCCTCTCGGCTGCTCTTCCTGCCGAAGCCGAGAGGCAAGAGGACGTGGTACGATGGACTACCTCTATCAGGTTGGTATTTGGGATATGGCAGCCATACGCTTGGTTCAAAGGTGAACGCATGCGTGATGGCCTCTGCGCAAGCATCGCTGCCAGTGGCACGCCCCCAGCCGTCCTTTTTGCTCTAGATACCCCACCCTGTGGCAGCCCCGGTGCTGTTAACCTGGTCTAAACGGGGTTTAAACCTCATTTAACAGCTTACCGGGCTTCCTTGACCCACCCCTCTCAGCTGCCCTTCCTGCCGAAGCCAAGAGGGGCGAGGACATGGGATGATGGACTACCCCTCTCGAGTGGGTATTAGGATATGGTGGTCGCGCAGGCACGGGAGCCCCTTCCACACCCCAATACATGGGGCGTCACTAATAGGGGGAGAGTGTTGGAGAGGCCCCGCCCCTCCAACCCGGCCCAAGGTAGTCAACTGCTATTGCCCCTACATGCATGCCTCTTCTCCCACACCTCCTATGTCGCAAATGACAGGGGAAACAACAACAAAACAAACAAAACCGTCGCTTCTCATTGATTGTCTTGACTAGGCAGCTAGCAACTTCGGGTAACCATCTAGCTGTTCATGTGGTAGCTGGACATATTGCAATTACGCTAAGCTCTTCCAGCGTCCCGGTATTTTGATAATACAGTCCTCGACTCCCTTCTTTGTCGCTGTCGTGACCACACCTATTCGGAAGCTCTAACCGCAATACTTGGGCTTGTCCACTCCCGCCTTGGACAGGCTGTCTCTCACTCTCTCGACGAATCAGCTTCTTGTGAGCAGGTGTCAGTCGGCGAACACAAACAGCGGACCCAGAGCAGTGCCTCTGCTGCAGAGATAATCTAGCAGAGCAGCCACTGGGCAGAGCTGCGTACCAGTGCATCCAATGCAGATTACAACCCCTTTCCGAAACAGGTCCATTTTTATAGTTACCTGTAACAGAGACAGCTGCTGGTTGTCATCCACTGCTACGTCGGACAGACAGAGGTGTACCGCTGGGTCGAATGCCGCATCACACGGCACAGTCATTTCCCGGCGCACAGGAAGCTGATGAAGCATAAACAACAGGGGGGCACACAGCATTTTCGTGTCCCGGCCTGCGTCCACGCCTTCCTCAGCTCACGTAGCAGCGACGGCGTTATATAGTGTGGCTACCACTTCCCACTTTAGCTTGGTGTCGCTTGACTCCCTTAATCACATACTCTAGTCGAAGCATTTGCGCGCCTTGGAACGGGTCCGGAAAACCGGACTTTATATCATAAAACCAAGGTAGGTTTTAATGGACCGGTGCTTGAGGCATTTATCGGCCAACTGAGACACAAAAGAACATAAAACGTTTTCGGACGCCGGAAGAGGTGTGAGATGCTGCGCTTGACAGAACCTGAGGAACCGGTTGACACCCACTTGGTATGTTTTCACCAATGATGACGCTAACCCTTGTGCAAAATAGAATGAAGCACGCTGGGGACCACCACTCCAGGGTTTTGTGAATCGGTACTTCCAACACGTCTGTGGGGATGGGGGTTGGTTCCCGCTCTGCTTTGGTGACGAGCTGCAGGAACAGAGGCAGAGTGTCCTGTGAAAGTGTCTCCGCTGCCTGATTACACCTCCCTGGGTGGTGCATAGCATCTAGGTACAGTTGATAGTGCGCCACAAGGACAGGCAGTGCAGTAGGTGCATCACTAAGGGGTGCTTGGATGAGCTAGAGTGAAGAACCGCCACAACTGCTGCGTTATCACACCGGCAGCACACTGTTCTCCCTTTCCACTCCTTCTCCCAAATAGCTGTGGCTATGACGATTGGCGCCAGTTCTTTGACCATGATATGCACAGAGGGCCAAGACACGGGCCTTTGCACCTGGAACCATGCCCCCGGGACGTGAAGGCTCCCCCTCCCCAACCACCAGAGGCATCCAAGGTAAGGGTTATGTCTGCTGTTCCCCGTTGCATAGACGGCATCATCAACACCCCATTCCATACACCAAGAAAAGTATCCCACCATAATAATAATATGTGAGCCGATCCGTTAAGTTTGATGTGGTGGTGCAGTTGTTTAGCCACAGTGGACAGATTGGTCAGGTGTCCCACCATCACCACTTCACATGCATGCTGTAGTTGACCTATCAGTGAGAGGAGTTGGCGTTTCTGGCATATTTTCCGCCCCCTCCACTCTCGTAACAGTGACTGCAGGTGCCTTAGGTAGGCATAGTTCCATCCTCTGTGTGTCCAGCAATATACCAAGGAAACACAACGTTGTAGCGGGCCCTCCGTCTTGTGAGGGGCTACTGTCACCCCAAGTAACCGACACACCCCCAGGCAGAGGCGCAAATTCCTCCCACACTCGTATCCGCCAGGAGATCCTAGGATGAGAATATCATCTAGGTAGTGTATCCCATCCTTGAAGCCATATGTTCCCATTATCCACAGCAGCGCGTCGTCTACTGCTGTGAATAACTTCAGGGCCAATCGCAATCCGAATGGCAGCGCCCTGTCGACGTACACGTCACCCGCCCATCTCACACCTGGCACATTACGATCAAACGGGTGAACTGGCACCAGGCGCTCTCCAGGTCGAATTTGGCGAGCAACGCACCTCTGCCGAGCCGGAAGATGCCCCGCACCGCGTCCTCGACAGACGCGTATGAGCTGTGTGTCGATCCCGTTGTTTACTCTGGCTCCTTCGGGCGCTGACAGGTCTGTAATCAAGCGTCATTTGCCAGGCTAGTGTAGCTTGGGTATAATCCCTAACCGACTGGTCTGAATCTTTAGCGACTGTGCCGTTCCTAACGGAACCGGGCCGATTATCCGCCAGGTGGCTACCTCAGCAGACAAATATTTCTGGATCGGCTCGGGGTGTTGAGTCGCGGACACCATGTTACGGCCACAGCCTTTGAATGAGTGCAGGAGATAGTTATAGCCAATACGGAACCCTTCCCGAATCCCTTGGATGACCAACTGTACGAACTCCCGGTCCTGGTGGTCGCACAGTTCGCCAGAGCAGGGACGTGGCAATGACTACCAGTTACGGAGGTACAGTCGGAGTTCGTGTCGGCACCAGTAGATTGAGCTTGCATAGGTCGCTTGTAGTAATGCCCGTCACCATCCAACACATCTCAGCCTGCCCGACCACCCGCCGGCCCTGCAATAGTGGGAAAAAAAACCACTAAATGTGTGGTCGCACGCACTGCCATGCAGACGGGGCCTCCGCCCCTTACACCCACAGAAATATTATAGTTCCACACCCTTGCTTGCCCTGCTATATAATAAGGCGCCTATACTAGAATGTCAAATGTTCTCTCCTTCTGTCCTATAGCTCAAGGGTGCTTGTTTTTTACCCTTTACTCTCCTTGACGGGCCTCTTCTCCTGCGTACCCGTTCCCCTCCACGCTGTTATCCTGTGATGGCGCCACAGCGCACACACACGTGCTTAAATCGGCAGAACTGGAATGACCCTTCCTGGTTCCATGTGAAGCAGGCCATCACCTGTGGGGCCTTAGACTTGGGTAGCCGGTCCCTGAGATATGGATCCCTTGCTGATTGACGGGAGCTCCCGACACCCTTCCCTTTACCCAATGCGCAATCCTCTTCTCGGTGAACAGACTCCAGGCACAATGGGCAGTTGGAGCGGCTGTTTCCCAAGGTCAGAACGGTGGACAAAAACAGGTAAGGGTTTAGCCTCATCACCCATCCATTCCCCCGCTATCTGCTGGCGGAAAACTGTGTCGTAGGTGAGCCAGCCCCACCCTCCGCATCTCCTGGGTACTTGCTGACGTAAAAAACTACACCCAACTCGGTATATCGGGCACTTCCCTACAAGTGCGGCCCAGTATATAATTATGTAAGCTGTATGTGTATCACTTAACAGTAGTGTCTGTATTTAGCAGTGCTGTAATCCCTTGCTTTATTGTAAGCATGATCACTAGTTGTTGGTAAATTTTGGTTGCTGCACTAACAGCAAAGTAGTTATGCTCATTGTTTGTTGTATAATTCTGGGTTAACCTTTACCTTTACAGGCCTACATCTCACAAGATAAGTCCTCTTGGATCTCGTGATGTTTTGCCCAGTGGAGTGCAAATATATCAGTTGGTTCTGTCATACATGTTTCAGCTTGTAAGTGAGAATACTGGTCGATCATTGCCCATTGGCTTTTTGGTTGGTGTTATCGTACTGGCTTTTTGTATTTCCGTCAGCAAATTGTGTGAATTGCGTACGTAAGCTATTCAGACCGTCAAAGCATGTATAAAAAGGGATTGCCAGACAGAAAGATTTTGCACGAGATTTGTTCAACATGATGATGCTCTTTCTTTATGTTCTGTTTCAAACGACGTTTTTGGTGTAACTACCCGTGTGGAACAATGCGCACGAACTCGGGTATAGGCGCATTATTTTGCGGTGGTTTGCTAGGCGTTATTACGCAGTAAAGCGTAAACAGCGCGGTCGCACTCGCAAGTATTTACACTTTAGAGTGCTGTTCCACACAAACGTGGGTGTGTCATTGCGCGGCTATGCGCGTGTGATTTGCGAAATACCGCAAGCGTAGAATACACCAATGATTGTGGGTGGAGCATGCTGTCGCACGTTTACGCGTGGATGCTCAGTCAGCGTAAATTGGCGTGTGACTTTCCACTTGAGTGCGTAAAAGCGAGATATTTCGCAGCTGTCACTGTCTGTGCGTGTGCTTTTTGTCGCATTATTTTACTGGTAGTTTACAGGCTGCTTTAACAATCACGTCTTGTATCCACTGTTGCCTGCTGGGCTGCTTGTTGAAGTTATTATTACAATCAGAAAGTTTTTGTTTCATGACTTACCACAATCAGCCTCAGTACACGTTTGTGTTTTTATTATTCCTTCCTTATGCTTGTGTGGTGATCCACTTACGTACTACTGCCTTTAACCTGCTATCTAATGCATGCATATTCTTCACAGCTCTAACTAGCATGAGGATGACTCCTCATAAGATAATGTCAAAGTAATGATGGTTAACCGCATATGATAGAGAATGTCTGTGATAAAAGATAGGGACCTGCTTAACCGTTTCAATGCAGGAAGCGTATATATACGCCGTTGGACCCGCCCCCCTTCCCCGCGGGAGGCGTATATATACGCTCTGACACGTGTCCGCATACATCACCTTCCTCCGCTTACCTGGGGTTTCCAGTCTCAGCTTACAGAACAACACAGCCTTGCCCTCCGGGTACACGCCCACTTCCCGTGCGCCAACATACCGTTCACTACGCTCGGTAGAAGCTAGTTCAGCTTACTATTGCAAGAACCGAGCCCCTCCTCACGCTGTATACCATTTGATAGTCTCTCATAGTACAGAAACCGACTCACTTCTAGGCTAGAACGACCGCTCGCGTCTTTGCTAAAACTGCGTGTTTTTCCGGGCACGCGCATGGCGATTGCATTCAACGCAAGCATTTCAGCGCATGCGGTCAAAGGGTTAACCTGTACTCAGACAGTGCGATAACGATCTTGAATACCGGCTTGCGTTATCACTTTGTCCTTGTGAGCTAAGACTAGTGAGTTCTAAATGTTTCTACACCTTTGGTATGAGAGTAATAACGAAGCACAAAACCGGACGACTATAATAATTATTATTTAGAATCAAACCACTGAAGTTCGACCAGAGTTTCCCTTGATGAGTGATCTACTCTATGAAAATCCTTATTCTGGACAGCTTTGGATGGTTTTCAATTGCAATAAGCAGTACAAATGTGCTGGTGATTCCTACTCTAGACAGTATACGACAAAGCTGGATAAAGACGATTACATTCTGAGATTGCAGGTGAATTTTTTTGTATGAAGGAGTGTAATGGGTTTGTGTTTTGAAATTGGATTGAGAGAAATGGTTTTAATTCTTGACCTGTCTTCCGTTTTTCTGTTACCGCTATTTGGCGCTATAGGCAGCGTATTGTAGACACGACGGCATTATTGCTGTCCACTGCACTATAAGTGTTTAGGCGTGGAGCAAAAAGTGAAAAACCCAATATGCAAATGAGCAAGTTATAGGCATTGTGGGAAACGATGTTACTCGGAGTGAGAATATTCTGTCCAGCATGTCTCGAAGCAATAGTCGCTGCCCCGAGTAAGAGCAAGAAGCAATATCATCCACTAACACATTGTATGCCCCAAATAGCGGCAATTTTTGCACTTGCATAGTGTGTACAGTCCAGGTTACAGAGCAACACTCTTGCACAAAAGGTTTTCCACCCATTTGTGTTTATCATGGCTGTATTCATTTAGACATTTAGTACAAACTAAATCCGTGTTCCCACAATAGCAACTCATAGTTGACATTATACTACTGAGCCCCTACGGAAAAGCTAAAGGACTTCAGTAACAGGCCTTTTCATCCACATAACTTGAGTGAGAGCTTTTTCAAATGGCATCTGTGCCTCCTTTGACAGGGGGACTACAGCGGCATAAACAAGCGCTCTTTGGCTAGCTCGCAGGAAGTTTACGACAGCAGGGTCTACCTAAAACAATAGCTTTCAGCCTCAGCTGACCGTCATGTTCAACCTTTTCTCCATGTTATTAACCTTCAGTGTGCATGCGCAGCAAAGGTTGCAGTACTCTGTCTGTGTCAATCTGTGTGTTTTTAGCATGAATTCTGGCACTACATGCTAAAAAGCGGCCTACACCACTGTGTGAATAACATAATGCACTCTTAGATATGCACATTGAGACTGAGAATTTTGTCCATTACTTGGCCATATTACATGCTGTGCAACTGAGAAAAATACCAAAATGATCAGAAATCTTTTCTGACAAAATGAATGTGGAATTTTTCCTAAGGCAAAAGCAACTCTTACTCTTCATAACTACCTACGAACGACTACATTTTCATCAGTGTACCGTTCGCCCAGTTTTATTATGATGGTGATGGGCAGTAGTGGCAAGAAGACCAGGATGTACCGTGGAGGGCTTACATCACTTGGCCGTTTAGGCAGTAACCGATCTGCTGCAGCTGCTTATGCTGGTGAGCTAAGCTGGCAATACAACCATGTCAGGAGGTACTAATGAACTTTCAATATAATAATGTAGCCGCCATTAGTACGTTGCATGCGTACAAGATCGTCAGCAAATTACTGTGAGACTGGATTACAAGACTAGAATTACATTTATAGTACAGTGACGGGAAGCTAATTATCCTAATGAATAATAATATTATTGGCATACGGACATTTCCCTGCTCTCAGCTCAGCTTGTCCTCGAGATGTCTTTGTTTTGTCGGGATCTCAACCCATTTGACCTCTCTTTTCCCCTTAGTATCATCAAATTTTCTGCCAACTTTTCTACTTCTAATTCTGCACTTCCTTCTGCTGAACTTGCATCTGGTTCTCCAGCCACCAGTGCAGTTGAAAGCCAGGTGAAATCCTTGGCTTGTCCACTTGCACAACCTCAGCACCTTTTGGATGCACTGCCACAACTCTGAAGAATGGTTTTGTTAATTTGTGCGCTGGTCCACTTTTCAAACTTAACATGTAAACAAACACACAGACTCCAACACAAGCTTCAGCAAAATTGACTCTTCTATTCTGTTGAACCTTCTACTTAGCTTGAGCTTTCTTCAAATTCTATGCGGTACCCATTCTTTGAATCATGGATATCTTTTAGTCATCCCGGTCAAGACCATCTCTTTGCAATGCTTGGAGGCACATTCAGTTGGGAGTTAAGAGTCTTGCCCATATAGAGAAGTCTGAAAGGAAATTCTCCATTGGACACTTGTGGTGAAGAACGATATGCAAAAAGAACATGTGGCAACAGGTCTGGTGATCCATTTGTTGTCCTCTTGGAAAGCATATAAACCAGTGTGCGGTTGAATCACTCTACCAACGCATTGGTTTGAGGCAGTAGTGTTGATCCCATCACAGAACAAATGCCTAGGAAGAGCTTCCTAGGGAGAGCTTCGGCAGGAATGAATGTCCACGATCAGAGAGTTGCTGATTCAGATCTCCGTGCCAGCTGATTATCTCTTCGACAAAGAACTTTGAGACAATCAGTGCAGTTTGGTCCTATGTCGCAAAGGCTTCTGGCCACTTAGTCAGGTAGTCCATAAAGAGGACCATGAGTGATTCCCTTTCTTTGACTTGTCTTTTATCACAGACATTCTCTATCATATGCGGTTAACCCGGTCAAAGGGTATGCCAACAGGTATTCGAACTAGCTGTTGCTTGAGAGGGTGGGCAACTTTCGTGCGGCAAAGGCAACACAGGCTCTATACCAGGATGCAATTCCTCAGCACAACTGTGTTGGCCACCTTCTCAATCCGCGTGTGGGAGAAGGCCTCGTGCATTCATTGCCTTACATCGACTTGTTCCCTATTGCATGAATTCCTGCAAGACCAATCAGATTGCAGGATTTGCCACATCAAATTAAATCGCCCACGCTTTTTTGTTTGTTGCGCAGAATGTGATTGGTTCGCTCTGTCTTCTTCCTGTTGTTGACTCGAGTAGTCTACTGTGCTAGGGTCTTTTTCCCCAGTGACGAGTGCGCTCAGTTGTTGTCCAACCCCAGTTGCAGACAGTGTGGTGTTAGCTGAACTCTGAGGGCACTGCAGTTCACCGTGTCACTAGGCTAGACTCTTCCAATACACGCTCTCTCTCTCTGTCGTCAGCTGTGGGTAGGACTCCAAGTTAAGGAGGGTCTACATTGACTCTATATACACTGTGGAGTCTTCAGCACTGGGCTGAGACTCTCGATCGTGTGAGGTGCAAGCACACATCCCTGCATAGTGTCAACCTATTACGCAATGTTATGATATTGCGGTTCATGATAACGTGACAAAACATTGCTGGGGAGCAAGTGGCTTATAGGCAGTGCACCAGGCCTTCTCCTCCCCCGAGAAGGCGTGGCTCCATGAGGCTAGCCCATGTGTAGACCGCAGAAGCAGCAGGCGGTGGATGGATCTCGCGCCCAGAGATTAGTCTCACGTAGCCACACCCATTACATGAACGGTGAGGGGTCTGGTCTGCTTAGCATCAGCGACCACTGTCAAGATTCTATACATTAATTATTACATTCCTAGCTTACGTGGCATTACGTTATCGTGTAATGTGCACTGTCAGCACAGTGCAAGAACGCGTTCTAAAGAGACTGGTCTGCTTAGCATCAAAGACCTGTGCCCGTTGAATGTGCAAGTAATCTTTTAATGTTCAAATATGCGCATGCGCATGCACAAGTTGGGGATGTATACGAAAGACCCAATTCGTTTCATGGCCAACTATGAAGACCAGATGACCAAGTAGCTCACCGAAACTAACAGCCAGTGCTCCAACGAGCACCGCGCAGCTCTACCTTCCCTCTCTTCTTTTTGAGAGGGGATGGCTATGCGAGACTATGCAGAGATATAGCTGAGGCTGTGACTGCTGCTGCTGCTGAGCCATCAACAAGCACGGAGGCCGCGGCTGCTGAGCCGTTCAACAAGCACGGAGGTAGTACGATCTAGTTCTGCGGCGAGTCAAGCAAAGAGTCGTACAAGGCACCAGTTTTCTAGAGAAAAGAAGCTGGAAGTCTTGGCGTACAACTACCAAGCAGCCAAACAGCACAAATATCGAACGTGTCCAGTTTGGCATAAGTAAGAAAAGCCTGCAGAGATAGATTTCAAGTAAAGAAAAGATCCAGAAAACAAGCAAGGGAGCTAAGCGAATTGGCAGTGGAAGGCGAGCATTCTGGCCAGACGTAGAAGAGCAGCTGTACCGAGAGTACCAAGAGAATCAACAAAAGGGCTTAAAAGTGAAGCATTGGTGGTCCCGGACATGATCCAAGCAACTGATGGAGGAGTTGCATCCATGGGCTGAATTCATGTTCTCACTTGGATGGTTCGACCGCTTCAAGAGCTGAGTTGGCATTTCTCTCCGTCGCTCAACAAACGTAAGCCAGAAGCAGCCCAGTGACCTCAAGATTTATATTAGAGAGTTTCACCTCTGCATTAGACGTGTTGCAACTGAGGGTGAACACATGGGTGAACTTAGACAATTTGAACTTGCTATCAGACATCACTGCCATTCACTTTATCTAAAGGGGAAAGGTACAACATGAGGGGTGCGACAACTGTGTGGCATTGTGAAGAAGAATCAGGACTGGAGAAGCGCCAATGCACCGCTCAACTCACAATATTTGCTGAAAGGGAGCCCCGGGTGAAACCGCTCCTGGTATTTCGAGGCAAGGGGCTGAGAATTTCCCAGGCTGAAAGGATGTGGAAACACCCTTTTAGTCCTGATTTTCGGCAACAAAAGCTTTTAATCGCAGACGTGCACGGGGCCTAGACCACTAACAATGTTAAACTCTGTCTACAATGGGAAACCACCACATCTGTTGTTCTTGTGCCTGTCGGATGTACAAGTGTAGTTAAACCCCTTGATGTCAGCTTCAATAGTGTGTTCAAGTCTGTTGTTGAAAGATGAACACATGCACGAGAATCTTGACAGTTACGTCAATGGAACTATTCAAGCAGGCACATTCTTTTCTCAATTGGGTTGGTGAAGCTTAGGCTGAAGTGAGCAAAAATAAAGAGATGATCAAGAAAGTGTGTGAAAAGTGTGGCATCTCAGTGCCCATCAATGCCATGTTGGCTATGATTTACTAACGCAGCTGTGTAAACTGCTGGGCTTGAAGTATCAACTGTCAGGGTGCCTATATTGGTTGGGTGTCATTTATTGCTTGCGTGCCCTTACACAAAAATCTGTAGTATGTATATAGGGGATTATGGGTGCCTATTTTCTATGGGGGCTTATTATTCCGATTTTATGGTAATTCCCCACCCTCCAGTTGAGCTTCTTCAGTCCCCACGTTTGTTAGCAAAGGTTTTAGTTTCTTATGTTCGCCAACCTCAACCACTATGTCTCGCAGCCCTTTCTGTTGAAGAATTGAAACTGGGGCTCAAATAGACCTGCACAATTATCTGGGGTATGTACTTTGGGAATCTCGACACAGACTAGTTTTGAGTGTCGTGCTGGAACACGAGTGACATGCATTAGTTTGACAGTTTGCCACCGTCGTGTTCCCTTTGTTGCCGAGCGCATTAGCGCAAGGCAACTACTCCGGGTTGTATTCTCGCGATATGCGTACGTACGTACGTGTCGGTCACGCTTAAGAATGTCAATTAGTCACGCTTAGGGAATATCAATTAGTCACGCTTAGGAATGTCAACTTCCGTCATTCGTAACAAGTCTAGCTTCCGCCATGCGCGCAGACTCGTAGGAAGTCTGGCTTCGCGCGCAGTCAGTAGAGCGTGCGCACGAGCGGCCTCAGTCGGACTGTTTACACATTGGCTGGCAGGCGCGAGGCAAAATATGCGCATGCGCATTCCTAGTTACTTACTGAGGGATCTGCTTTTTATCGGTGGCTTTTTGCATATCCACTGACTTATCTTGATTCCATGCTACAAGGGATATCCCGAGTTTTTTGTACAAAGTAAGAGATAAACAGGACCCCCTTTTTGGACATAGAGTGTGGCGTACTCACTGCGGAACTGACAGCAATCAACCGGACTTACAATTTCCTATGAATCCCCAGCATAGTTTTGAGGACAACTGTAGGTGGCTTAAGCCGGTTTTGAACCCACTTGCCCCACTCAGCTGGTTATTGACCTTTTGCCTTGTTATCTGCAGCTATTACTTTGCAGTAAGAAGTCTAGCGACACGATAGTGGCAGAGGACCTGGTGGCAACCAGTGCACTGGCCGGTTTACCATCCAACTATACCTCTGTAGGCCTAGTACCGTCGTATCTAGAGAGGTGGGAGGTGTGATACCGTGCATGGTAGGCATCACCCTTTTGACTGCCTCTTCCACCTCACTACCAGTTGTCGTAGGTGTGGTCTCAGGCCCTGACTTCTTATCCACCTGGCCAGGTGTAATCATTCTATCATTCCTTCATTACTGCTGGGCTTTGATGATGGCCCATTCCCAGTGTGGTTGCCTGAGTTACCACTGCGGTTCTTACTGCCTCCTCCCGGACTCTTGGCTGGAAGCTCACAGCCCTTTTGTGGACAGTCTCTGGGAAAGTGTCCACTACCACCACAGTAGAAACACAGACGGTTAGTGCTGCCTTTTGGTCTTCTTGGCCCCCTCTACCATATTGACTGGATCTGTGGTGTACAGACAGCAGATAAACAGATATATATATATCCGCAAAGAACATTTTAGGCCAATCTTGGTCAAATGCACCCGTCCAGCAAAGGTCACCACAGCGATAGAATTTAAAACTGCCACAACCCAAAATCCAGGTTCTCTCCTATCAGAGCTCATGCGACAAACTGAGAGTGAAGACTGTCTTCAAGTCGTAGGGCACCCTTTCCCAAACCTCACAAGAGTGATACCCGAAATTATGAGGATCAGATGCTATCTATGTAAAAAGTATGTACCGTGTTTCATCAGAAGACAGGAATAATGACTGAGCAAGAAGCGATTTACGAGATTGTCTATGGCTATGTAAATTAGAGGGCAGCACTGGTTAATTGTAGCTGGTTCCCATCCATCCAACCACCCACACTCATTGTAGCCAAACCACTTCACATTGCACCATTCTGTAATTTTTGACTGCATGCACCACCATTCACTTTGTATACAGTGCTCTACACTAAGACAGGAGATTGTGCACTTTTTCACTCTTGGTCAGTTTTCTCAGCCATACTAAGTCCCAGACACACACACAATAATTTTGTCAACATGATCCCCAATCTTTGGTGATTGATTAGAGTATAATGATAATGCATCACCTGACTGTCACATGAGGAAGAAGAGACAAGGATTTCCAAATACTTTGGGCACGGCATTTCTATATACAAACCAGCCAGTTAAGGTCTGAAACTTCTGCAGCAGTAGCACACTCAAGCCAGTCAACTTTGAGTAAGTCAGACACACCCGCACCATTTCTGCACAGCTGAGCAAAACAGTGATTTAAGAGGTCCTACAACTTTAGGCACGAGAAATCTGTGTTTATGGGAGTTAAGCTCCCAGACTTCGAATCACGAGCTAATGTATTGTAGTTACCGTACCTATTCACAGACATCGGCTATCCCTCGCCCTGTTTTGCTCAGCTGTGCAGAAATGTTGCGGGTATGTCTGACTTACACTAGGCCCAAGGCTGGGGCGTGCTGCTGCTACAGAAGTTGCAGACCTTAACTGGCTGGTTTGTGGAAATGCCCTCTGCCTAAAGGAAACCTTGTCTCTTCTTCCGCCATTTGTGTCACGTGACAGTCAGGGGACGCCTTATCGTTACCAATCACCAAGGATTGGGGATCATGTTGATATATCATGTATCATGTTGATATATATCATGTGTGTCTGGCACTGCTGGTATAGCTGAGAAAACTGACCAAGAGTGAAAAAGTGCACAATCTACTGTTTTAGTGTAGAGCACTGTATCTGTCAATGAAAAATCCTTGTACATACAAATGTTTCAGGTTTGCCATTCAAAACTGTCTGAACTAAAGAAGTTAACAGACATGCCACTTTGTCTACATTCAAAACTTTCCTCATCCTTATCACTTGAAGTCACTGCATCTCGGTATGACCTAATGTCAGGCCCTACGGTTACTAAGAAGACTCTGAGACCAGGAATTAGTACAAGATTCTATCTACGTTCACTCCCGGAAGACAAGTAAGTTAATAGGAAGAATACAACATATTTTAGGTGAGTGAAGAGAGCATTTGCTTTCCTTCTGCTATAATACTTTCTTTTATGTTTGCTTATCATACCTTCTGTTAGAACCCCACTGAAAAATGGGAAATACGACAGACAGTAAATATGATACCATAGCACATCTAAATGTCAACCTGAAAATCACTGAATCCCTCTTTTGCTGGGGTGTGTTCGACCTATAGGTACATATTACGAGTGAAGGGGCCGTAAGCATTTTTTCAAGGAAAGTCTCCTGTACTGTATGCAAAAGATTTTTACATTTCTGAAGGCAAAGAAACCTGCATTCCCCTCGATATATAGGCGTACTCTTTGAACATTGGTGTATTTTCATCACGTTATACATGGCACCAACATCGCACAATGTTACACATCAATATTATAAATTCTGTTTAAAGCTTGTTGGTGTGACGCCTTTTGAGCCACGTAACAGGTGATGAAAATCTTCCAGGCCTTGGCCTTCTCCCCTTCACGTTGGGCATTGTAATGCTTATAATATTTTTTCGGAGAGGAGGGAGAAGGCCTGGGATTTGACTAGCTATGGCATAGTTGTCAACTTTTGCGGGATGAATCCTTGGCATCCCATGCCCACTTTTCAAAGACCCAGCTGATGGAGAGCTGAAATGTCTCTGGGGCATGGACTACATTCTCAATACAGGAAGCAGTTTTCGGAACGGAGGGCATATGTCGAGTCTCACGATGGCTAAAGTAACCTAGCTAGCCCGAGTCAAACTGTCTGAAATCTAGCAAGAGGCAAGAGACCACAGTAGTTTAGCTCAGCCCATCAATTACCAATTCTGACCTGAACATGCGTATTGGAAATGCTTATATGCACACGTTTCTATAGTGCACGGAGGGTTCACACGTGAGACACTCCAGAAAGGGCGAGGCCACTCCACCTGGTTGGAGTCCAGGTTTTCCCACTACGTGGCTACAATTGTTGTACTTACAAACTAACCTACATTACACGAAGGCTATCACAGTATACCAGCTACGTATCCTTAGTAAAGTTTGTCATGCTATAATTCGGTTTGTCTGTTTTTTAAGTCCTATTTGAGGTTTACCTACATCCTTACTGCCTTGTTGTGACAGGATTAGACCAGATACACATACGTACCTACCTGCCTTGGGTCATACCTGCTGGCATCTTCTTTTCCAACCACCACTTGCAAAGGGGATATTTTACTCTGTGTGTAGGTGTGTGTGTGTGTTATTGATTGGGGAAGGAATGAAGAGAGGTAAAGTGTAGGCAGGACTAAAGCTAACGAGAGGTGGGCGGCTTTTGTCGGCGTCACCAACCAGGTGCTTAAATGTATATGTAAACCTATCCACGAGTCTAGCAACATGCAGGTGCAGTGCAAGCCTCTTTGTTACTGGTCATCAGGAGAGTTCCAAATCTTTCACTATGTCACACGTGTTTCGGCCTCCACCTGGTTGCAGTCCAGATTTTTCTACTACGTGGCTATAATTATTGTACTTTCAAACTAACCTACATTACATAAAGGCAATTTTAGTATACCAGCTACGTACGTATCCTTAGTAATAACTTGCTTCATTTCTTTGGTCTTCTCTATTCTTCACTTCTTTCTTCACTCTGGCTCCTAAACAGGCAAGTCAAAACTTCCCATGCTGTGTGTGTGTGTGTGTGTGCGTATTTCCACACATAATAGGTAACAACTAGAGAGGGATTCTAAGGATCTTGTGTACTCCGCAACTCACTATGCAATATATCACCGTAATTTAAGCTCGAGCAGTGGTGGGGGTGTCAGCCTCGAAGGTGCTAATTGGATATTTCTTCAACCAAATCATGTATATAATTATATATGGACCTGAAACGATTGCATTAGCCCTACCTGTACAGGGTAATGGTATCACAATACCAATCAAAGTGCTATGCGTTAGAGAAAGAAATGTGCCTCTTGTTGTATGCGTGAGTTAAAGAGCAAGAGCCTCATCCATGTCCCCTTGAACATTTCAGTAGTCGCCCATTAGTGGCTGTTGCACGATTTTTTGAGGTGTGATATTTTGTCACATATTGCGCTCATCCCTTAGTAAATATTGGCAACAGCTACGCTCCTGTTTTATAAACAATTCTGTTGACATTATTATTTTTGGACAAGACACCCCAGGAAGGAGGGATTGGGTAATTTACTTATGGGATTGCTTGCAAAACGTTGGATAATATGTGTTACAACACATATGTATCTGATCTGCTACTTTACAATGGACTTAACGCAAGCATGAAATACATCGGTTTATAGGAGACTCACTTGCCATGTACACACATGATTGTTCTCATTCATGAGCTATGTAAAATCACAAACCTCAGATAAAGCTTTTTCTGAGTTACGTTATGATAGTTGTTAAATTTACGAATTGTATGTCTCTATACATAGGTTGGCAAAGTGTGGCATTGACCAAGGTCATTTTCTCTCGGGGCATTTCACATTTAGTAAATGTGATAAAGTTAAGAAGAAAGTGAGTCAACGTAAAGGGGGGAAAATGTAAAGTAAAACTTGTGCTGCTTTTGGTATAATATTGATGTCGTGTCTATCATGTCAATCTTAAGGGCTAAATTTAGAAATGTTCCTAAAGGTGGAACAAAACAATAGGGACACGGTGAAAGAATGCAATTAAGTTCTGTTTTAAGTAACATTACTAAATTTAGTCCTTACATACTGCCACATTCCCTTTAATGGGCTTAAGCTTTCTCCGATGGTTTCATGTCTTGTACAACTTTTGTCTTCGATGAGATTTGTAATTCCAGGCTAGGGAGGAACTGCACGAATTGAATGATTGCTGCTACCCTTTTACATCCATGGAATGCTTGTTCCGCCAACGTCTAGCCAATCGGATCTCACTATCCACGTTGTCAATACTCCGTAGCGCCAGTGCAGTACCTTGATAGGAAGCTGAGCCAGATCATGATAGGGCAGACGTACACAGAGGGCAGGCGAGGCCGGTCAGAGACGGGCCAACCGGGAGAACGTGCACTTTTAAGATAAGTATTGCTTTTTTCTTGCGACACCTAGTCACCTGCTAGCTGTCTTCACCCCATCGTCGGTTTATGCCATTGTCTGTCCCTGGAAGTTCACCAGGTTGAAAGTTCAAAAATGTCTAATTGTGAACAATGCAACGAAACGCATTGTATTTTCGTCCAGCTGCCTTTCCATATGCTTACTTTTTTTATCTCTCTGTGTCATAAGGAGCCTAGTCTTGCTCCTAGCCATTTGTTGTGCGCCCCATGCACACAGATGAGGGAAGGAAGAGTCTGGTACGTAAATGTCTTAACCATAGCGCAGATCCTTGGCTGGAATGTAAAAGAAGTTAGAAGCGAACGGCATTTTACCCATTTGCCCAAACTCATGGATGTTGCTGCCTGGAAGGTGTAGAGTAATTACTGATGCAGCAGTACCATCAAAATGGGCCGTTTAGTTATGTATGATGCGGCCTCGCACACGGCAGATCGGCATTGGCAAACACTTTGCCTGTTTCCCCCCTGGCAGTTGGCGAGGTGCTGGCTAGGTAGCAGTCTGGTGCAATAAGATTATGGGCAATTTCTCAGGACTAGCCGGGGCATTTTAGATACATGCCTGACATGTGTTGAGACAACGACAAGGTGGTGACATAGATTGATATGTAAGTTTTGTGGACTAGCTGTTGCAGTTATTTTACTCTCAACATTTTTATTGTAGTACATAGTATATAGGGATTGGGCATGGTACCTAGCATCATGATGTATGGGGCTATGATAGGGAGTTTGTTCATATTCTTCTTCAAGACGAATGACTCACAAACGACATGACATAATATGGACATGAAACTTTGTAGGAACAGTAATGCGAAGAGACTGTGGGTACTTATTAATGGTAGCATGCATAGAGATGAAACTTGGTACGTATGCGTATTATATCATTTCCATAACAACTACATGTTTCCATGACGACCACATATTTTTTGAAAAAGCCTCAGGCAATTTGATTTAAAATTACTTCTTCACTCCTCAAAATTGTTAACAGTAGCACGCATGGAGATGAAACTTGGTACACATGCGTATTAAATCGTTTCCATGCAGACCAAATATTGTTTTCAACAAATAGCCTCGGGCAATTTTCTTTATTCACTCCTCGAACTTGTTAACGGTAGGACGCATGGAGTACTCATGCGTATTACATTGTTTCCATGCCGACCAAATATTGTTTTGAACAACAATATTAGCCTGAAGCAATTTTCTTTCTTCACTCCTCGAACTTGCTAACTGTAGCACGCATGGAGGTGAAACTTAGTACACGTGCATATTACATCGTTTCCATGACGATGACATAAACGAATAGCCTTGGGAACTTTTCTTTATAATTACTTCTTCACTCAAACTTGCATGCATGGAGATGAACCAACTGTCATGCACAATGCGCACATAAAGATAGAGCTGGGAACAATGACCCCGATCGACATATCTGCCCCTGGCAGCAGGTCTCTAGCTAGGCTCTAGGATTGCTATAGCTCACACACAGCCCAAAAGCCAGGCAAAAATTAACAAGTAGACTGTAATCGCTAAATACACTTGTATAATGACTGAGAGTAAGATGAAAGGAATTCCAGCTAGTCCAAACAACGTAGATGCGTAGTGAGCGCTTCCTGCCCAGTCTCATGCTCGCCGCGAGCCAACACTATGAATCCTCGAACGCTCCGCCCACAACAACAACCGACAACCGTGCACGTGCGTCGACTACGAGACCCGCCCCCACCACAACCGCAGCGGTTCCTTCACGCTTCGCTCCACCGAAAACGAGTGAAGAGATACAAAAAGGTAGACAAAATAGAATACCTACCAAAACAAAAGAGGACACAAAGTACTGCTACAAACTCTGGGAGAGTTGGCGGGAATACAGACAGAGTTGTTCAGCTCAAACCATCCCATGCCTACAAGACATGACACCAACTGAGCTTAACCACTGGCTAAGCAGGTTCGTGGTAGAGGCGAGAAAAACAGACGGCACAGAGTACCCCCCAAACACTCTGCATCACATTGTTGCTGGCACCTTCGTTTCGGAGGACATATGCTGGACTTGTTTAAAGACCAGAAATTCGCAGCCTTCCAAGCTAGCCTTGATGGGGAGATGAAACGTCTGCAGGCTAAGGGTCTTGGCAACAACAGACGTCAGGCTGAGGTCATCACCCCAGAGGAGGAGGAGACACTGTGGAGGACTGGACAACTCGGTGACTCAAATCCTCAGCAACTTCTGGACACCATGATTTATTGTTGTGGCCTCTTCTTCGCGCTGCGGAGCGGCCGGGAACATCGGCAGCTACGACGCTCCCCACCCCAGATTCAGCTCATCGAACAGGCAGTGGAAAGAGCTTCCTTGAAATACCAGGAGGACATCTCGAAGAACCATCCTGGGGGCTTGAAGGGTCGCAAGATCACACCAAAAGTCGTCTACCATCACGCAAACCTTGTGAATCCGGAGCGCTGCTTCGTGCGACTCTTCAAAAAGTACACCAGCCTCACTCCCCCGGATGCACCAGCTAATGCATTTTACTTGAAACCAGCCAAGACCCCAACCTCCATCTGCTGGTACTCCTGCCAACCGTTGGGGCACAACCCGCTCGGCAACACAGTTGCAAGACTCTGCCAGTCAGCGGGAATCTCTGGTTTCAAGACCAATCACTCCTTGCGCGCCACGTCGGCAAGTCGTCTGTACCAGTCGGGAGTCGAGGAACAACAGATAATGGAGAGGACGGGGCACAGGAGTTTGGAAGGAGTTCGCTCGTACAAAAGAACGTCGGACGAGCAGTGTGAGGCACTGTCAGACATCCTGAACGGCCCATCCACTTCTGGTCCTGCGAAGATCCCGCGAACGGAGCCTACACCAACACCCGCACCCATCACCTTCACATCCGTCTCCTCCGACACTCTACAGCTATCCCACGCTTACTTCAGCGGGTGTACAGTGAACTTTTACGTAGGCAAAAAAGAGTAGCTAGCCGGCCACACTCTGCACACGTGTATTATTCTTTATGCGCATGCTCCACAATAGATCCCGTCGTCCAGGGCAGCGGGATGTACGGAAAATAGATCCCGCGTTTGGACCAATGAAATTGCGCGATTTCAAATCACCGGGATCTAAGGGTAGTTAGAGCATAAAGAGGCCATACAATTTCCCCATACTTTAGCTGTATGTCAACTCATTTGCATAAACCACAGTGGGTCTAGACGATAGTAGGAAATTGGCAGCGTGGAATGCAATTGGGGGTTTTTACACTATACTTTACACTCTTTGTGTGCTGCTGTTTCTTTACCAGAAGGGAGTGTTTTCAGGCTAGAATGGCCAGAAACTGCTCTAGTATATATGCGGTCTGAAAGCTGCTTCCTGACGCGTAGGCTCCCGTGGACTGGAACAGTATTCGGTGACTTTCATCTTTCTTGCTACTGCAACAGGCTGCATTCGAGAGTGCTGGGTATAGCAGGAGAGAAAGCGAGCCAGAGCGGCAGCTACAAAACTCGTGTGGAGTCTAGCAGCGAAAAGTATAGCTTTGACGTACCTGTAACGTTGAACTCTCGAGAAATGACCATGGCTTCTGCACAACCGCCCAGTTTGACTAAACTAAAGCGCTTATTGCAGCTGTCTCTCTCCCAAGCGATTGCTAGCTAGCTCTCTCTCCCGAGCGATTGCTAGCTAGCTCTCTCCCCGTCCCCCCCGTACACTCGATGGTATGCGTTAAAAAGAGGGCGTTTTGAAAGCTTTAGCGCAATCTCATTGGTCAGAGCCTTACCGCAGGATGTCATCATACAAACACGTTATACGATGGCATTGGCTTGTGGTCTACTGATTGCACACTCGTGGCTTCAGTTTTGATAGACCACTCGGGCTGCGCCCTCGTGCCCTATCAAAACTGGCCACTGGTGTACAACCAGTAGACCACGCGCCGCCACCGTATAACCTATACCTGTATCTCGATCAACGTGAATAATTGCTGTGTGAGGTTGTTTTTGTATGCACTGTTCTATTTTGTGCGGTTTCACCTGTGTGCACTTATAAACCTTATTGCAGATGCATCTCCCCACTACCTCAACCAGATGCCACTGCTATGCTAATATAAATTGCACACAGCGCTAATAGGGTCATGAAAGAATGAAATTCCGCCGAGATTTGATGAATATGCGTTTTACGCAACTCGACGTAGTGCACATTGTCATGCCTCTTGTGTGCTTCTGTGGACTTATTTTCTGCCTTTTTTACAGGTTGCTTATGAACTTAAGTACATTGTCGGACCACAAAAAAGTGCTAGATCACCCTCTGTATCCACTGAAAAAAAGTTGTACACGAATGACTCCTTAAAAGAATTCAAGATAAATTCCATGAGGTATGTTAGTGTGTAGTATATGGCACTGATGTTTAGAGTCATTTCATAGAGAGAATTTTTGTCTCTCATGGGGGTTGGTAGCAGAGTTCCATTCCAGGTTTCTTTCTGTCAGAGACATTTGCTAGAGCTGTACATATGGACCGTAAGTCTGTGCAATTTCAGTACATGTACCTCTATGCCCCATCTTGCGGTCGTGTGGGGATGAAGCATTAGCAAAAAAAAATTTATATCAAAATCGTCAATGTCTCTGTTTTTGCGCACACACGAATTCTTTTGCATGGAAAGTCTCAATACACAGCCTAGTGAAAATAGTTTGGTCGGCGGACCCACCTAAGTATGCAATTCCTTTGTGAATAAGAGGGTGCATGTACAGCCTGCTCCAAATGAGGTGGTTTCTTCTGCACAACCGTTCATTTACTTCTCTGACTTGAACTGCAACTTCTTTGCTAGTTGTATTTGCACTGTTTATTGCGTATGCCTCCTATTAGGGTGCGGTCAGTGGTACGGAGTATACCCACATAAGCGCCACTTTGATTCTTTGGCTTCTGGGCTACAAGGCAGAATGCCTATAATTATCACTTGCTTACCTCAACCGGGTTTTGCCCGAACGTTGATAGATGAAGTTGTATATACTCGGAGGACGAGTATCCAGTCCAGCATTGGTCTAATATCTTCCTGTTAATATAGGTAATCTGTGAGAGAGTAAGAAGCTTGCTCTGTTAACTGCTTCAAACTGCAGTGGTGCATTATACTAATGGATATTGTGCACATCAATGAGCACAAATAGTGAACGTGTGTGTATTGTGCACATCAACAAGCACGTGTTCCTTTTCTGCCAAGGGTTTAGCCTTTGTCCAAGTACTGGACTAATGGTAACTTCTTTGAGTAATACATCTGAAATTGCTGTCCAGGCATGCATGCGTGCACTTGACTGTCCTACTGCTATACAAGTCACATGCTGCAAGCTGCAACATTGCGTGTAATTTTTTCTCTCACTCTTCAGGTATGGTGTACTGACTAGTGATGAGCTTGAAGATGAATATGGTGATGATATCTCTTTTCTACTTGCAAAACTAAGAATGCTTTCTGAAAGTGAAATGGTAACTTAAAAATTGATACGTGTTAATATGCTCCTTAGGGGGTACCATCTCCATATTTTTTGTTACTTCAAGTTGAATTTTACTATGCTTATGTATAAGCCATAAGCGCAGTAGGTAGCCAGCATGGACGGCTTATATACAAGCCATTTGAGACACCTTCTCCAGTTCGCACAGCACAGGCAGCAGCTGTGTTCGCATGGCGACTGACAGAGTCCGTACTTGGGCTGACAGTGAGGTAGCCCTGTTGCTGGAAGTTCAGAGCAGTGGAACGATACAAGAAAAAGTCCGCGGAGCAGTAAGGAACGAGGTACCATTTCGAGAAAATAGCGGAGCAACTGACAGCCGCAGGGTACTAGCGTTCTTCCAAGCAGTTCCGCAACAATAAATCTCTGAAGAAGAAATGCAAGGAAGTTAAGCGGTGTTGGGTTTGATGATTCCAACGATGAAGTAACCGTGCGGGACTTCCGGTGGTTCAGCGAACTCCATGTGGTGATGAAAGCAAGGCCTGTTTTGTAATCCCCAGCACGTAGTAGACAGTGCCAGAGTGACTTCAGCTGGAACCTCCCACGACAGCCTCCCTCTCTCGTTCGCAGATGGACCTGAAGAACAAGAAGCATCTGTGGGCAGCACTGACGTTGGCCTGCCAGATAGCACTGAAGGGTCCATGGAGAAGTCGCTCGTCACTTCAGACCGTCCACCTAAACATAGCTCTCAAATATTGAAAAGGATAGGGCTGTGATAAACATGTTCTCAACTACTGGAGAGGTTAGCACCACCTGCGTTAAGCACCGAGATGCAGTATCAGTCACAACATCACAGCATGTACCATCTCCCAGAAGATTAAAGTGGCTGCAAGCGGATCACGATGTATAGTCATGGAGACACAGACATGTATTAATGCATGCAGGAGACAATATACTATAGAAGACAACAAAACAGTTATATACTACAGGAGATGAGTTTACAGAGACAGATATGTGGGACTATTTCTTACCAGATGAGTTGATGACTTTAAGTGCTAAAATAGTTTCAGGGTGCATCTGTAACGATTGCTGCATCAGGAGGAGCATTGGTTGTTCTTGCTGGTGTACTTGTTGGGACAATCACATCTTCTTTTAACCACTCATCATCCCCATGCACCTCACATAGGTTATGTGGTACACAACATGCATTTACCAGTGTAGGAACAAATCCCACATCTCAATCGTTTCTCTTCAGCAAACATCTCCATCTTCCCTTCAGGCGGCCAAATGCATGCCCGGCTTAGTCTGTAGTTGAAGTGCCTTTGCTCGCTCTTTTGTGTGACACAGGTAGGGTATGGCTTTGGTTTGTCTGTCCGTCTGTTTGTTACCACATTTTCTACCACCATGCCCAACAAAAAAGTGACACCAACGGGTTCAGCGCTACACTGGCTTAATGGCGATTTTCGTAAAACTGCCTCGTTCAGAAGTTATGGTGTGAAAAGCAAGTGAACAAGCCAATATGCAAATTAGCACAGGCTTACCTAGACCGTGTCCGCTTGCTCAGTGCATTTTGAAGGCACAAGAAGTCACAACGAAGGGCGTGTATCGACTCCTGCATGCGATCTACTACTGTAGCTAGCCCGCGTCAGACTCTCCGCAAGCTACTAGCGGGAGACGACGGGTAAACGCATACTATTATAGCCCAACCCATCAATTAGCGGTACCGCAGTTCGCCGAGGGTTTGCACTTTAGTGCCAAGGAAGTGAAGGGTAGGTAGGATCTCACAATATCACTACACCAGAGATTTCGTTGTGTCCCACTCAGTAAAAGAGTTCCAGACTCACCTTTAATGAACACTTCTGAGGTCGGTAGGATTCCTGCATCATGCACACTACCTGGCCAGCCGACATATGCGTTCATGAACTTGTACTCATGGTCCACGAAGGCAATTGAGTGCCACCCTGTTCTGTTAAAGTAGTCCACAGGGTTATCATGTGGAGCTTGGATCGGGATACGAGTGCCACCAATAGCTGCAAAACATTGTGGAAATCCCCAGGTGTGCATAAATCCACCCGCAACCATATTTGCTGAATTTCCTGTAGGGATTTGGACGTATCGTTCGATGAGTGCAGAGATGATACTCTCCAGCTACTTCATGTACCACTACATACACAGTTGTTAACCCTACACCAAAAAATGAGCCAAGTATAGGTTAACCCATGGGTTTGGAAGGTATACCAGGAATATACGTTTTGTGCTTATCAGTAGCGTACGAGGGCGGTGCAGAAAGCACCAAGGGTATAGACTCATATGCCTATTTGTAGCCTAGAAATCTTGGACAGTAGTCTTGCAAAGCCAGTCCTGCTGCCTGCCCAAGACTACTCCGACAGATCCCGCGTCGCCGCTTCAAAGCGGTATGAATCACGTGGCATGCACACACTGGGCACAAACACGCAACGTTTCGGCTTCTCAGCCTTCGTCAGGTGTGTGATAATACAAAAATGGCAACATGGGTTATATAAGGAATGCAGGATAGCAACAGTCAAAAAAGGATTGAATGCTGTGGAGCAATACAATACAAAGGCGGTTGGATGTAGTGAGATAAAATGAGGAATGACTGAGATGAATGCACTTCTAGAGAAAGGTAGAGTTCATTGGTCCGGGTTTAAACCATCAAGGTGCTGTTTTGACAGTTGGTAAATCCAGAAACTCTCTCTTCTTATGTAGCTTGTCACTGTTGCTCCTCATGTTCTCAAGTACCTCAGTATGTAGGTCACAGAGTGATTAATGCTGCAGAAGTGAGCTGGTACTGGTTTATCAAAAACTTTGCGCTTAATGTCTCTGCGGTGGCTATTCAGTCTTATATGTAGTACGTTCTCAGTCTCCCCAACGTACTGCATGTGGCATTGAATCAAATGTACAACGTGTTGCAGTTGGCAGTCACGTTAACCCGAAAAGTGCAACCAATGGAAGTATTCAATAACCCGATAATAATGTAGTAACATAGCCTTAGTGGGAACATGCAACTTTTCATGAAGGTATGTATTATTGAAGAAAATAAGAGTTATTTTAACATGACTATCTATCGCAAACCTTCCCCCAGCCTGCGATTCAATGGTACATGGCTGGTATCAAGGGGACCCAGTAGCATGGCCCCATTGCTCAGGATGGCAAGTTCCTATGGGTGTGAACAACTGCCTGTCGATGAGCAAACCTCAATCAAATGTGCTACGGCACAGTGTACTCTTACCCATCATTTAGGGGTCCAATGAAGACACCCAGTCAAAGCTAAGTAAAATCAGTAGGGTCAAGGCATAAACCGGGAGAGGTAAACTTAAAAAGACACCCTACTCCAAGTATGTATATGCATGCGTAACCAATGAGGTCAAGGCAAAGCAAAGGCAAACAACGCCACTACTCATGGAGCAACTTGTGTTTTCAAACCTACTGACTTAAGCGAAGCACTCTACCAGCTGAGTTACCTGGGTAGGTATTAAATCTGCAATGCAACACAGGACATAGGCAAATACCAAACATCGGTGCTATCACAGTACCCTCAGTTTGATGATGTAATTGTAATTGTAGGGTATAACAAATTGAAAAGCACTGAAGTGCAAACCCTTGGCGAACTGCGCAAGAGCGATGCCGCTAATAGATGGGCTGGGGCCTAGTATGCGTTTACTCGTGGTCTTCCGCTAGTAGCTCGCGGAGAGTCTGACACGGGCTAGCTACAGTAGTAGAAAGCATGCGAGAGTCGATACACGCCCTGTGTTGAGACTTCTTGAGCCTCCAAGGTACGCAGAGCAAGTATATACATCTTGTCAAGGTAAGCCTATGCTAATTTGCATATTGGCTTGTTCACTTGCTTTTCATGCCATAACTCTCGAACGCAGTACTTTTACGAAAATCGCCACTTTTGAAATCAAGCCAGTGTAGCGCCGAACCTATTGGCATAGCTTATTTCCTGTCTAGTTGCACCTAGTGGGAGAAAACGTGGTAACAGACACACACACACAAACCAAGTGCCGTAACCCTCGCTGCACATGCAACAAGACCTGTAACTACACCTAGTACCTTTTTGTATTACTATAGTTTTTTCCCCCTTTGTTACAGTGTTCTTATTCTAATGCTGAGGCACTAGCAGCAAGTATTTATGCAAAGGTATGTGGGTATTTAGACATGTTATTCTAATGAATAGCATTGTTTTTACCATGTATGTTGTTTTGTTCTTTGTTCAGATTGACCTTAATGAAATTTTAGCCCAGTTGCGTATTCAGGAGCAGTTCAGCCATGTCCCAGGAAGAGAATGGTGAGCCAACACTGTGTACTCAAGCACCATAATCGGGAGAGTGTGAAAAGTGATGGGGAGGCAGGAATTGGGATTTACTCAACCTACAGGCTACTCAACTAAAATTGAGCTTGTGCTTTCTAGTACTATAAAACAGAGCTTTCGGCTGAAACTAGAGCCATCATCAGTTATGTATGGTTGAACGTGCATGTGATGACTTTTATAAATGCTCTGTCAGCTCATATATGTCTGGCTCTTCTAAACACAGGTTCAATTCTCTATTGATGCTTGGTCTTCTTTGCAAAATATGGAAGGACTTGAGATGTTTTCTTCTGTTCCACTGTTTCTCTCTGTCCAAAATACTTACTCCCTCCCAGTTGATCCTCTGTCCCCCAACCCACCCACGTTCCGTGACAGCACTGATCTGTGTGTTCCTTGATTCTCTCATGGATAAAACGACCTGTTTCAACATCTACTTTGCTAACTATACCTTGATAGATCTGCAATGATCTTTTCTTCGCTTGTGGCGAGCAGCCAGTGCACCCGAACCCCCTGGAGGCCTCACCAAGAACACCCCGACTGTGGACCCCGACCTAGCTAACTCTGGACACCTCTCTCTCTCTCTGCTCAGGATGAAGCCTATGACTACTGTATAAAGAACGGGAGATACCCGGCGAAGGAGTACAAGAAACCAATGTCGGAAGACGTGCTGTGGTCTCTGAGACTGACCATGATACTCTGGATGACTGTCCTTGTTCTACTCCCTTGTGTCTTGATGACCGTCTTCCTCTCCTGGGGCTATATCCTCTTCCTCCTCCTCATCACCATACTCTGTTAGTCTGTCTTACAGGTTTTGGTGTGTTGGTCCCATTAGCATGTCTCAACTACTTGGTAACGAGGTAGAAAGGCAAGGCAAGGCAAACTAATGAACTACACCCAGGACAGCTCTTTCTTTTCAAAGAAAAGAAGAATAGCTTCCCTGGGTGGGATTCCCACGACACTCGTGACTTCCGTGACCGAACTGCATTCTTCAACAATGCGAGAGCTCGGATCAGAGTCACAGAGGGAGTAGAAGCAAGTTCCACGTCTCCTGTGCTAGAAGTAATGCCTGCAGGACTCGCTGTGACGATCGCAGGCGCTTCATGAGTGCTGGCGCTGTGTGACTCCCCGTCGTGCTCCACCAGCTTTGCGTGGCAAGAGAGTCCGTGGAATCCAAGCTCACACGCTGCTTCTTCCGGCTCTCTGCCGACGCTAGAGCTGCTGCTTCAGCCTTTCTCTTCGTCTTTGCCTTGGGAGCCATCGTGAATAGAAGTCTCTTTCACACGATGTTGCCTTTCCAGAAAAGATTTTAGTGTGCGCATGCACGGTACGTTCGACGATCGAAAAATATATTTACTACCTAATGCAACGTGACGTCAGCGCAAGGGTAGAAAGCTGCAAATGCTCAGTCAGAGGCTAACTTAGACGGTTTTCGAACAAAAAATACATCATTTGAAAGGCCTTTTCGAGCGCTGGGGCCGTAATTGTAGCATATACGGAGTGGAAGTTACAGACGTGCAAAATTTTGGACAGTTATACCTCGGTGCACTATATGACTTCATTCTTATATGGAAGAGCAGTATTATTGAATGTGATCAGTGGTAGAAAGTGACAGTTTTTGCAAGAACGAAAACAAAAAGCTGAGTTTTACTAGCTTTAACAACAAACCATGATCAAGAGCATATAAACTGCAAATATCCAACATCCGTCTAAGAGCAGACACACATGGAGCCAGAGTAATATCATCTGCATAGCAGAGTGCTCCTGCAAACATGTGACCCCAATAGCTAACAACCAACACCAGAGTGTGATAACTCTTTCAACAAACCATCCAAATAAACTGCAAATAAAACTGGTGATAGGACTCCACCCTGTCTGACACCATTTGAAACACCAAAAGGTTGGGAAAAGCGATCACCCCAACAAACTCTATCTCCTGTAAGCTATACCAATTTACCAAGAATCGAATAATTGGAGGAGGCAAGCCCCTATGTTGTAACTTTGAAAAGAGTTTACCATGATCAACCTTTGGAGGTATCCAAGAAGCAGCCCAACACTGTAGAAAAGGTATTTTGACACAATATTTTTTACAAGACCTGTGCAAAGAGACGTTGAAGAGCCAGACTTAAAGCCAAACTGAAGTTGGTTACTAAGCAGGTAATGTGAAACATTTTGGCATGTAACCATGCCTTAAAATAGTGGTGAACAGATCGGCAATAGTTTCTGACACAACAGGAGTTGCATACTTCAGAAGTTCAGTGGAAATACCAGACTTATGAGGCTTAAGGCAACCAATAGCATCAATAACTTCATCCTCTACCACACAAATATCAGCTAGCTGTGATGTAGACAGTGATGAATTAAAGCAAGAAGAGAGAAAATCACGAGAAGCTACAGAGTGAGTATTGACAATTTTATTTAAGTTTTACGCAATATCTTCGGCTCTGAGGGTCAGGTTTGAGCAGTGTGCCTGGGCTCGTTTGAATAAAGTTCTCACAACAGCCTCCTCTGGGTAATGAGATATAAAGTTTGCCGGGTATATGTAGGCTTCCTTTTATAGACAGCCATCTTCTTCTCTGATATTCAAAACATCTAAGAGGGAATGGTGTCATTTTTCTCCCTCCAGTGTGAAAGTAGGTAATCGAAGGCTCAATGTGTTCAAGTACTGGTAAATTTCTTCCACAAGGTTTCCGTCCAGTGGTATCATCCACAAATCTCTTCCATACGCGAGGTGGGGAATGCCAATGCTCTTCGTTCCACCACTTCCATTACTAAATTTGCCGCTATAACCATAACTGGGGAACCCATTGCCGTTCCATGAAACAGATGTTAAACTCAGACATAAAAGTAAGAATGTTTACTATGGGAGGCTTGTACGATCCTCACGTGCGGTATCTGCTTCCATTCTCTCCTTGGCCACTGTGAGTGCCTGTTCGGTTGCAATGCTAGTAAACAATGATATAACATAAAATTAGATGAGGATCTTATTTCCTTCAACTGATTTAAACTGACTGAACTGAAAAAACATTTACACTGTGCTGTTTATGAGAGTTGACGATCTCCCTACTAGTGGATGTAACAGCTTACTCATGAGCTTAAAATGGCTGTATGTTGCCAATATTGTTCTCATGGGTATACTGGACTTGTGGATTTTTGGCAAACCATGAATTAAACCATCAGAACATCGCAACTGTGTGTTCCTTATTCAGACTCAAAAGTAATTTATTCATAGAATTCTGAAGAGTGTGTGTTGGATCCTTTTTCTGTTTTCGATATACACTTCTGTGTAAGAAAGCCTACTTAACTAGTGTGGCACAACCAGAGAGGGAATGTTGTGCAGCTGGATGTGGCAGGTAATGATGAGGTTGTGTAAGGTGCGGCCTCTAAGAGTTGTTTGGAAGGCTGCGCCTAATGTCAGAGACATTGCTAGACCATGTGAGGCCCTGTGTGCATGATGCAGACAATAATGTGCCTGCAACCAGGAAAGAAATGACAGTTGTAGTTGTGATGTTTGGTTTGGCAAGAGACAAATGAAAGAGACCCCCGCTGCCGCAGGCCAGGGCAGTCCCACGGGCAGCGCAATCCTACTCCAGAAACTTTGTGACAGTGTGAGGGTCACAATGTATTCATACATAGCACTAGGTGCCAGACCCAAATATCTTTACACAGATGCCTTCGTGGCAGAGCAGTGAATCTGGAAGTTGAACGGAAAAGGCTTGTAACGCCACAGTGAGTCTTCCATGCACGGGGAAGGTAGTGGTTTTAGTGGTAGAGCATCCATAATGACGGGAAGGTAGTCTGGTGTTGCAGTGCGAATGATGCATCACAGTCTGAGAATGATTGCTGTGCCCTGTATGAATCATAGGCTGGCATTAGCCACTCATGCTTCTGACCTCAATCGAGTGTGGAGGTTGATAGGCGGTTTCTTAAATCAGTTTTAATGCGGTTCATGTCTTATACCACCATTTCTTTCAGATGCTAACCTTAGACACTCGCGTCATTGTGACTTGCTGTGCATTTCATTCGCCTGTGACGTTGTAGAACATCAGTTCAGACTTGTACAAGAGACATCTAGCTGCCATTACGTGGCCAGGCTTGATGACGTTGACAAAGACTGCAAAGTAAGCCAGTCACTCGTCTTCCCTGAGCGCTTCCATCCATGCCTGCATGGACTGGCACATGCCACGGAAAACATCCTTCCACGCTGAGCTGTAGCCAATTCAGTGCTTGCCTTTGGCTAGTAGGCCTTCTCCGCTTGAAGTTTAGTTTCCGCTCGCCGATAGCAGGGAGCGCTTCTTCTGAAAAGTTGCCACGTGGCCCTCAGAGGTAGAACCCGCCTAATTAACCACGCATAATAATTAGTTTGCCGCATGAATAGCGTGGCGCGCCACCACTGTACCACGCTTTAGCGAGAAAACTGCCCCAAAAACAGATTTTCTAGCATTCACCCCTTATAGGACACACCAAGAATGGAACTTTCGTCTGTCCTATTACTGTCCGGATCAGAGGGGTTCACTTCGTTGAGACAATTCTTACCCCACAGGTTTGTCATGTTTGCTTTGACAATGGCTGGGGGCTTTACCTCCTTTGGTTTGGTTGCCTTGTTTTTTGCCTTCACATCTATTTTGGTGGCGGCGGCATCCTTCTCAGAGAAAGGGGGAGAGAGGAAGAGGTGGGGAGACAAGAGGGAGGTAAGAATAAGAGAGGGGAAAGAGGTCCATTTGTCAGTCTGTGGATCAATGCGAGAACCAGTTACTTTTTAGGGATGAATGTTCCACTAAGTCCTTGTGAGAGGCAGGAGGCAGCTATGGCTACCACCTGTAGTACAGTTCTGCGAGAAAAGGACGATGTAGCGTGTGTATAATGTATATGTGTGATACTATGGTTACAAAGTTTTACTGCTGGAACTCCTTCACTGATTTACATTCCTAAGCGTGACTAATTGACGACGTACGTACGTACGCATATCGCGAGAATACAACCCGGAGTAGTTGCCTCACGGTAACGCGCTCGGCAACTATATAGTCATGTTATCAGCATAACGTAGGTGAAGAAATCTTCAAGGGAACCAGAATGTTGACGAATTTTGAAAAGATACTACTGAATGTATAATAATATAGTAGATGGGGCCTCTATGAAGGGCCTTCACGAGTTCAATTGTTTAAACTGTCACTCAGATATCTTAAGAACTGTTTTGCTCTAGGTCACAACCATACCTTCAGCACCATTGCCCCCCCATGAATAGGCTTAGACCGCTGCTCCACATCCTGGGCATCATTTTTTTTTCCTCATAGAGGCGTTTTTGATTGTTAGTAACCTAAAGGACACACATTGCGTATCATGTCCCTGCTCTTATCACTGTGAGGAGAGGCGGCTGCCTCCATCTACTCCGTAGTCATTATTTATACTGAATACTATTTATTAACTTCCCTTCCATATAGCTTTGAGGAACAGAAGAGACAGTTAGTTGAATGCCTTACATTGGAGGTAATGTAAATCACTACAGTGCATTTTAATCCATAAGCAGTAAGGGTGAGGAGAACGATGTTTAGGGATCTAGGAGATCATTTGTGTATGCAGTAATCTATACAGGCCAAGATGTACATGTATCTAAGAAATTGGGTTACAACATGGATCTCTAGATCATTATGGGTAAAATAAAGTCCAAGTTCAAATATCCCATACATACCTTCTCTCCTTTGGCAACAATTGTTCAGAGGGTGTGAGTGTTCTGTTCCATGTTTCATATATCCCGATAAAATATGTCTTCTTTCTCCTTTAATATACAAGTCCCCTTTTACTTTTACTACATAAATGTATCTAAAGAAGTGGAGGAGGCAAGCCTTTAGGATACTGTGCTTCTGAGGATTAGTGATTTTTTGTTTTTTTTGCACAGCTGAAATGCTTGCAAGTTTAGTGCAATTTTTTTGAAGAAAATCTATAAGTGGTGCACAATTTCATCACGAGCAAACGGTATCTCGACATCAAATTAGTGGGTGGCCTCCATTGGCTTTTGTAGCTCTAGAAAATCCCTGGTGTCAGGAAGTACAATTATATTTATATTCCAGGGCTCAATTCTTTTTAAAGAGCAACCATCATCCGATCGCTTAAAAGCAATCTATGTCGACTTGCACAAATTGCTTGACAAGAAAGACAAAGTGGTATGTCTCAGCAGCATGTTACTTTGCAGGTGAGTATTTTGTTCATTTTTCAGCTGAAGGAGTTTAAAATGAAGTATGCAGAAGCAATGGGCCACTTCGCAACACTTGCAAAGATGATTGAAGAGGAAATGAGTGTCAACAGAGCCAGCAGAGATCTCGATGAGAAACTTATCCAGGTAATATTATTTCATTCTCCCACGTTACTTGTTTCTTGTATGTTTTAAGGCATGTCCGCACTTTATCGACCCGTGTTTATGCTCATCAATACTGTCCGCACTAGGCCTGCAATGTAGACACGAATCTCTATCTACGAAGGTCGGTTGACCTGAACTGAACGATGCTAACATGCGACATCCACGTGACATTTCACATCGAAGTAACACCCCACGCACAATCATCTCTCTAGTACGGACAGGATTCAATACGCATAGCTCAAACATGGATTGTATGCGAAAGCAATATACAGCAGTTTTGTAAAGCAGAAAAAACAATGCTACTTTTTCTATTCTCCCATGCAGTGCTACAGACAACTGGAGTGCAAGGAATATGCTAATTTACTAGAACACAATCTAACATGGAAATATCCACCAGATTTTGTGTCCTTTTAGAAGCGATAATTCTGTGTTTTGGTGATGTAATGTTTATAGTGGCGCATGCACAACGATCCCAAGCAAAATGTTACAAAACAAAGATGTTCAAGATTTCAGTCTTGCAGTAGTTGTTACCAGCTTGCAGCAGGTCCTAGCCGGCATAGTCAATCCATAGATTGATATTGATTGGAAACGTGCACTTGCACCTCATAATTCCAACAAGTTTTTAAATCCTGTAATCATGGTACATCAAGTTTCCTTGTTATGGGACACAGCATAAGCAAGTTATAAACACTACCACTATTTACAAGTTTTCATTGCCTCAGGGTGTTTGTTGTTGTTCACTAGTATGTAATGTTTACATTTGCACACTAATGATGGGTTGCACATGCACACAAAGTTTTATCGTTATAAGTATTGGCCTTGCACTTTTTATTGGTTTATAATTATCATAATGTATTGCCTTGCTTTTTGTTTTTTTTGTTTTGGTTGTTTTCTTGTGAACAGCATTGTTAACAAACAATTAAACGTGTTCCTGTCATGGATTCAAATTTTTGTCAAAGTGTGTCTGTGCCTTTCCTGGTTTTTAGATACACTTGTCGATGAACAACAACAATAATCGATAATACAGTACATTGACCATAAAGATTAGGCACATCTGATGAAAGTGAAATGTGAAAATCTCAAGGTGGTGGAGCACCAGGCAAGCTAGCAGCTGTCATCAGATCAGCCCGGCAGCAGAAACGCTCCCTGGCTGTAGCTTGGCTCTACATCACCAACGCTTATGGTAGCGTCCACCACTCCCTCATCCAGTTCACACTACCACACTCCTCCAGTTTTGCCAACTATTGCAGTCATGTGTACTCCGGGCCTATCTGGTACCATCTCAACAGATGTGTGGTCTTAAGATAGGGGTGTACCATGGAACGTAGTGCAGCACTGGTTGGAGTGGGCTCAACTGAAGGCCTAAGTGCCGCTCCATGGCCATTCAGATGGGGAAGAGAGTGAGCCCTACACTCACAATCAGTGGCAGTGTAATCCCTGTGCTGAATATGGGGCTTTCAAGTTCCTGGGTATGCCAGTGCGGGTTCACTCCAGCAATGATAATGCCAGGTCTTCTCTCCGGGGATCTTTGCAGCAGATGCTGATGGCGATTGACCAGATGCCTCTGTCCCATCAGCAGGAGCGTGACCTGCAGCCTCTGGCCCTCAAAGAGTGGGCAGGTCTTGCTCGTCATTCGAACACTCTTTCTCCTTTCCAAGAGGGGTGGACTGGCTCTGCTATCTCTGGTCAGAGAACACAAGAATTTGCAGGCATCCAAGATAGTACAGCTGGTCTCGTGGCTATGGAGCTACGGCCATAGGCCCAATGCAGTCCTCCAGGTGATTGGAAATTTCGTCAAGACTCACTTGCCTCCTCAGTTCCCCATCTCCATTGACCCCCTCTCGGAGGTCTATAACTTCCCGCCACATATTACCCCCACCGATCTTTGAACGGACATCGTGTGGTGGAGTGACCAGCGAAAGGAGCTATGGCTTTTGGAACTCACTGTGAGCTACGAGTCTGGAGTGGCTGATGCGAGAGCTAGGAAGGCAGCGAAGTACCATGACCTGGTGGAGGCTGGGAGAACGGCTGGCTACAGGGTAAAGCTATTCAATTTGGTGGTTGGATTACGAGGGATGCTGGGGGGCGATGCTGATTTCGACCTTCTAGAGGCTACTGGTGCTCCAAGAAAGGTTTGCACTTTCAACCTTATTAATATTCATAACAACGAGCACTAAGAAGCTGCTTATATAGTTACAAGCCAGAGAGAAAGTCAAGAGAGGGAAAGGTAAGCGAGATATACAGCATAAAATATAGACACTAACGTAAGTATACATTTTATGCCGGACTCCTTGCTGGGGAGTGGTGCCTATTCAAGAGTTGACCTCGGGTCGGAAGGTTAAAGGGACCGAAACCCGTTGTCATACAATGACGGAAATAGGTATATACTTCCCTGATAGTGCCACTCCTGCGCGTGTGGGCGTAGTAAGTCCCTAGGCTAAGACCGCATGAATGTTGGGCTGCTGCCCCGGCGATGCGGACAAAAGCCCTCCCAGCCCTGCTTCTCCCCCCTTTCTCCTTAACCCTTCTCCCTTTTCTTTCACAAATCACACAACACACACGTGCTTACGAGTGCAGGGTCAAGCCTACGGCTGACCGGGTTGGCCATCCCTGACTGTCGACCCAGTGGCAGTACCTCTCCGGAGGGGGTTAGAGCCCCTACGCGGCGTCCCACCATACGTGTCTCATGTTTCTTGGCCGCCCATTGCTAAATACAGCGGAGTATCAACAACACCCAATCCACCAAGAATAGGCTTATAAAGCTCTGAAATTTCAGGAAAACATCCGAACGTTCCAGACAATTCCAAAACGTTTCTAGCCCCAGCATTCGAGGATAAATACCGAAAGCTATTTTTCCGTCACCTTGAAGAAGTGATCACCCACAACACCATCAGTCTGGAGCTAGAAAACGCAAGGCTGAAAGAAATAGTCCAACAAACAGAGAAGCACACCTGAAGTATGCAGCCATGCTCCACCTAACCTTACATTTTCACAACGGACAGCCCTCAGTAAACTTAGACATGCTGAAAACACTTTAACTACTAGGAATGCGCACGCGCATATTTTGCCTCGCGCCTGCCGGCCAGCAATGTCCGACTGAGGCTGCTCGTGCGCGCGCTCTACTGACTGCGCGCGATGCCGGACTTCCTACGAATCTGCGCGCACGGCGGAAGCTAGACTTCCTACCAATGACGGAAGTCACACTTCCTTTTGGTGACTAATTGACATTCCTAATCGTGACTAATTGACATTCCTAATCGTGACTAATTGACGACGTACGTAGTACGTATGCATATCGCGAGAATACAACCCGGAGTAATCAAACCTACTGACAAGAACCTAGGCATTGTCCTTATGAACACGGACGACTACATATCGCAATGCCCGCTACACCTAACGGACAGCACAACCTACAGACCCACAAAAGAGTACCCAAAACAGAACGTACGAAGAGAACTGATCAGCCTCACCACTACCTTTAGGGAACAACTTAAGCCCTCGGTTGGCGACAGGATAGAGTCCAGAAGGCCGTGTTCTGCTCTCCACTTTCATTTTTATGTATTCTGCACCTTCTCGGCGAACTGCGCATGCGCGGTACCGGCTATGCGTTACTCGCTGGAGGAGCCTGCGGAGAGTCTGACACGGGCTAGCTACAGTAGCAGATAGCATGCGGGAGTCGATACACGCCCTGACAGATCTACCTGTCGCCGTTATATGCGTATTGTACATTGGCAGAACGGTGAGCAGCAGACGGTACTTACCTTATGCTTTCAAGTCGTCAGTCGTGGTCCACCAGGCAGCTGGCATGCAGCAGTACGTGCACGAGCAATCCTAGGCGTATTTGCAAGTTGCACCTTGGAACCATGAAGATTGGGAAGAGGTAAGGTAAGGGAGGGTAATTCGGAATGACCTTCAGAAAAAACGTTCTTCTTTGATTGCAGATCAACACCAGGGAATACTATAACCAACGCAGAGATACACTAACCTTTACTCTCTGTCATGCCGAAAACAGAACAATTTGACATCGTTTCGTTTGTCCGCGCGGGACCGATATTTCTGTCCCGTCCGTTATGCGTGCGTTAAATAGAGCTAGAGCAGCGACGCGTCTAAACCTGTATGGCTTGCAGCGTACTTATCAAGGTAAATACACTATTTTACACATAAACAAGGGATTATAGCCGTCGTGATTACTGTTTTCTATACCGTTACTCGCATAGGTGGCACAGCCATTCTTCGTCGGTATCTGGCGGTGTGGTTAACCCTGCACAGGTGCAGTGGACCCACCTCCAACATTCATTACACCCCAAACACAGCTCCTCCTCTCCGTCTTGAAATTCTTTGCCGCATAATTGGCAGTGGTTCTCGTCTTCTGGAATTTTCTTCTTTCTCGCCCTGCCACTTGTGCTACGAGCTTTTGACTGTCCCTTTTTTGCAGCTTTCTGTCTCTCCTCTTCTTCCAAGCGCTCAAGGACTTCGTCATTTGTAAGAGCTTCACCATTGTGAATCAATTTCACTCTCTTGCGCTTCTGTGACACTTTCTCCTTGACCGGTTTGATTGCCTCAATAAAGCATTTTCGGATCTCCTTTGGAATAGGTGTTTCGGTCACATTGACATATGTTGATGTCATCCCTTGAAATGGCATAGCTGGAGCTAACTTCCAAGTTGGAATGGCAGAGTAGCTCAGTGGAAACAGTCCGGTCTCTCTAAAGCCACCCTGCAGGTGCCGAGGCTTGAAACTTCTCCCCCATAGCTTGTGGAGAAGTTGAGGAAATTCTTCCTTTCCAATATTGCCTGCTCGGGTTTCAAGCTTGTATTCAGCAAGAATTTTCTTCCATACTTGCTTTAGTGGCCCGTACACACCCACGTCAAGTGGTTGCAAGACATGTGTTGTATTAGACGGAAGCAACACGAGATGAACATTGTACTGCTGGCAATATTTGACTATGGAAACACTAATATGGGAGTGGTGGCCATCAAAAAAAAGAACAACAGGAGCACTCTCTCGCAAGTGACTAGTGGCAGGAAGAAACATTTTTTTAAGCCAAGACTCATAATTTTCTTTCTCCATCCAGCCACTATCACTAACAGAATATATTGCTCCAGCTGGACCACCCTTTGTCCAGGAAGCATATAGGTGTTTTCCCTTGTAAACAACAAAAGGTGGTAGCCGCACACCAGACGCTGAGCCACACCCATGCACTGTTGTATAACTACGACCAGAACCCCCAGCAGTATCATGGACCCAACGTGAACCCTTTTGAGCCAAAACCTTTCCAGATGTAACTGCATTACAAAGTGCAGTTTCATCACAATTCCACAGCCTTTCATCCAACCCATCTATGTAAAGCAATCCTGCTTCACGTAATAGTGCTTCAACCCGTTCAAAAAATGATTTTATGGTTTCTTCATTGGCCCCCTGTGCTCTTTTCTTTGAGAGATGCTGTGCTTTTCTCTCAGTGAGCATTGGCCAACGATCCATAAACCCTCTCCACCATGCTTTACCTGGTTGGGTTTTGAACGAGTGTTGGCGTTTAGCTAAAGCCAAATATTCCATGATGACCCTCCCTACAACTTCCCTTGTCAGACCAAACCCTATCTCTTGAAGCACCTGAAAATGAGTGTCCGATAAAATATTTTCGAACATGATCTACTTATTAAATACCTGACATGCATATGCTATTTCTCTCTCTTCTGTATAGGTCAGAGTAGTCGGCCTTCCTGGTCTCATGGGAATACAAGCTGTGTGGTGAACGTGCCTGTGGAGTGTTGCTACAGGGATCCCATAAAGCTTGGTTGCTCTATTCATAGAGAGCTCCTTGGCTCGCACTTTCGCCACAGCTTCTGTCATCGCAGACTTGCTCCACTTAGACATCTTTGAAAAACTGCGCGCAAAAAAGGGCGGGGCTCGTTATCACCTGCGCGCCAGAGCTAGCTAGCTGCGCGCTTCGCAAAACTTTGACCTCTTGGTATGCTACAATGAAACTGGCTGTGGGGCAGCTTGCATGTTCGCCTTCATTGTAGTCTGCTTTAGCTGTTTTAGATCGCCGTAGTCTGCTCTACTTCTAGCAGTCTATCGAAGTTTCCGATCGCCTCTTACCTTTGAAGTCAGTAGTCAACTGGAAGTTTGAGCTCTCTTCACGCAAGAGACACGACGGACATAGAGCGCAACACAGGTATGTATAAGCTAACATCCAACTCTACCTGTAATAACAGTGACAGCCTGCCCTGACCAAAATATTTTATAAAATAGCCGCCGCAACGTGAGTTATTCCGAATTACCCGCCCTTACCTTACAGCCTTGGTCAGCCACCAGCGCATGCCGTCGAATGGAGAAGAGTTCGCTAGCTGGCTAGATCGGAGGCACCGTGTGTGAAAACGCGTAAAAATTAATAGAAGCGCGTACCCAGCCGCGCATGCGCACGCGCACTTACACGACGTACGAAAGATATTCCGCCCGAAAACGAACGACTAGGTTGGCTCGCTCCCGCTCGCCAATTGGGTCCTATGACGGTGTGAGGTGCATGGCTGGTTAACTAGCAGCCCTGCTAGACGCAAACACGTGGCATCTGGCGGTTGTTGGATGTCATGGCGGGATGGGTAGCCCCTTTGGTTTGCGCCGCCGACAGATCTGTGACTGTTTCTCACCTATACCTCTACAACCCTGACCATGGATCCTTTAGTTTCTCCATGTATCAATTTGTGGTTTGTGTATTCCATTTCCTGTAACCCATTTTTTGTACTTGTGCTCCCCAAAGGGCTATCTCATGAACTTTTGAACTTTTTGTTCTAGCTAGCGGTTGGGGGGTGGGGCTGCAATATACGCGAGGGGTTAAATGAACAGAGGTCAAAGGTGACGACGGCAACGTATAATAATACCTGTCCCCCTAGCCACTCGTCTCCGCGACGATTCGGACATTGTATAGTGTACATCCTCCGAAGCCAACCGAGATGGAGTCGAAGATTAGTCAGTTTGTTGCTGTTACTGGTGCGTCTGAGGAAGATGCTCTAGGTCTGCTCGAGGCTTGTGCCGGTGACCTTGACATGGCGGTCAGTATACACATGGAGAGTAAAGGAGGCGGGGTAACTGAAACTGACGCCGCTGCGGGGAAGAACTATGAGGCACTGTGAGTCGTTAGGTTTGGTTTTTAAACGGACCCGACTCGCAAAGCTCCATGCCCAATTTGTTGAACAGACTCATAGATCCCGGGGTAAACCTCACAAAGAGGCCCTTTTATAATCCATCGTTGACTTATTCATAGTTTCGCCTCTTCGAATTTAAGGTACATGTTAGTCTATATTATCTAGTTTAATTTTCAACTCTATCCTATTATTGAAATCTTTGCGGTTACTGAAAGGTATATCTATAGAAAAATAAGGTCAAGAATTTCCAGTTACATGAAACTGCTTACTTGGCCCGTTACATACCTCAATCCCGCCTTCCAGCCTTTGCTCCTTGGGCAAGATCCTGATACAGTTACATGAAGAAGTAACCTCCTGAAAGTAACCCTGATGTCTCAAGTCCCTTCAGATGACACAAATCCCTGCATAATGTAGTTAAAACCCTTTTTGACCAGGCAATGTAAGGAGACCCATTATGGTAATTTGTATAATCTTTGTTTACTCAGCCATGGTGTGAGAGCTCCAATACCACAAACCTCTGGAGTACTTCTTGATGAAGTTCCAAGTAAGGCCGGGTCCAAAATTAAGTTGCATTTCTCTGCCGTCCTACGCATTGTTTTGTTGAAAATGATACTGATGAGGTTTGCAACAATAAGGTATTACTGTACCTGATGGTGAACCGTTTTTGCTCTCAATTCGCTCCTGAGCTTGCGAAGTTCAGCAGGTGTACTAGTGTTGTGCCCAGACCCCGCCCTCTAAAGAGCTAAAGGGTCTGGTGACAGTTGAGCGATGTCTTGTTTATGCTAATTCAGCAGTCTTAGCTTACGGTAAGCCAATCAGATCCCTGAAAATGACGTAGGGCATAAAACGAAACTCCATCCACGTTGCATGTTTGCGAGTGTATCCAAAGTAACTTGCATGTAGTTATTTAATTAAGGATGCTGATTCAGCACAACCAAGAAAACGCTCAAATTTCACCAGACCTTTCCCCCTTTGAGAGCAGGGTCTGAGTACAAGACTACAGGTGTACTTGTTCTGTGTCGAAAGAGAGAAGAAAGCATGTGTTTGAGTAAGCGCAAAGGTTATATATGGACACTTTTCGACTACAGTGAGCTTAAAAAACTCTGAAAAGGCTTGTTAGCAAGGGCAATAGTGCAAAACATGTTCATATTTCATAGGCAACATAAAACCATGACTGTGTTTCACAATGGCTTAAGACACTAGTAAAGAAACAAACTCCTAATGTTTTTGAGGACTGTAGGAGAAAAGTTTTACATCTTTTAAATGTTTTGTTTGCGAGGTCTTACCCACCTTGATGAAGTTCAAAGACTTTGTGCTTATTACAGTGTATCATTGTGAAGCAGGGCAAACAACTCTTTTATGGTTGTGCTTCTGTGACTGCCAGCTCTCCGAAACTACACCCACTCATCATTATTGTTTTACATAGCTTTTGGATAGTGGGACCTTACAGCACTTCACAACCATAGCCAGCTTCTTAGTGTTCACACTGGGCAACCGTGTGACAGGACATGTTCACAACAACAGTGAGCATGTCCACATGTAAGTACAGTGTTTTCTCGCGGTATTATAACTACCGGCCCCTTAAGTCCCTAAATGGGCGTGTACAATATTGCGCATGCGTAAAATGCAAGTAGCGCAATTGCACTGTACGCAGTTATGCACTTGAAAGCCAGTAGAGGATTTCCCAATAGGAAGTGCTTTGAAACTGTGGAGTAGTTTTCATCCAGAAAGCTGAGGTATTCATAAGCACCCTGTTTGAATATTACCCTGCGGGAAACACTGAAGTAGGGAGGAAAGGTGTTGCCACAAAGGCCAGCCATTTGTAGTAGCCCTTCACACTTGGCACTGTGCCTAACACTAGTTTACTATTCATAGTGTATACTTGTGTGTGGGTAAAAATTGCCGTGAATCATGTACAGTACACAAGCATTCCATAATGCACAGAGAGCAAAGCACTGCTTTGAGAAGTCCTCTCGACGTGTACCCTCTATGTTGTGGAGGAGACTTCCATTTTCATTATTATGCTACGTATAACCTCTTCAGCCACAACTAGGACGATGCGATCACGGAGACTACCAGCAACTGTGTTTGATCCTTTTCAGGATTACTCCAGAGGTACTACTTCATATTATGTATCTATGTATACTCCTTTGGAAAGGATGAACAAGTTTTTAAAATGAATCCTAGAGCAACCAATGGGTTGGTCAACTCCATTGTGTGCCTTTTGTATTAGTTTAGTATGATATTCTGGAACTATGGGCTACGAGGCAGCCAAAGAATGATACCAACTTTGGAGCAACGAGGGCCTGAATTTGAAAATGCCCATTTTCATGAGTTAATGTATGCAACAAAGTGCTTACCGCTTTCAATCATATTGTGGAGCCACAAAGTTACTCAGAAGACAAGCAGCTGTTCGAAACGGCTAGTAACCGACACTACTAACCCAAGGTTGAGCTGGGAACTGACGTCGTTCAATCGTGTGACATGGCCCAACCAATCAACTAGCGGCGCTTTTTGCACATGCGTAGTGTACTGTCTGGGCTGGCTTAGCTGCTGCTACAACAATGTGAGCTGTGTCTTCCATTAACTAACAAATTTATTAACCCTTGGCATGGCTTCGAATCCCACCCAGGGCAGCTCTTCCTTTTTCCTTGGAATAAAAAGAGGTGTATTTGATTTGTTTTCCTTTGCCTTGCTATGTATGTACCTCACTTCGTTTGTTGGCACTACCTTGGAATTGGGCGTCTTTGGTTCTTTAATTACCCCGGTCTGCTCCTATATGCTGAGTTAGAGTATACTGTGCCATAGCACAGTGGTTTGAGGTCTGCCTTTGTCTTGTATTGGTAGAGCGTTCGCCTAGACTGCAGAGTGTCGTGGGTTCGAATCCCACCCAGGGCAGCTCTTCCTTTTTCCCTCTTCCTTTTTCCTTGGGAAAAAGGAACTGTCCTTGGTGTAGTTGATTTGTTTTCCTTTGCCTTGCTACATCCCTTCATTTGTTGACACATGCGTAGCGAGGATTACGGTACATTGTCTGTGTTTCTGTCTGTGTGCAGCTATTCCGGCAGTATAGGCTATGACCTATGAGCGATACCACTGTAACTAGGGTGTGTCAGACTCTCCGCGAGGTACTAGTTGGAGGCCACGAGTAAGGACATACCCATCCTTGATTAGCAGTACCGTGCATGCGCAGTTTGCCGAGTGTTTGCAGTATAGTATTTTTATTTCCAACAGTTGCTCCAAAAGCAGATCAGAGTGGAAAGTTAAAAAGTCTAGCAGAACTCTTCACACCTCCATCTGATATCATGTTCGTAGGAACCTTTGAAGAGGTACAGTAACTGCTGTTTAATTTGCTAAAGTAAGCACCTGTATTTTGACATTTTAGCTGCGAAAGGCTGGTCAAAACAAGGGGAGGTGGCTAATGGTGAATGTGCAGGACTCTAAGCAGTTTGCCTCTCAGGTTCTCAACAGGGATGTCTGGAGTCATGGGGGAGTCAGAACCATCCTCTCAAGACACTTTCTTTTCTGGCAGGTATTTAGTCACCCGTGTTTCATGAGGTTCTCTCCTTTAGCTAGTAATTTTGCATCATGATACTGTGCTGCGAAATAGCGAGACTGCATCCTGCATTATTAACCCTCGGCGTGCATGCGCAGCGAGGGTTACAGTAGTCGTTCTGTCTGTCTGTCTGTCTGTCTGTCCGCGCGAGTTCTAGCACTACAGGCTACGAGACGACCAATGAGTGGCACCAACGGGTTGTGAACGACGAGAAGATTGATATTAATGTGGCGATTTTCCCGAAACGACTGTGTTCCAGAGATATGGCGTGAAAACAAGCGAAAAAGCTTACGCGAGCGATCCATCGCGCACGCGCGTATGTCGTTTGCCGGAGCATGCGCATCTGTTAGATTCCGCGTGGTTATTTTAGTTGTCGACCTTGGACGAGCAAGCGGTTTTTGAGTTTTTCTTCTCAGTCATTGTTGATCTCTGTTCTCTTGACCTTGGACGAGCAAGCGGTTTTTCTCTCCTCAGTCATTGTTGATCTCTGTTCTCGATGGGCAACAAATTGAGCAAGGTATGTCCGCAATGTTCATAATCGTACGGGGCTTACCGCGACCTGATCCACTCGCTGTGTGTATGTACCTTTGGGGCTCAGAAAGTCGCAACGAATGGCATGTATCGACTCCCGCATTCTATCTACTACTGTAGCTAGCCCGTGTCAGACTTGCGACGTGAGAAGTATCGCGTATGCGCAGTTCGCCGAGGGTTTGCACTTTAGTGCTTTTCATTCTGGTAAGTTCTGGAGAAGAACAGATCATGAACCACAATGCATAATTCAATTGCAAAACCTCGGCGCACTAGACGCGGACGGTACATGCATTGCGCATGCGTTGGTCGGTACCGCTAATTGATGGGCTGGGCTACACTGCCATGATTTACTCGTGTCGTGGCGGTCTCTAGCTAACTTTCTGAGTCTGTCACGGGTTAGAATTTTAATACGCAAGTGAACCACTTGTTGTGTAATGTTCAAGCAATTTTACAAGCTGTGTAGGTCAAACTATAGTAGTCACTGTTACAGTCTTTGCACATTCGTGCCGAAATCGTTTGTGCATTTACCAATTATGTTCACTCATTTTGTAACCCGCGAATGCTATTGAAGAATTCGCACAAGCGGAATTTCATTGGCGAAATCGTCAGCTCTTTTTGCCAGCTTTGGTTGCCATAGACATCTTGGTGTCAAAGCACACTTCAATACCCCTGACAGCGAGTGTTCTGCTGTGCTCAGAAGAAGTGAGGTTGCACAGAGACGCTTTCGCATTGTCAAACAGTGTCAATGGAATGTTCCGTAAATCATTTTGAGCAGTTCAATGATGCAAGTATTAGAAACCACCTTCACTGTACATATTCTTCTTCAGATACACAGTATTACTGATGATGGACTCCGATTTAAACAACTCTACCATGTTGAGACATTCCCATACATATCTATCATTGACCCAAGAACTGGTATATTCATACATATGTACATGAATTATTTACAAAAAGTGTGTACTATATACATCCTCTCAGTTCCTATACTATAATATCGTTATAATTGTTACCCCTATATAGATTCTATACCAGTAGAATTGGCCACTATTAACATTTATTTTTACCTTTCGTTAGATCCAGATCATACATAATGGTGAATTACAGAATGGCTCAGACCACATAGTGGTTGCCAGCTATTCTGGATTATATGAAGGTGACGTCAAGCATATCAATGTGTTTGGCCTAGTTTTCTAACTCAGACAGCTATAGTTTAGGTAAGTTTTGATGATCAGGGTTATCCATCCCATTATCTGATCGGCACCTTAGTGTTAATGAAGGGTACTAATTGTGTACGTACCTAAGTCACGCACCCTGCCAGTTTCTGCCGGTTTTCTCCGCCTGTAAAAAGGCGGGCTCGCATTGGTATAAATAGGCTCCGCATCTCTGGCTCATCGGCCTTTTTTATAGCGATTGCTAGTCAATAGTCGATTCCTATGACCCATTAGGGTCTCGGCCCTATCAATGTGAGACTCTGTCTCGGGAGGGTTGGGTGGGACATTGATATGCTCGACGTCACATTCTTCATATAATCCAGAATAGCTGGCAACCACTATGTGGTCTGAGCCATATTTCAGAAGGCTCCATCTCACATATCAATGTGTGTTTGTATGTAGTTGTGTCCACCCTGACTAGGTTTAGGACGGCTCTGCCAAACCCTGTCTGCTTGGACGGCTTCTAATAGAACCGTTGGAACACTGATGGGGTGGCTGCCGCGTTGAGGATGTCCCATGTTGTGACATTAGAGGCTGCCGTCGTGGCAGAGGGTTAATTACTCTATTCTCTATTGCTGTATCAAATGCCTTCGAATTTTCACAACTCTTGGTTAAAAATGCAAACAGCCCCGACAGTCCAAACTGCAGGCAGAATTCTTCTTCCCAGCCTTCACAGCAAACCACCTGCTGTGTCCCGTGACTACACTCCGGGCATACGAGGATAGGACTCGGGAGTAAAGGCGGGAAGAGGGGTCGAACCCCCTATTCTTCACCACAATCAGGCCTTCACGACAATAGCCCGATGGCTTAAGAGCACGTTGGAGAAGGCAGGCATTGGCACCGCCATCTTCAAGGCACACTGACATACTGCCCATCTTGAGATGGATGGTCAGGTTTGCCTTGTCCTTTGCAAAGCACTTCACCGCCAGAAATGCTGCTAGGAGCTCCAGGCAGTTGATGTGCATGGTCCTCTCCACGGGGTTCCACGAGCCCCCTGTGCGGACTCCGTCCGCACACTGCCCCCCACCCTTTTTTCGAGGCATCGGTCTCGATTGTGAGGGAGGAGTTGTGAGCTATCAGGCTCCAACCGTTCCATTGAGTGAAAGTTGTCTCTCCACCATTCCAGCTCCTTTCTGGCCTCCTATGTCAACACAGGAGTAGCTCTGATCCTCCTGTAGGGCCTCTCGAAGGCATGTCTGGTTCCTGTAATATATGGGAGCCATTGGAATGGCCTGATTGGCTGCATTCATCTTCCCGATCAGTCGGGAGAGATCTAGGAGCAGACACCGAGTGAGGCTGCAGGAATTTGCCTGCCTCGGCTCTGATCTTCTTGATATTTTCCCCCGGTAGTCTCCATCTTGGTGGAGTTGACAGTGAACCCCAGGAATTATATTTCCTGAGTGGGGGTCAGTTCCGACTTGGGGTGGTTGACCACAAACCCCAGGTTCTCCAGCAGATACACCACTGCTGAAATGTTGTCTTTCAAGAGAGACTCTGTCTCCGCCATGACGAGGATATCGTCTATGTAAATGATCATACGCATCCCCACCTCCCGCAGGGTCGCCACGACTGGTCGTGTGGTCTCTGCCTGCCATCCTTCTTGGGCACCAGACACATCTGGGAGTAGAAGCTCTCGAAGCTGTCTTCTGCTCTGGAGATAGCCTGTTTGTCTAGCATGCTCTGGATCTCTGCCTGCATGCATTCCTCTTCCTTCTCTGTGAAGGGAAGTTGAAGAGGCTTCCTTGGTTGGAAAGGCCTCTGCAGGAGTTCTATCCTGAATCCGCCTATCGCCTGTAGTACCTCTGCGGGTTCCCCTGTGGTGCGGACTCAAGGGCGTCGGCCTCGCTGGTGCTGCCGTTTGTCTCCGTCGTCTCTGTAGTTCGGACGGGTGTCTCCTCGCCATTGTCCTCGTCTTCCCAATCCACAGGTTCGTGTAACGGCCTGTCGGCCAAAATGCGTGGCAGGACGTAGTTCCGGTATGTATCGTCCTAGGCGTACGTCGTGTAGAGGGGCCGCCGGGGGTTTCGCGAGGCCTCTAGCCCTGTCACTCGATCCTGTCTATTCTCCTGGCCAGGGAGGACATCTGGCGAGTGAATATCCTGGAGGTTTGATGTGACAGATTGTGACACCTCCTCCACCAGGAGTCGGAGGTCTGCCGGGGCTCGGATCCCATGCTCCGACGACTGCTGCGGCGTGGCAGCCTCAAGGGGGTCTCGGCCCCCAGGTCGTGGCGTGCGGGTCTCGGACCCAGCCGCCCCACGAGCTCGGCGGCTGCATCAGCTAGGGCATGTAGCCCGACGTTGGCGTTGTAGGAGTTCTCCATTCTCGGCGATAGGCCTTTTCTTGGTAGCGAGCTAGGAAAAAGGCCGATGAGCCAGAGATGCGGAGCCTATTAATACCAATGCGAGCCCGCCTTTTTCTAGGCGGAGAAAACTGGCAGAAACCAGCAGGGTGCGTGACTTAGGCACGTTAACACTAAGGTGACGATAAGATTATGGGATGGATAAACCTGATCATCAAAACTTACCTACAAACTAGCTGTCTGAGTTAGAAAACTAGGCCAAACACATTGATATGTGAGACGGAGCCTTCTGAAATATAATGTCTTCTATGTTCTAGGTACTGATTGGCTCAGAGGAGTGTCAGCATGCTCATAATATGTATACATATTTTTGACTTACTACGAGCCTCCGTTGAAGTGTTGTACGCGAAAAAGTGTCACCCTTTCATGCGTTAGTTTGAGATATTGCGCGCAGAAGTATTTTGATTATGCAATTAATAGACGCGGACACAACGCCAACAACAAGAAGATGATGTGTGTGCTACGAACTGTAGGTTGCTTTCCTCCGACGCAAAAAAACTAGACGCTAGGTTATATAAGTAGTTAGGCCAATATATAATATACGGGCATAGTGGAAAATCTGTGTTTGTGTACCTTTTCTCATAGCGGGTCATATCAATCATAACCATACTTCATATCTCATCCCTATTTTGTCTCTCTTCCTTTTTGTGCGTCCATTTTTTTGCCAGATGTTTATAGTACAACCTGAAAGTCTTTGAACAAACATCTTGCATCCAAACGTGTTTGAACACTTGTTTCACTTAGGCTTGGGGCGTGCCCCAAGGTCTACATTAGTTTGCGGACTTGCATATATCCCTGCGCCATTTTTTGCACGTATGCGCGTTGCATACGTGTGCCTAAGCAGTGTATGAAATAAATCTGTGGAAAATTTGTCTGAGCACAATCAATTTCGTTCTTCCATTCTCCGCTATTGATCAGCTATAATAATTATGTCTGGCTGGCTCACTGGACGATGCTTGGAGACCTCTCTTCATTATCTCCACTGACTTGCAGCGGTCTCTAGCTGAGCTAAGAAGCCACGTGCTATTGACCCTCGAGTAAACACACCCTCACCGCAGACCGCGCGTGGGGAATGAGTCTGAGAAAAAAGGCGTAGCTAGCTAGATCATCAGCCTATGCGCTATATGTGCGCTCGCACGCCTGGCCCGTTTTACGCTGAACCACGCCTTTTTTAATCGGGTGTGTGCGGGCCCGCGTTGGTCGTCATTCGGACAATAAGGCAGAACAGAATGATATTTGCTCGGACAAGTGCCGCAAATGCTCGGAAAATTCCGATGTCGGACTATAATTTCATGCACTGCATAGGTAATGTGACTGTATGTAAAGTGTGTATTATGAGGCAGTAGGCACACTATTGACAGCTGGTTTCTTAGTAGCTGCATGTCAGTTTTGGAAGAGATAAAGGGAGCTTGTGAGGTACACTTCTTTTTATGCCTCAGTGCAAGTATACAGTAGTCGGTGTGTGTCTGGGATACAGTAGGACTCAAAAAAATGTTTCCAATTTCGTTCCGTTTAGTTGTGAATTCCGCGTGACACACCCTCCGCAAATGCAGTAGAGACTCGCTAGCGGGGGAGCGAAACAAGATCTTTTATTAGCGTAAATTTGAAGCAACGAGAAGGGAGTACCCACACAGGTGCTAGAAGAAATATCTTCACAGTGAGGCCTTGGTGAATGACGGCCCTCATGCGAATGCATGTACGGCAACGATTCGAAATGGAACGCAACGAATTCCAACTGTAAATGAACGGCGTTTCAGAAGGGAACGGAAGCTCAACGAAACGGAACAGAACGAAATTGGAAACGTTATTTTGACCCCTACTGTATGTGCTCCCACGGTAAGATTCAGGTGATAGTTTCTGCAAAATATTGGATTTAAATTTGTCATAATTTCGAGGTAAGGCTTTGTTCTACAGTTTTACCTCAAAGGAACCCTAATGTCCAGTACAACATGTGGTTGGGTCACTTGACATTGGAACCCTCAACCAAAGTGCTACAGGATCAAGTCCAGTCTAAAATCACTTTTTACACTGAGTAGTTTAGCTGGTGTTTAAACTAGTGTTTTGTTTCCTTCGAAGGGGAGAAAATGTTGGACTGGAGCACCATAACTGCAAACAAGTTCATCACAGAGTGTAAGTGAGGGGTTCTATGGTGTGCTCAGTGAAAAGAAAAATGCTTTCTGTCAATGAATTTGTCAAGATGGTCGCTCAATTCATTACTTCGTAAGCATGCTTACATCACATCCATGAGGTACATTTAGGCGGAATTAATCATGACTTATTGGGGCGCATAGCGCTAGAGCGGCAAACATAACATATAAGAAATTTCTGACCAAAGCATCTTGTTCCTGGAGCTCCCTCCCTAATGCTCTCGCCCTGCTGGCTAGCTGCTGTCACCCCCCGCTTGCCACTCAGTCTGATCCCTGCTGTGGCTGCATGACTGCTCCCTCTAGTCTATGTCTGTCTTCTGACACCTTGGTTCAGCTGTGTACAGGAATCCGCCTTAAGCCCTAGCCCCTCTGGCCGTAGCTTCTACTTTTTGTTATCTGCCTATAGTCTGAGGTATGTTTTACCGCTGCTACGGATTTTTCGTTTGTGAACCACTCTCTTGCTGTGCTATCGGTGCCCATTTTGCATCAAAAACTTTAAGGTAGCTCAAACCTCAGTTAAAATTGGAATGCATAATATAGTACAAACCTGTGGGATTTCACCTTGCATGCACGTTTGATCCACCTACACATACGTATATTACTGAGTATCATCAACCATGTTTGCCTATTTGCGCCTACTCACACAGCACAGTTATGTACCAGAATGAATACAACGTATTTTTGGCAATTTTTTGTGCGTATTTGAAATAGTCTTCGCGCACATTAACATTACGATATTTTACAGTGCCTGTCACGTATTTATAGAAAATTCCCACATTCAGTGACTAAGTATGCTCGCTTCGCTCGCCAATAATACACTGCGTTTGTCCTCTATGGGACGGCAAGGATTTTTTGCTGGATTTAGCCATACACCTTAATGCAACTTTAACACACCCCTGAATGCAACTTTAACACGTTCTCTCCTTTTGATTTTACAGTGACAGAATTCCTCCATAACAATGCTTTTAGTAATGATCAAGATTCATCGAGAGTAAGTTTTTTCTGTGGGTTTACTGTTTGCTTATTTCTGTGTTTGATGTACTGCATGATACACTCTTGTTATTAACAATAATAGAAAGGAAGCTATGTATACACATAGTTCTTACCTTTGTTACACATGAGTGCCCTTTATTGCTGGGGTTGCTTACAGTTATATAAACATCAGGGGTTCCCCTAGCCAAAAAAGTTGTAGCCAAAATGGCTACTCTGCCTGAAAATTTGTAGCCAATCACTTTTTATTGTAGCCAAAAAAACATTCTTGAAAACATACATTAAATGGAAAGCATGTTTAGTACTTGTTTACAATTTTGTAATGATACGATCTTTCTGTGGACACCACAGTACAAATGCACGATTGAAATCGAAATTGTTCAGATGCTGAATATCTGGAGTGTCTATGGCTATCTTCAAGTGTGCTAAAATGTTTTGTTAACAAACGAGATCGGAGTTGTGTTTTAATGAGGTTGTGCCTGCTAAATCCACGCTCACAGTCAACAGTTGACACAGGTAGAGTAAGTGCTATTGTTAGTAGCTTCGTAATATTTGGATATTGCAGGGATAGTCTGGTTACCTGTGAGTCTTTGAAGTAGTACCTGAATTGTACACGATCGAAAATTCTTGCTGATTAATTGTTTAAACATGATCCACTCATCCTTTAGCTGACACGGGCTAGATAGTGTTTAAGCTCAAAACTCGCCCTCCCGTTGTAACTGTGGATGCTTCCAAGGTCAGGCAAAGTGTGGTCATGGTAAGCCGGTAGTAATTTGTGTATTGGTTTGTTCACTTGGTTTAACATTTAGACACAGTACTTTATTGAAAATGACCTGTATGAATAAAGCCAGTGTACCACATACCGGTTACTATCGCTCTTTGGCTGATTTTTTACAGAACACGTGGTAACAGACAGACAGGCACACTCTCAAACTAAGTAGCGCAAGTTTCACTGAGCCTGCGGGCCGAGGGTTAATGACTGTTATTTTCAGCCCTCCCATCAGTGCACAATTTCCAAAAAATATTGTATTTCTACAGTGTGCACACCATTATGCATTTTGCATTTACAGGATATGAAAACGGTAGCTGAATTATCAGAGAAAGAGCAGCTAGAGGCAGCAATCAAAGCCTCGCTACATGAGTCTAGACCTGAGACCAGGGACTTCCCCCAGGAGAATGGTGACAGTGATGAGTTCATTTCCTTTGACTCTGGCGATGAGGAGGAAATGGATCAGTGTGAGCCTAGTAAAATGGAGCGTGATGTAGTGAAGGACGGAGCAGCTTCATCCATAGACGTGACAGCTCATCCTGATCCTGAGTTTAATTCTACTTTTGCCAAAGCTCAGTTAAGAGATACAGCTAGAGATCAAAATTACTTTTCAGCATCACCATTTAAAGATGAGCTTCTAAACATACGTTACAGAAAACGGAAGTCTTCTTTTGCTGAATGTGTTAGCATGCCTTTAAAAAAGATGCCACGCAGCAGCACCATGCAAGAACAGCAGGAAGTGAAACACAGTGGAAATGTTGTCACTGTCAAGGTTTCAGAACTGGCACACAGTCTGTCTTGCAAAGGGAAAGGGAAAAGTTCTGTGAGCAAAGGTAAAACGCCTCTAAGTGTCGAAGAGCAGCTAGAGTCTGGAAAGTTGCTCAAGGCTGAGGTTTCAAGGATACTTATTCGTCTACCTAATGGCTCACGGTTGCATAAAGCATTTTTAAGCAACAGCCCAATAAAGGTTTGTGATCACTACTTCTTTGCTAGTGTTCTGCCTTAAGCTCAGTGAATACGGACAAATATTTGCTGCTTCCTACAGGAATTATTCTCTTTCTTGTCTGAAAGGGATATTGACTCTACCCAGCATGAGATCATGACAAACTTCCCAAAGAGGTCACTTAAGGATTTGAACCACTTTCTAACATTTAAAGAAGCCGGTCTGTATCCTAGTGTCACCGTTTTTGTGCAAGACTAGCCGTGTATGTATACCTGTTGTCACTTATGATCTATTGCTCATGCGCAGTGAGGGTTACGGCAGTTGTCGTGTGTCCCAACATCTCACTTCACGAGCCATAAATCGCTGCACAAACAATACCACTTATTCAGCGTCGGGTATAGGTCGAAAAGTGTGTGGGGTATTCTCTGAAACTGCTGGGTTCATGAGTTATGGCATCAACCACGAGCGAAAAAGGCAATATGCTAATCAAAAGCACTAAAGCGCAAACCCTCGGCAGAGGCGCGCGCGCTCGCTAGAGAAGGGTTCCATGTAATTTGAAGAAGATCGACACAGACGAGGTAAGCATGCTACCAAGTGAGGCACATCTTTCGCTGTGCATTTGCCATGTTTTTAGCTCAACAATAGGCTTGGTAAATGTTCTCTGCAGAATTGTATATATACAAGTAAATTAAAAATCCTGCGGATAAAAAAAAGAGTGCATATAGGGATGGTATAAAAAGAAAGGGAGACAAGATAGAGATGGTGTTTGTGGAAGCACAGAGATGCTAGCGAGGAGTTAAGGACTCCCACAGGTCATTACAACAGCCCTATATCGTCGTATCGGTGCTTTACTACTTCCTCGTGAATATTATACAAGCCAACATTGCATACTTGAATTTTGTTTTCTTACACAATTTTTCCATGTTCCATGTATATACATGTGTATCCAATGTTATGGTCGGCTGATTACACTTCCACCTAAATGCGCACTCCATGGAAATGTAGCATGACAAATCTATCAAAGGTAATTAGTAAGTACTTCATTACCTATAGCAATATTCTACAGACTCTCTCATCACTCCCACTCCCACCCTACGAAGAAGATTGAAAACTTTCCCTATCATAGCCCCATACATCTATGATGCTAGGTATTCCCACCGTACGACGATATAGGGCTGTTGTAATGACCTGTGGGAGTCCTAACTCCTCGCTAGCATCTCTGTGCTTCCACAAACACAATCCCTATCTTGTCTCCCTTTCTTTTTATACCATCCCTATATGCACTCTTTTTTTATCCGCAGCATTTTTAATTTACTTGTCTCCACTACTACTACGTATTATCTCTGTGGAAGGGGGCAAGCCCCTATAAAAAATTTTAAATGCCTGTTGTCGCACGGAAATGATATGCATACCACGTTTCATCTCCATGTGTGCTGCAGTTAGCAAGTTCAAGGAGTGAAAAAGTAATTTTAAAGAAAAGTGCCTGAGGCTATTTGTTGTTGTGGTCGTCATGGAAACGACGTTACACACATGCGTACCAAGTTTCATCTCCATGTGTGGTACCGTTAGCGAATTTGAGGAGTGAAGAAGTAATTTTAATGTTGTTGTGGTCGTCATGGAAGTTTGAGGAGTGAAGAAGTAATTTTTAAAGAAAAGTGCCTGAGGCTATTTGTTGTTGTGGTTGTTATGGAAACGATGTAATACACATGCGCAACAAGTTTCACCTCCATGCGTGCTACAGTTAGCAAGTTTGAGGAGTGAAGAAGTAATTTAAAGTAAATTGCCTGAGGCCTTTTCGAACATTATGCGGTCGTCATGGAAACATGTAATCGTCATGGAAATGATATAATAGGCATACGTACCAAGTTTCATCTCTATGCGTGCTACCATTGGGAAGTGAAGAAGTTAATTGAAAGAAAAGTGCCTGAGGCTATTTGTTGTTATTTACAAACATGTATTGTTGTGATTTTGGTGTTGGCTATTGAGTATACAAACTTTCGCTCACATAACTCTTACCAATTGTGAGTTAAACTCGCTCGCGCCCCGCCCCCACGCGCGCAATTTTTACTAGGTTCAAAGTTCAAAAACGTTGACTGCCGTGAAACTAAACGAAAGTCTAGCGTCATATTGTGAACCAGGCTTTACACTGACACATGTAGTATGCCCATTATAACGTATTGTCCATTGCCTGGGGCACTTTTGTTGTTGTTTACAGTAAACAACAACAAAAAAGTATGACGTTGCACATGTGGTTATCGATATGTACATTCTTGAAATTTTTTCTCTCTTTCGGTTTTTGAGTTATGCTGGTTGAACAGGAAGAAGAAGAAGCAGATGAAGATGAACAAAACTCCCCCCATACATCTATAACCCTCGCTGCGCATGCGCGCCAAGGGTTAATAAAAGTAGACAGCTTATTTAGGGAAGGGGGAATACGTATAACCACGCCAATGCCAAGTACTACCGTACTTAGTGATAGCCTATGTGAGAAAGGGATGTGTTACAGAGATTTTACGGAATATCTTGCGCATGCGCGCAGGCTACCAGAATCTTCCTGCTAATGTTTTCCTATATACCCAGCTAGCTGGAGCAGGGGTCGCCCAGACGCATTAGATATATTGTGACTTGCGTGGGCGGATAAAAGCTGCCGCGCGTACTCTTATTGTAGACGCGTTCAATATGACCAATATTGAACGTTCAATAAAAGAACTAGCATCAGTATCGTACCCATAGTGTAGACAAAAACGGTTCTGTAGAGGCTTTAGAGGCGAGGGATGACTGTTCTGTAGAGGCGATGGATGGCTGAGGCGACCACACCCCTTCATTCAGCTCAGTGGCAAGCGAGACCGCGGCCGCGGCACACCGACCGGTCAAACGGCCCAGCGACCCATGAAACGAGTTTCTCTGAGGGAGAAAGAGCCACCATCACGACCTTGTTCGATTACCGTAGCCTGGGGAACAGAGAACTCGCTCGAGAAGCCAGCGAGTGCGCACGTGCGCATGGGTAGTAGGCTACGCAGTCGTATTTCTCTCGCTAGAGGTCGACGACTGCTACAATAAAACACATAATGTGCGTCCTATCGTTCTATACATGACTTATGGGAACTCGGGTTGTGGTCTCGAGACTCATACAGCACGAGGCGCACGTTCCCGTATAGAACTCTAAACGCACATTATCTCTTACATATCAACAGTCAACCATCCGGTCTGCTGCTGAAAATCAAGGCCACGCTCTGCTGGTGGCGGAAGAGCGAAAATTTGCTGCACACGGGGCTGTGTGCCAGGCTGCCGGCATCTTTCCATTGAAACCCTTGGAGGCTTGAGTGACACCACAGTGGACACCATCTCCAGCATAGGCTGCCTCGTGATTACTGTCAAAGGTGACGCTACTCCACGTAGGGGTGGGTTAACTAGAGCTCATGTGTAAACGCTTTCTCCTCTGCACTCTGGACTTTCCCAACTCTGATCTTGTGCACATGTGCAGGTGATTTGTATGCATGAGATGACGATGACACAATACGCATATAGACATGAGTTATAATGCAAACTTCACCGCATCAGTTGGTTCGAAGATGGCGACTATCCGCCTACTCGCTCACACTAAAAGAACTGCCACTACGGTTTCCACTACCACCCCCGCATTCAGGTGCTACTCCTTCCCTCCTGTATCATCTCAGGCAGCCCCTCCTAACTTCAGCCACTTCTGCTTTGGAGAGAACGATAAGGTACAATGTGTCTGTGGGTCTAGTAACATAACGAGAAAACCATTAGTGCAGTGCCTGCAGTGTGGTCTCTGGTACCATGTCCAGTGCACTCGTCTTACCCAATGCACAGCCACACGCTCCCAGTTTTCCTGCCACGTTTGCCGTGCAGTTCCCTCCAAGAGGAAGAAAGGCTTCGACCCAACCAACAGCATGACAGTTCGTATCCCTAAAGCACATACACCTATCACCACCTTCATCAGCATTAGGGTCCACCTCAACGGCCTCTGACCCCCCTACTCTCCAGCAGCTATCCATCACCTATCCCTCCAGCTGAACAATGTCCAAATGCCCCTGTATCTGAGCAATCTACAAATCCCCAGGCAGCTCCCTTCTCTCTAGACAACCCTACTTCACTGGTGCCAATGGAGCATGAGTGATCACTCCCCCCACTGCCCTCCTGAAGGTACAGCGAGTTCAGATACAATCTCGGTAGGCAATCTTCAGCTCCCAATTTCTAGCCCAATATCAGTATCACTGCCTTTCCTGCTCTTCCCAACCAAACAATCCTCCCTCCACTCCCTGTAGTATGACATTCCCTCTCCCCCCAACTCTCTTAGGGTTACTCTCAGACAGGTGGCAGCTCACAGGAAACTTGTATCTCCTCTTCCTCTTCGCTCGACACCTGCAGTGCATCCCACACTACGGATCCTTCCTCCTTGGATGTAACCCTCACCCCAAACTCTTGTTCCCCACGTCCCCATCACCCACCACCTATGGGAGTCACATTATCTACAAGTACCAGCCATTCCACGTCCTCCCAGACCTGGACAGGGCAGGAAGACCACGCAGCCCAGAAAACCAACTGAGAATAGCCTACAAAATGTGCCAAGAGAACCTTCAGGGCATGCCTATGTCTACAGAGAAAATGCCTCAACGACACATTCTACAATTTGCTGGACACTGACCTCAATCCTCGGAGATTCTTTCTTTCTGTTGGTAACCGCACCACCTCTCACAGTAACCAGCCAATCACTACTCGAATCTCAGTCGATGGCACTCAATACACCAACGAAAACATCACGGAAGGCTGGGCCCATTACTTTGAGACCCCCGTATATAGCTCACCCTTCCCTCCCAGACATATACAGGGTGATCTTCGACATTCCCAACCCAGAGCCTGACTGGGTTGCTCCGGACGAGACTTCTACTATCACCCCCATAACAAGGCTGTTGGCCCAGACCACCTGACTAACGAGCACCTCTCCTTTGCGGATGATACTTACTCGATGGACAACAAATTGAGCAAGGTATGTCCGCAATCTTCATAATCGCACTGGGCTTACCGCGACCTTATCCGCTAATTCTGTGTAGCTTTGGGGCTCAGAAAGTCACAACGAATGGCCTCCCGCATGCTATCTACTATACCGTAGCTAGCCCGTGTCAGACTCGCGACGTGACAGTATCGCAGTTCGCCGAGGGTTTGCACTTTAGTGCTTTATTACTAGCTGTATGTTGCTCATCATTCGCCTGTATACGTAGACATACTGTTACTACTAGTGTATGTATGCTCAGAATAATAATAGAGATGGATTTGTGTAGAGATGGATTTGTGTAACAGATGGATCGCATGTTACATTGGAAGTCCCACCGAGACCTAGACCAATCCATCAAGAGACTGACTGAAGGAGCGTTGCTTCACTCTGCGCTCGGGACGCCGACAGCCCAGGGCCCTCGGCTCACTAAATCGCGTAGTTCCCGCGGCTCAGTATCTAACTTATGCATAATGTATAGGACACTTTAATTACCAATAAAGCCGCCCTGGAGTCTAGTGGTGAGGGGGGAGAGACGATGTAGAACAGAGATCAACAATGACTGAGCAGAGAAAAACCGCTTGCTCGTCCAAGGTCAACTATAACCACGCGGAATCTAACAGATGCGCATGCTCCGGCAAACGACATACGCGCGTGCGCGATGGATCGCTCGCGTCTGCATTGATGCGCTCCGACAAGGCGATACGCGCGTGCGCGATGAATCGCTCGCGTAAGCTTATTCGCTTGTTTTCACGCCATATCTCTGGAACGAGAGTTCTTTCGCTGAGATTTCGCATCGAGAACACGTGCAACATGCCACCACTAAGACCAAAGGCTAGGCTATCAGTTATGTCTCCACAGTAATCACTATGCTTTCCTGTACACACCCATACCACACATACCTACCAACCATAGAGGAGATAGGGGATAGTGCGCCTCAATGTGTTTGAGTACCTTACAAAGAGGTTGGACGACATGCTCTCCTTCGTCAAACACGTTCACGAACACATAATGATGGCCACAAAATGATACCTCCACCATCTGTGGAGCTAGAGCTGTCACCACTGCTGATCTTCAGAGGATAGTGGGAGACAGAATCAGAGAGGCCCTGACAGGCCCTCCAACTTGCAGTGCAAATACGACATAATAATTAACCCTCAATACCTTGATGGCACTCTTGGGTGTGTTGGGTACAATGATGCTGTGTGTGCCGGCAGCGGGAGGAGGAGTCTGTGGCTCAGCATTAGCTGGTCCTGGCTGAGGGTTCTCTGACCGCTTGGCCTCGAAACAACCCTCTGCATCAACAACAGCAACTAGGTTAGTACATGAAGGTATTAGACCATGTGATGCCAAGAGAAAAAGATGCGGAGCTCTGGACGGGCTTGTCGGCCCTCATCAGCAGAGCATACCGCAACTTCTCTCTCTGGCATCACGAGTTTATAAAGGCTGCAGCACTTGTGGTTCTGAACTAATGAGATTCATCCCCACAAGGCTTTGCCACTTGCCATGTTTCGTGCACACGGAAGTCAACTCTGGAGAAAACCTTTACCTCAGCCTTTAGCCTCTTACTCCCTAAAACTTCAGTAAGGTTTTCTTCTCAGGCAATCACCTCACCAAGTAGATAAAATAGGATCATCCAGACTATGAATACACTCATACAAGTGGGGAGAGGGAGGGGTGCGGCTGACGTGGACTGGTGTAGTACGGAGTGGGCATGACGAATCTCTGGTTCGGCTGGACCATCTGGAGTGGGAGGAAACTCTGGCCACCTCTCCTTTCAGCCCCGTTCCCACACATCATCCTCGGCATCGTACATGTTCCCATACCGTTTCTCACCCATGTATATACCCTTGCTGGGGTGGATCATAGACATTTCAGTGTTCATGGCTTCTTAAATGTTCGATACATTAGCTTTCATGCATATAATGCAGATCACAAGATGACATAGACTCGTCCCCAGACCCGGCCCTCTAAAGAGGAAAAGGGTCTGGTCACATTTGAGCGTTTTCTTGGTCAGCAGCGTTACATAACTACACGCAAGTTACTTTGGATATGCTCGCGAACACGTGGCGTGCACAGAGCTTCGTTACGAGATCATATGTGACATTTAGTGATCTGATTGGCTTACCGAAAACTAAGATTGCTGAATCCAGAGAGGGTGGGGTCTGGGTACGAGAGACTAAAGACGACATTACATGACCAAAATACGTGTGAATGTATTGTTCATGTTACATAACTTATCAGCAAGTCTTCCTCTGTCCATGAACCACGAAAGATAAGCGACAATTGGTTTGTCTGTCTGTCTGTGTGTGTGTCGACGCTTATTCTGGCTACGAGGCGGCCCGTTAGCGATAAGGCATCTAATTTACATGTACCTTTTGTTTTTTCAGTACAAGGGTAAGCTATACATGTATCCCAAAGAGGCATGTAGATATGGAATCAAAATGCAAACTAAAGCAAAATTTCTTTGGCACACCAGTCAACAAAAATAGGGATTGTGTGATGGGTCGGGGGTGTCAGCATGCTCAAATCTGTTCGTAATCCATGCTTTATATATCCCATCCCGGACTATCTTGTCTCCATTTCTTTTATACCATCCCTAAATATGCCTCTTTTTTAAATTTGCAGGATGTTTTACTTACTTGTAACATTTAGAGCATGCACACATACAGGAGCGAGAAGGCCTGGTTTCAATGCTCTTCACAAACTCCACCATGCAAAGTTGCTGTTGTGCTGGACGCATGCTGTGAGCATGCACATAAGTGAAAAACATACTGATAGACTAAACATGCATGCGATATTATACAAATAACAATGTGAGATGCATGATGATGTGGGTTCCATTCTGTTGTTCTGGGGTTCCATTCAATCATCCACTTTTTCCTGAACTTGAGGTTCCTGGCCTCTAGACACCTGCAAGTTGGAGGGCCTCCAAGAATGGAGTCAGGGCCTCTCTGATGCCGTCTCCCACTATCCTCTGAAGATCAGCAGGTCTTAGTGGTGGTGACAGCTCTAGCTCCACAGATGGTGGCGGTCTCATTTTTGTGGCTATTATTATGTGTCCGTGAAAGTGTTCGATGAAGGAGAGCACATTGTCCAACCTCTTTGTAAGGTACTCGAACACATGGAGGCGCACTATCCCCTGCTGTATAACTTGGGTGACATGTCTGTTTGCAACAAACCCTGTGGGAACAACAAAGGTGTCGATTGCACCTAGTAGGGAGAATTTCCTTAGGACTACTGGTGTTTAAAACCAACTACCTTCTCATAGCACATTCTCCAGTTTGAACACTGTACAATACTGGTGCACATACCTAGACTTTCACCAATCTATGGTGGTCACAACACTCATGTGACTGTCACATGACAACAATGGCCGCTAGGTCTTTAAAAAACTGGTTTATTTATGGGGGGACTAACAAGTCTGCCACGCCAGTGAGCTCGTCACACACGAGACCACACCAATGTTTGTGGGGGTTGCCTGTTGTGGATCTCACATGGTACTGACTTGTTCTGGCGGTATATACAAAAGCAAGTTCGCCATCAAAGACTTCCCCCGCACCATCCGAGAACAAATCTATGGCTAATGGAATGTCCTCCAGTGTTGAAAACAGCTGCTCAAGAATTGGGGGCACTGGTACGGTGGCTATATACAGTGACGGGAGATCTCATAATAAGCGCGCTGGGTCCGTTCTCTACACTTGATCCGTTTGGTCTTTGTCATTTTGCAGGCCGTGTCCTTCTTGCCCTTTATGCTGGCCGTGTCCTTGCTGGCTGTGTCTTTCTTGCTCGCCATGATCTTTGCCGATCACGACTGAAAAGAGACGCAGGTCCGATAGGGCAGGTTGAATCGTGGCTCAGACACACAAACAACAACAAGACGGACCACTCTCGGCGCAAGTGCGCATGCTCCCACATGCGCGCACGTGTGCGCGCGAGAACTAACTGTCAATATTTCGCTCCCCATTTGGTGCACCCACCAGCTAGTAATCATGTTTAGGCTGCTTGCTCAGGCACGGCGAAGCGCCGTTGGCATGGAATGTGCTCGTAGATCTCTAAGTTCCAGTCCTTCTCCGGCAGCTGGCACGCCAGAGAGGTGGGTTCATCGATTCAACCCTTTTTTGATTACACTCGTTTTCTGTAGGGTGGATGACCTCCTTCAAAGAATGTCAGAGGAACTGGAGGGAAGGAGTAAACGTGAAGCTGTGTCAGATGTGCAGTCAAGCTTCAAATCTACTCAGCACTCCAATCTGGCAGGCACACTTAGTGAGGGAAATGTCAGGCAACATCGTGCTGCTAATGGAGCAGCGGGGAAGGAGTGGGGAAGAACAACGAGGAGGGAGAATAGATGGGGAGAGGGTGAGTGGGGATATAGGAGGGGAAGGAGGGGCTCTGGGAAGGAGAACTGGTATGGAAAAGGGAGGGAAAGGAGAAACAATGCAAGCCGAGAGATAATGCGAGAGAAGACAGCGAGGTTGGATGTTACCACTATAACTACACAACAATGGAACACTCCCCTCCCTAAAAGCACAAGAGAAGAAAGGTAAAAAGAATTACTGAGCTCAAAAGTTTAAACCCTTCCTTGGCACACTAGAATGCGAAGTTGCCCATAGGCATGTGCAGATGAGCACCGCTTATTTGTAGGCTATGCGTACTCGTGGTTTCTCACCAGCCTGCTGAGGGCTAGTTTCACTGTGTAGATTGTGTTTCAGGCATCACAAGACTGAACACTCGGCAACTCCACATTACACAAACAGATGGAGTGTGGTTGATGGATGACCTAGTGTATGTGATGCAGTAGCACAACAGATGATGGCTACATATGATTTTAAACTGACATTGCTTGCTCCTGTAACTATATCTCCACACAAGCCCTATATTGTCGCATGAGTGTGCTTCCGCATAAAATGACTCATTTCCTTAGCACATGAGACAAGTAATGCACAGTTGTTGCCGTTTCTGGCTGTTGTGTGTTGTGCAGTCCAAGACTTACAATTCTGGGTTCCTGGCCCTTTTCAGACCCCTTCATGATTGTCCTTACACTTTATACCATAAAAACCTATGTTGCCAGGAAAGGTGGTGACAACTTGTTTGGAGGGAAAATTACATGAGCAAGCAATGTCAGTTTGAAATAGCCATCATCCATTGTACTACTGCATCACATACACCTAAGTCATCCCTGTCTTATTACCCTCGGTGCACATGCGCAGCGAGGGTACGGTAGTTGGTCTGTGTGTGTGTGTCTGTCTGTCTGTTACTCGACATCTCACTTCTCGAATGTTTGTTCGTCTCACAAAGGATACAACCTACTTAACGGGCAATGAAGGTCAGAAATTTCGAACGGTTTTCTCTGAAACTCCTCCGTTGCAAAGATAGAGCGTGAAAAAGCCAATATGCTAATACACAACGGATGGGACGGCTTACCGTGGTCTGATCGATTCGCGTGCTCTCGGACGCACCAGAAGATGTATCGCCTCTCGCACGCTATCTAGTAGTGTAGTTAGCCCGCGTCAGACTCTGCGGGAGCTGGCAAGAGACCATGGGTAACAGCTAAAACTAAACCCAGCCCATCAATTAGTGGTACCAGCATGTGTTTACTTAGGCATGCGCCAATGGTTTGGATTTAATTGTCTCCTTCCTTTTTACTGCTTGCACTTGCATGGTGTGGTATATATAGATATTTTGGGGCATAATGCCCAAAAACTTAGCATTAGTGGCCACATGTTTTGATTGCCTCAGTCACATGTTTCTTTTTACCACTTACCAAGTTTCATTGTTGGAGGACCAGCATAAGGGTGCAAACAACATTACCTTGGTTACAAGATTGTTTTTTGTTGTTTACACAAACTTGTAATTTCTGTTTAGAACCACTCTATCATAGTGTACTAAGTTTGTTTGTTAAAGGACACAGCATAGGCAAGTTATATGCAAAAACAAGTTTTTCTTGCCTGGGGCAGTTTGTTGCTGTTTGCAATTGTTGATTTGATGCGCTCTTATCGTTGTACCAAGTGTCATTGTTATAAGACCAGTATAAGCAAGTTACACCTTACAAGTTTTATTGCCTCCAGCTGTTTGTTATTAGCCCTCGGCGGCGCGCATGTGCAGTGAGGGTTACAGTACTTGGTCTGTCCGTCTGTCCATCTGTCTGTCCGTCTGTTACCACGTTTTCTGCCACCACGCGCGACAAACAGGTAAAGGAGCGGCACCAACGGGTTCAGCGCTACACTTGCTTCATTTTTAAAATGACGATTTTCGTAAAAGTACCGCGTTCAGAAGTTATGGCGTGAAAACCAAGTGAACAAGCCAATGTGCAAATTAGCACAGGCTTACCTCGACCGGGTCCGCTTGCTCTGTGTACCTTGGAGGCACAAGAAGTCACAACGAAGGCCGTGTATCAACTCCCGCATGCTATCTACTACTGTAGCTAGCCCGTGTCAGACTCTCCGCGAGCTACTAGCAGGAGATCACGAGTAAACGTATACTAATATAATAGGCCCAGCCCATCAATTAGCGGTACCGCACATGCGCAATTCGCCGAGGGTTTGCTCTTTAGTGCTTTTCATTTACAAGCATGTAATGTTTGCACTTGGGTAGTAATGATGTGTTGCACATGTATCTAAAGTCTAAGTTTAATTCGTTTTTCGTATGTATCATATAACATATTGCCTTGGGCAATTTTTTTGGTAAACAGCATTGTTTATGCTCGTGCACAACATGTTATGGATTCCAATCTTTGTGTAAAGTTTCATACCCACATCTTTACCTGGTACACTTGTTGAACAACAATAACAACCCAACAACAACAGGAAGTATTTTGAAAACTGACTCTTTTGGGATAAGCCATTTCTTAGGTACACACTTATTTTGACCATACGGATCAGACTGATATGTCAGACGTTGGGTGTTGAAACTTAATGAAATGTGAAAATCTGTACATGTTTTTTAGTATGATAGAACTGTCAGAATGACTTTTCTCCATTACCACCTGCATGTACACACTCAATTTTTTATGTCCTTTCCAACGTGGAAAACCGCGGACTTCTATATAACTACATTGAGTCCACTTCACATGTGGGTTAGACCAACTGGAGCGAATGCAACACATTTTTTGGTGACCGAACGCGAGAGTCACACACATACGGGATAGACGGATTAGAAATTTCAATTCCGCTTTGTGTGTTTAGTGTACAACATTACGGCATGTACGAGTGCTGCCGTTTTTATCAGATATGAACAAAACTCGCTATCATAGCCCCATACATCTATGATGCTAGGTACCATGCCCATCCCTATGTACTAAGTACTACCGTACTTAGTGATAAAATACTTAATAGTATGTAAATTTGGAAAAAATACGCATTGCGATGAAACTCAACTCACTTTGCTCTGAAAATCCAAATGCACTAAACTCGGCTTTTACCAACGGACATCGTACAAATTACTATGAGTTCGTTTTTCAAGTTAACAGTTAACAAGTTAAAACGTTTTCTGTAACAATGCTTCACTGCTTGAAACACAAGTTAACCCAAGGTAATGATGCAGTTTGCCTGTGGTTTGATCACCGAGTTAGACTATGATATGTAGTGTCGTGGGCCTAGACCATCAAGTAGCTGGTGGTGCAAAATAAAGTTTACGTACCAAGACATGTGCGTTCCTTTTGTGTCAATGGTTGTGTTTGGTAGATAGTTTTGACTCTTTCTTTTGTTAATGTGCTATTAAACACATATTTTTACCCTTCCACAAGTGAACTGTTTGGCAGAGTGAATACTGGAATCAACTTTGACAACTATGACAGAATTCCAGTGGAGATTTCTGGAGATAACTGTCCCAGACCTATTGTAGGCTTTGATGAGTGTAACTTTGCCTCGATGTTACAGGAGAACGTCAAGGTTATGGACAACATATTTAAAATGCTTGATCAAGTTTTGGTTTAGTGAGAGTATGCCAATAGTTGCATGCGCTGGCCGTGAAGGTCACCCGTACCTATGCCTGAAGAATTGTAGGAATGTGTGTCGAAATATCGAGGAATGTTGCCATAATTGATGATGAAATATGAATGTGGTTAAGGAATGAAATATTGAGGAATGCCAAGTAATGTAACCTGAAATGTTGGCGGTATGCTCAGTGTTTGTTACCCTCGGCGCGCATGCGCAGCGAGGGTACAGTAGTTGGGTCTGTCTGTCTGTCTGTTTGTCTGTTTGTCTGTTAGTCTACATCTCACTCCTCGAACGTCTGTTCGTCCCAGAAACGATACCATCTACCCAACGGGCGACGAAGGTCAGAAAATAAAGGTTTTTTTTCCTGAAAATGCTCCGTTGCAAAGCTAGAGCGCGAAAAAGCTTATATGCAAATACGCAACGGACGGGATGGCTTACAGCGGTCGTGCTCTGCGTATATACTTCGGAGGCACCAGAAGATGCAACGCAGGGCGTGTATCGCCTCTTGCATGCTATCTAGTAGTGTAGTTAGCCCGCGTCAGACTCTGTGCGAGCTGGCAAGAGACCACAAGTAACAGCTAAAATAAACCCAGCCCATCAATTAGTGGTACGGCGCAAGCGTTTACTTACGCGTGCGCGTCACAGTGCGCCGAGGGTTTGCACTTCAGTACTTTTCATTACATATGCACTTATCTCGCACGTATAAAAATGGGCCAGTTGGGACAACTAGCTTTGCTCACTCCCACTCACCCATTACTAAACATCTGGGGCTCAGTATAGTGTGTGCCAGTCTCTCACCCTGTAACATGTGTAGAATGCTAGAAAGTAAACGTGAGCAGTTCAAATTTGTAGAGTCACAGCTGACCTGAAATGCTTAAATATGTGCAAGAGTGTGTTTAACTCTTTCTGTCACGAATTTGGCTTCTGCACTTGATCGGCGTTTTTTCGACCGCTCTCCTGCGCACATGCACGATTCTGCCCTAGTCGACACCTGCCTTTCATCCCGCTCACTTACACTATGGCGATCTTTCTACCTGCCTTTTTACAGACCTACGCACAGCCTCTGTGTCTGCCTTTCAGCTGGCCGAGATGTTTTTGACATGCTGCGCAACTACCGGGTCAAAGTTCACAATTGTGCGAGTTTTGTTGACGTTTCTAGATGTGTGTAAGTTTACAACATTTTGTGACCGAAATGGACTATACAAACCCACAAAGCTATTGCTTAGATAACTCATTCGTGTGCATTTCCTGAATTGGCACATTATTAGAGAATATCCCACAGAGATTGTGCTCACTGACCACTGTTTAATTAACCCTTACTTGCTGCATTAGTCGAGAAACTACTTTTCTCTGTCTCACAGTTGGCCCAGTACTTCAAGCCAACTCCAGTACAGAAGCATGCAGTGCCAATAATGATGGAGGGAAGGGACCTTATGGCCTGTGCCCAGACTGGCTCCGGGAAGACTGCAGCCTATTTGTTTCCTATCATCTCAAGCATCCTCAGCAGTGGCCCTCCTCCCCAGCCACCACCTCCTCCTCTTCCTTCCCCTCCTTTGGTACACACATATAGTATATCCTGAAAGTCTGCGTTAAACCCCTTCTTTGTATGAAAATGTTTGGACATTCAATTACTCAGACGCACACACACACACACACACACACGCAGGCGCACGTGTACGCAGACACAATCACGTGCAGTTAAAACGCACCCACATGCACGCATGCATACAACATGCTCTCCTGTGCTGCTTGTGCGTTGATTCAACCACGCGCTTCTGTACTATAATACTAAAGACCTGGACCAGTGCTACCGACAAAACCTTTATTGGCCACTTGTACACAAAGGCCGAACGGCAACGCCCATGAAGTGGCCGGCCCGCTTTGTATGCAGACACACGCATGCAGTACGCCTAGTCAATAAACATCGCACTTGTGCAAACGCACGCAAACATAAAATGCGTCCTGCGCGTGGGCCAATCTAGCAATGACTTTCAGGATGTACTATAAGAGAGTTACTGTACTTCTGAACTGTACTACTCACTTCATAACCATTCTTCGTGACACACTGTGTTTTATCCATGGCACAGTATAGTTATTGCGTACCACTCTACAAAAATGAGCGGAGAAGGTATCAAGACATAGTGATTGTAGGCGTGGAAGTCCATGGTAGCTGACCCACTTTGTGGGAGTTCGCAGAGCATAGAATATGGTTTTCTGTTTGTTTAGATGATAATGACCTACCGCTGTTAAAGTTGGCCACACATCCTCGAGTTTTTCTGGCAGATAATGCAGTACACATTGTACATAGTTCAAGTAAATTTCCTGCACTTGCACAGACCTACCATAGCTACTTAGCCTTAGCATCTTTGAACTGCTGACAGATAATATTGCAAGGGTTGGCTTCATCTCGCTGGCCATCATTACTATTGTGTGTTTGCACAATGTAGGTATGCACTAAGTGGTTGCACACACTTAGTGCATACATACACTGCGCAAATACACAGTTAATGTTGGCCATGTATCACTACTAGTTTTTGCGCAAATGAAAATGCAATGGAAAGTTGGAAAGTGGCAAAGCCAAGGGTTTTCATAGCCTTATGAAAACCTTATGACAATTCAGCTACCCATGAAAATCTCATTAAATGACATGAAAATGCCATGAAAATAGGGAGTTCATGGACATTTTATGGACAATCCATTCCCATTTTAAGTTATTTTTCATGTCCTCGACTCCATGAAAAGGTAAAAATTCAAAGGATAATCCTAATGAGTTCCCAATGATTTAACCATGCATTTTCATTGGTGGAAAAAATAGTAGCGCCCAGTGAGACCAACCATTGTAAGAAACTGGTATATTTAACCCTCGCATGCGCAGCGAGGGTTACGGTACTTGGTTTGTGTGTTTGTCAGTCTGTCTGTCAGCAGCTATTCTGGCACTACAAGCTGCGAGGCGGCCAATGAGCGATACCAACAGCTACAGAACTACGCGAGCCTGAAAAATAAAAGAGCGATTTTGCTGAAACGACTGTGTTCGAGAGAAACTGCCACGGTTGCGGATAAAGTTGCGTGGCCCAACCCATCAATTAGCTGTGCGCATGTGTATATTATACGCATTCGAAATGTGCGGCACAGGTGACCTCGACCGGGTCCACTCGCTGTGTGTATCTTGAAGTCACAACGAAGGGCATGTATCGCCCGCATGCTGTAGCTCACCGTGAGCTACATATATCGTAGCGGGAGAAATGCACGCTGATTGCCAAGCCCATCAATTAGCAGTATGGCGCATGCGCAGTTCTCCGAGGGTTTGCACTTCAGTGCTTTTCATTATTATCTGTAATGACCGACTGGCTGTGCTATATTGCTGCTGCAATGTTGTATGTGATTCCAAATATGTGAAGTAATCACAAATGTACATACAGTATAATGCAATGACTCTAGCTAGGAGGAAAGTAAAGAAGGGAGGCATGTCACTATATTAATTTTGTAGGGTTTACCAACAACAACCAGATATATTGATAAGCTATCCATGGAAGCTTACATATGAGTGTTTCTCTTTTGAGAACTACAACCATAGGACTATAATTGCTATGTTGTAGCCACCAAGGTGGTCATTTGCAGTTTCTATCCTGCACAGCTGGAGAGGAATGGCTACCGTGATGAGAGGCAGTACCCAATGGGTTTGGTCTTGGTCCCAACTAGAGAACTAGCTTCCCAAGTCCACTCCGAGGCAGTCAAGTACTCCTACCGCTCCCTTATCCGGCCTTGTGTTGTGTACGGAGGGACCAGCATCACCACTCAGATGAGAGATGTGGCTAGAGGCTGTGTTCTGCTGGTGGCCACCCCAGGAAGACTGGTTGACTTCATAGAGAGAGGCAGGATTGGACTTGACCTATGCCGGTTAGTAGTGGTAGTAGCCAATATCAATGGATATCCTTGATAACTGAATGTGTATCCCTCCATAATCACGTATTTTCCAGTCATGGCAAATTCTATCTTTGTGAAGGGAGGTGGGCACGGGTTAACTCAGGCAGTAATTTTTTGACACTACCCTCAAGCTATTGTTTGGGAGAGGAGGGGGTTAACTCTTTAGGGTCCATAGCGCCATTTGGCGACAATTATTGCGGACCCTTCGGGCCCATAGCGCCATTTGACGACATGCCGGTGTACTGCAGTACAGCTAGCTTACCTAGCAAGTGATTCGTGCACAGCAGGAAGTAGCCCATCGTCCGGAAGCACAATAGACCCAGCTGTCAAGCGATCAACAAACCAGAGGTTGAAAGGTCGTGCAGCCTAGGGGCGACGCCCACAAACATCGCGTAAAAACTGCGCAATTGGTGCGTGCCGCGCATGGTAGCGTGAAACGATCCACGGAGTTCCACAGACTGTCAAAAGCATCCAAATGGAACGGAAAGGTATTAGAGAAGTATTCTATTCAAAAACCTGTGCTCTAACTTAGCCGTCTCGCTTGCTTCAGGAGTAGGAAAAAACCGCATTCAGACCACGCGGTCTATGGCTCAAAAAACATAGTCATACGCTTGCGCGCAAAGATGCAATGACACACCCTAGAGAGTTTTAATGTGCCCCTTAATAAATGGTGCAACACCTAGTACGTACATCTGTTGTGGTGTTGCAGGCATGTAGTTCTGGATGAGGCGGACAGGATGCTGGACATGGGGTTTGAGCCACAGATTAGGAGTGTGATAGAGAGAGGTAGCATGCCTCCAGTTGGAGAGAGACAGACTGTCATGTTCTCTGCCACTTTCCCAAGGGAAATCAGGGTAAGTTTTACGTATGTACCAAACATCTATTTATTCTAATGTGTTAGACCTTTACACCCAGTGATCCAGGCTGAAAGTATAAAGAGATGCTGACAGGCAAGAATGATTAATCCCAGCAATAAGGTTTCACATAAAAGGTGACTGACTCTCTGCGACACCGACTGCCCGACTGCCATGGCAGTAGAACCCCGAGCCGACTCCATGCCGAGCGGTGTTGCAGCGTCAAGGCAGCGGCGGAGGCGAGGACCATTCGTACATTGGCTGGCAGCTGTTGGATGAACAAACCTCGTACAAATGAGCTGTCCGTGGCAGCTGCCTAGCAGCTGCTGCATCCTGCGCAAGAGTTGCGAGGGTTTGCAGTCTCCGAGCTCCTCAGAGTTGTTGTAGGCGACGTTGGTCTGATGCTGCTATGCGTTTGACGAGCTGTTCACGAAGGGTGTCGTACGGTCGAGAATCTGGTGGGTGTAGTATCAGGTCCCTGAACCTTTGTAGCATATTCGGGCGAGAGTGATGTGACGATGTACTCGAATTTCGTCCTTTGCACGGTGATACCCCGGGTGGAGAACTGGGCTTCGACCTGCGCGAACCAGACCTCGGGGTCTGACGGCCAGTACAGGGACAGCTTCAGACCTAACGCCGCGACACCGCTCGGCATGGAGTCGGCTCGGGGTTCTACTGCCATGGCGGTCGGGCAGTCGGTGTCGCAGAGAGTCAGTCTGTGTCACACGTCGCGGTCACCACTTAGGGTGCTCGCAGCCACCATAACACAGACAGACTGATGATACACATACACATATAGGTTATACTGTGTGTCAATGAAAATACACAATTTATACGGTACGAGGGCCGTCTAAATCGAGTATTTCCATTGACAAGCAGTATAACCTGTTTAGACGGAGGCCATGCTGGCCGTCAAAATCGTCTAGGTCCGTCGTCTTCCCCGAGACTCGCTCTCGCTGGGGAAAGCGAAAAAGGTCTTCATTTTAGTTTCTTTTTGCATCGTAGAGAGGCTTTTAATCGAAAATGACTGCGTTCAAGAGTGAGAAACTGGACAGTCGTGGACCGAGTTGCGTGGCCCAACCTATCAATTAGCTGTGCGCATGCGTATATTATATGCGTTCGAAATGGGCAGCGCAGCTCACCTCAACCGGGTCCGCTCGCTCTGTGTATCTTGAAGCCATAAGAAGTCACAACAAAGGGCATGTATCGACTCCCGTATGCTGTCTACTACTGTAGCTAGCCCGTGCCAAACTCCCCGCGAGCTACTAGCGGGAGAAATGCATACTGATATCCCAGCCCATCAATTAGCGGTATAGCGCATGCGCAGCTCGCCGAGGGTTGCACTCTAGTGCTATTCATTCATTAGTAGTTTATGGTGTGCTGACTCAGCACTAAAACTTACATGTACAGTCTTAGTGCTGAGTCAGCAACAATGAATTATTAATGAGCAGCAGCTTGCTCTGAGCTGTGCGTGCATGTGGCAGAATCCTTTAAGTGAAAGCACTATAATACACCATACTCATGATACACTCTAACTCCATCTTTTGAGCTATGTATGCCCTATTTGCTCCATTATGAGACTGTTCGTCGGCCCTACTTTGAAAGAGGCGTGTAGCTGTAGTGACTCTGAGGGAGTGATTAACCCTCGGTGCGCATGCGCAGCGAGGGTTACGGTAGTTGGGTTTGTCTGTCTGTCTGTCTGTTACTCGTCATCTCACTTCTCGAGTGTTCGTTCGTCTCACAAAGGATACCACCTACTGAACGGGCAATGAAGGTCAGAAATTTCTAAAAGTTTTCTCTGAAAACGCTCTGTTGCAAAGCTAGAGCGCGAAAAAGCCAATATGCAAATACACAACGGATGGGATGGCTTACTACGGCATGATCGATCTGCGTGCTCTGCGTACCTCGGAGGCACCAGAAGATGCAAGGCAAGGCGTGTATCGCCTCTCACATGCTATCTAGTAGTGTAGTTAGCCCGCGTCAGACTCTGCGTGAGCTTGCAAGAGACCACGAGTAACAGCTAAAACTAAACCCAGCCCATCAATTAGTGATACGGCGCTCGCGTTTACTTACGCATGCGCGTCACATTGTGCCGAGGGTTTGCACTTCAGTGCTTTTCATTTGTCTTGTAACAGCTTATGCCACCTTTTTCACACATGCATTTAACAGTGTTAGCTAGGGTATGTATATACCCCAATGGGCTGTTTTTTTTTATACCACACAACACTTTTGGGATAAGAAAGAAGTGCCAAATAAAATGCATCATGCGACACATTTTCTGGGCAATGTAAACGATATTTCTTACACATTTTACGAAGCAATGCTCAGGGCATTGAGTATTAACAAAATGCTTGGCCTGTTTCGGCTCCACCTTCCCTTGTTTCAATCGTCACGGATTATGGTGTGCTGACTCAGCACTAAGACTTACATGTATATACAGTCTTAGTGCTGAGTCAGCAACCATGAATTATTAATGAGCACCAGCTTACACCTTCCTGTGTTTTAATCGTCACGTATTATTTTTGGAGACAGTTTCAGTGTGAATCAAATACGGAATGCTTCCCTCCTTTTCAACTAGCTCCACTGAGCTAAAAACATAGACTTTTATGCTCAGCGCTGCTTATCAATGCAAAGTGGAGCCATGACATGAATACCATAGTATCGACCAGTGACTGCGGTGAGTGACTTCCCAGCAAACCTTTCTTCCAGAGCATCTCCCCCTCGTATTCCATTATGGGCTCTGCCCTTTTCGGGTGTGTCAGAACAGCAGCAACAGCCTTAATCCTCTTCATCTCTGCATCTAAGCTTTTGTGAAACGAGTCAAGCTCGGGGCTCTTGAAAAAATCAGTGGCAGGATTATACTCTCTAATCGAGTGAAACAGGCCACAACAAAGCTGATGCAATGAATTCGGAGGATAAACTCTGCCATCCTTCTTCGCACTTCCAACAGAAAGTAACTAAGCCACTTGTCTAGCTCACTTACCCCCATGGTGAATAGATTACCCGGGGCATCCATAGATTTTGCTTCTTACGGTACTCTGCCCAATCCCTCCATACATTCAACGCCCAATTACTATTCTTTCTGGTGTTTACCGCTACTGATGCCTTTTGCCGGCCGGATATATCAGACTCTGACAATAGGGGACCAAACCTACTTGGCCGATGAGTTTCAGCCTGTGCATCCGACTCCTTACAGATCTCGTGGCTCCCCTGGACTGGTGAATTCAGTGACGGGTCTTGCGGCAGCCCCAAATCGATATCTGATAGGAGCGGCACCTGGGAGAAGAGCTCAGGGAGGTCATCGTCATCATCAGCCCCGGAATAGATCAAATTCTGTGTTAGTATATCGAAGAGCTCGTACTCATCTGCAGCAGCGTCCATGACTGACCATGCACTCAAAACCCATTCGAAGCCAGTTTTACGCACGTATTCTATGGTACAAACCGGTTACACTACACCAACTCGGCAGTTTAGTGTATAATATGTTGGGGACCGATTAAAAACCAGAAGCCCGTTTTAAAGCCGTCCAGACGGTTTTGAAATGGGCCAGCCGGTTTTAAAGCCATCTAGAACCCGTCCAGACGGCTTTAAATCTGTCCAGCTCGATTGAAGGCCGTCAGGAAGAAGCAACCTATCTACCAGTCGCTACTGTCCAGCCCTGATTTTGCGATCTACCTCAGCAGTCGGCCGCAAACTTTGACACTCGGGGCTAGCTGTCACGGCCATGTGAGCATGATCGATCGTGCACACGTGCGCGGCGGTACGTGACTCAGCTCCCGCCATCACCCGCCCAGCCCGTCCTCGTTTTTTCTGCCGCCGCTGGGCGCAGTAGACGACGGCGCTCACAAGGCCGCTGACTGGAACAACAGCTGCTGGCACGGTAAGACACTGCTGCCGGCCCAGTTTTATTCATGCACGGACCCGCGCTCGCAAGGCCGGTGGCTGGAACAGCTGCTGGCACGGTAGGACACTGCTGCCGGCCCCGCATGCACGGACCGTGCTCGCCGTTAGCTGGAACAGCCATTGCGCGGTAATGAACGACATGGTCATCCTGAGCGTCTGCTTAAAAACCGTCTGGCTTACCGTCGGGGCAGCTTGAAAACCGTCGGGCCGGAATTAAAGCCGTCTGGCCCGTTTTAAAACGGGCCGGGTTTTAATTGGTCCCCAACATATACACTACTTGGCTGGGCCTCATAGTGTATATCGACTAAACTGCCTCGTGGGTGTAGTGTAACCTATATATAACTGAACTTGGTGAGAACTTACTATATCTGGAAATTGTGACATATGACCTTTCTGTGGGTCAAACTCTGCCCCGGAGGGGTTCGTGAAGAGAGGGTGGATCCGGAATGCGTTCTGAGGGAAGTGCATGTAGGAATATATTAGATTTTATTGCACTTGAAGCACTTCCATATTTCCAACTATAGTTGTGAAGAACATTAAAAATAATGCTACTTGTTTACTCCTCGGGGAACTGCGCATGTGCGATACCGCTAATCGGTGGGTTGGGCTCGTTTACTCGTGGTCTCCCGCTAGTAGCTCGTGGAGAGTCTGACACGGGCTAGCTACAGCAGTAGATACCATGCGGGAGGCGATACACAACCTTCGGTCTGACGGTGCCTTCAAGATAAATACACAGAGAGAGCAAACCCGCTCGAGGTAATCCTCATATTGGCTTTTTCGCTCGTGCTTCACGCCGTACTCCATGCGGAAGTCAATACACGACCTTTGCTCTGAGATCTCGTGCCTTCAAGATACACGGAGAGAGCGAACCAGCTCGAGGTAACCCTGTTGTAATTATCCTATTGGCTTTCTCGCTCGTGTTTCACTTCTGGTTTTCGCACCATAACTCTCAGCATTTATTTGAACAGCATTTACTTTGCACTTCACCATTTCTTGTGCCAAAAGTGACACACTTGTTGCATCGTCCTGGTTGTTTTTGAAGCCAAAATGACCTTTCAATATCTTTCCTGGTAGTAAGGTGTATCGAGTGTCACCAATGCTTTTCCGTCATCCATAATGCGTTCAAACAGCACCTCTTGCGACAATTTTGAGCAAATCTGAAATCTATCATTTCATTGTAACCTTAGGTATATACCCATGACGAATGGAATGACTGTGGTGTGTGCTACATATTTCAGCTTGTAACTGAGCTGAGACATTACTCTCTGTCGACACAATAGCCGCTGTATGACATGAAAAGCACTGAGTGTAAACCCTTGGCGAACTGCAAATGTGTGGTATCACTAATTAATGGGCTACTCGTGGTCTCCCGCTGTGTAGCTCGTTGAGAGTCTGACATGGGCTAGTAGATAGCATGTGTAAGTTGATATACGCCCTTCGTTGTGACTTCTTGTGCCTTCAAGATACGCAATTTACGAAAATTGCCAAATTTACAATCAAGCCAGTGTAGCGCTGAACCAGTTGGTGTCACTTTTTGGCCAGTTTGTTGCGTGTGGTGGCAGAAAACGTGGTAAAAGACACATACACACAGACCAAGTATGGTAACCCTCACTGAGGGTGCACGCCGAGGGCTAATGAATCAGTTTTGAGGTGCCCTTGACTGTTAAGTGCTCTTAGATTTTGCCCACTTGGTGTTAAATATCCACTTCTGTGACAGTAGTAGTAAATGATCCTCTTTCCACTCAGCACCTTATTCCCAGTTGTCGTAATAAATAAAGTGTGTGTTTCTTCCTTGAAATTGGATTTCCATTGATCAAAAACTAGTTGATCTTTATAAAATATTTCCAAATTGGTGCCATGCACACTGAGGACGTGTTTTGTATTGTTGGAGTGCCATTTACAGAGTCAGTGTTACAGGCACTGTAAATGACTGTGGTTACCATCACTAACTAGACAACTGTCACTAAAACACCAACCTCCTTCGGTGTGCTTGTTTGGCTGGTTTATAATACAAAGAAACACTACTGAATCTAGCCACTTACATGCACCTGCATTGGTTAGCTACCTCTCTTTTCCAACTGCACATATTAAACTACTAAAGAAAATGAAAAGCACTGAAGTGCAAACCCTCGGCGCATTGTGACGCGCACGCGTAAGTAAACGCATGCGCCGTACCACTAATTGATGGGCTGGGTTTAGCTTTAGCTGTTACTCGTGGTCTCTTGCCAGCTCGCGCAGTCTGACACGGGATAACAGTAACTACACTACTAGATAGCACGCGAGAGGCGATACACGCCCTGTGTTGCATCTTCTGGTGCCTCTGAGGTACGCAGAGCACGCGGATCGATCAGACCGTTATAAGCTATCCCGTCCGTTGTGTATTTGCATATTGGCTTTTTCGCGCTGTAATCTCTGCAACGGAGCAGTTCAGAGACAACCGCACCTATATTCTGACCTCATTGCCGTTCGTAGTTGTATCCTTTGTGAGACGACAAACACCCGAGAAGTGAGATAGAGAGTAACGGACACACAGACACACAGACCCAATGAAAAGCACTAAAGTGCAAACCCTCGGCGAACTGGGGATGCGCGGTACCGCTAATTGATGGGCTGGGCTGCTATTAGTATGCGTTTACTCGTGATCTCCGCTAGTAGCTCGCAGAGAGTCTGACACGGGCTAGCTACAGTAGTAGATAGTATGCGAGAGTCGATACACGCCCTTCGTTGTGACTTCTTGTGCCTTCAAGATACACAGAGCAAGCGGACGACCCGGTCGAGGTTATAAGCGCATGCGCATTTTCCGCAGCGATAAAAATGGCCGACTACGCATTAGCCGTACAATGGTGGAAGCGCTCTAGCTCTGCAACGGAGTATTTTCAGAGAAAACCCCACATATTTTCTGACCTTCGTCGCCCGTTGGGTAGATGGTAGCGTTTCTGGACCGAACAGACATTCGAGAAGTGAGATTGAGAGTAACAGACACACACACAACACCCAACTACAGTACCCTCGCTGCGCATTGCGCGCCGAGGGTAATGAAAAGCACTGAAGTGCAAACCCTCGGCGCACTGTGACGCGCACGCGTAAGTAAACGCATGCGCCGTACCACTAATTGATGGGCAGGGTTTAGTTTTAGCTGTTACCCGTGGTCTCTTGCCAGCTCGCGCAGAGTCTGACGCGGGCTAACTACACTACTAGATAGCATGCGAGAGGCGATACACGCCCTGCGTTGCATCTTCTGGTGCCTCCGAAGTACGCAGAGCACGAGATCGAGTCCGCACTGTGCCCGTCCGTTGTGTATTTGCATATTGGCTTTTTTCGCGCTCTAGCTTTGCAACGAGCGTTTCAGAGAAACCGCCTTATTTTCTGACCTTCGTCGCCCGTTGGGTAGATGGTATCGTTTCTGGACGAACAGACACTTCGAGATGTGAGATTGAGAGTAACAGACACGACAGACAAACCCAACTACAGTAACCCTCGCTGCGCATGCGCGCCGAGGGTTAATTACCGTAACCCTCGCTGCGCATGCGCGCCGAGGGTTAATCATAGTTATGATAAAAGAAGATGCATCTAACCTCAAAGGGCCATTTATTTCAATCAATCTTCCTCTCTCTGTCTTTACTATGACTATATATTATCTCTACAAGTGGAAAAATCATTTCTTCAAAATTAAGGGGGATATAGGGATGGCTTGAAGCACCAAAAAAGGAAGAAACAAGGGGTCATTACACAGCAAAGATGCACAAAGCTACATGACACCATCCGTATATCTTTGTCTCATATTAAACTTTACTTGTGAACTATAACACAAAGATATAGGAATGGTGTCATGTAGCTTTGTGCATCTTTGCTGTGTAATGACCCCTTGTTACCCTCGGCGCGCATGCGCAGCGAGGGTACAGTAGTTGGGTCTGTCTGTTTGTCTGTTGGTCCATTACTCTATATCTCACTCCTCGAACGTCTGTTCATTCCAGAAACGATACCATCTACCCAATGGGCGACGAAGGTCAGAAAATTTTGTGCGGTTTTCTCTGAAAATGCTCCGTTGCAAAGCTAGAGCACGAAAAAGCCAATATGCAAATACGCGGGATGGCTTACCGCGGTCTGATCGATCCGTGTGCTCTGCGACCTCGGAGACACCAGAAGATGCAACGCAGGGCGTGTATCGCCTCTCGCATGCTGTCTTAGTAGTGTAGTTACCCCGCGTCAGACTGCGCGAGATGGCTAGAGACCAGGAGTAACAGCCATAACTAAACCCAGCCCATCAATTAGTGATACAGCGCATGCGTTTACTCACGCGTGCGCGTCACAATGCGCCGACGGTTTGCACTTCAGTGCTTTTCATTTCTTCCTTTTTGATGCTTCAAGCCATCCCTATATCCCCCTCCATTTTGAAGAAATGATTTTTCCACTTGTTTCCACTATTTTTCATGCCTTATGACAACACTGCATTTTCAGTCACTCTGATGTTCATGGCAGAAGCTAATGACTGGGTGTATGCGTAGTGTCTCCAACAACGATTCAATTAGGTTGTGGCACATATGGTGAGGTGATTTCATAGGCAGGCTTCAGTGATCAGACTACAATGATAGCTATAACCTGGGGGACAAACAATGAAGGCGCTGGGCAAGCCCCGCGTAACTCGGCGCACACTGCCAAGTTGCTCCTCGTACAAATCAACAGCAAAACGCAAGCTAGCCAGTTAAAAATGTGTATACTGACTTACAGAAGGCACTGGAGGATAAGAGTTCCTCTGCAGGCATCCTGGCTTAGTCTCTCGTAGTTCACGCACGTAATGCGCGCGCACCCGCGTTGGGGAAACGCCCTCCTCGGCGCATGCGGCTCACTGATGCTGAGTTAGCAGCAAATGGCGTTGTTCAGTGACTACCGTTGAAGAGCTCAACGATCTACTGTAGTGACTTGCGGCAAGAAACAAGCGATCGCTTGATACGTATGCGTGCATACCTCAGGAAAGTTTGAAGACGTTCTGTGAAAAAATCAATGCTTTAACTGCTTGCGGTAAGGAGCTAGCGGGTTTGACGAAGAAGAAGAAGAATTATTATTATGATGATGACACGAAAATCGCGTAAGAGCGAATTCTCTCGTGGGGAACTGACGGCAAGTAGGAAGTCTTGGGGCATATGTATAGCTAGGTATTGGCCTCTAGACTATTGCTAGTGATTTTGAAGCCATGGTGAGTCATTCTCGCTGAGTTTTGAGGCGTTTTGTACGCGGATCACGTGAGATTTCACTCGTGTCATCCCTATATAGAACGTCTACCGACGCTCTGATAATGTCCTCTCACTTGGCTTGTTGTCTCTCTACAGAACTTGGCCCAGGACTTTCTCTCAACCCCTCTGTTCCTAGCAGTAGGTCGTGTTGGCTCCACCAGTGAAGATATACAGCAAGTTCTAATGTGGGTGGAGGAACATGAGAAAATCCCAACATTGATAGATATACTTGGGAAGACAGGTAATCACAATGTGCTGTGGAGTTGCGTATTGTATAGTAAACTTTCAGCTCAAGTGGCAGAGCACTGTGCCTAGACGTCAGAGTAGTGTGGGTTCTATTTAAAAAACGGGTGTTCAATGTACAGTATACATCAAAAGTGTCTTAAATCGCTAGTGGTTTGTTCTTGGGACGATGGAGCGAAGTTCAACATTACCAAACAACATTCCATACTGTTCACATACGTATATACCATTCTGAATTCAGAAGTAAACTCCGCGGAGTACCGCACATAGTCAAACTACCACTTATGTCGTTGAAGCCTTCCTTGCTGGAGTGCTTGCCGGGGTCACCCCTTCACGATGAAGAAGAGTGCCTAACGAGGCAATTTTATGAGTGGCTGTAGCCCGTACAGACTCTTTAACCTACCGCCCCAGTTCTCAAGGCTGGGCACCCACTCTTTCTTTCTGTTTATATGTTATTGTCTGTGTTTTTGTATGCTTGGGTATGTTATTGTCTGTGTTTTGTGTGCTTGGGTGGGGGAGGTTCTTTCTTTTCCTCTGATATTATACTTTTAGCTAGTATGCTATAAACATGTTTTTTCATGCTGAATCACGCACGTTTAACCATCTCCTTTAGGCACATAAAGAAGTGGAACACAACAATACACATGACAAAACCGAATGGTACCGCCATGGAAATCAGTAAACGAAACAATTGGAAATTACCAATTAACTCACGATAGACGCATACGTACTGCCGCATACACTGTGCATGTTATATTGATAGGTATGCTTTTTCTACACCTTGTTTTGATGTGCTCCATAGATGCTGATCCTGAAAGTTGTACTCTAATCTTTGTTCAAACAAAGAGGACTTGTGACAAACTGAACGACATTTTATATGATAAGGTATAGATATATAGGCATACCAACTACTGTACGAAATTCCTTGGCGACGAAGCCTGTATTTTTATCATTCTGCTCAGTAGTGTCATACTGTGCACAAGGTAAATTTCTAGGATTACCATGGTGTATACGTATGTCTAGCTTTCGCAACAACCCCTTTTCTGTGCCCAATGTAATAATGTGACCTGCACCAAAAATGGGACAATGAAAAGCACTACAGTGCAAACCCTCAGCGAACTGCGCATGCGCGGTACTTCTAATTGATGGGCTGGGCTATTTCGTGGTGGTCTTCCGCTAGTATAGCTCGCGGAGAGTCTGACATCGGCTAGCTACAGTAGTAGATAGCATGCGGGAGTCGATACACGTCCTTCGTTGTTACTTCTTGTGCCTTCAAGATATGCAGAGCAAGCGGGCCCGTTCGAATTAGCATATAACCGGATGCGCATTTTCTGCAGCGATAAAATGGCCGACTACGCATTAGCCGTACAATGCTGGAAGTGCTCTAGCTTTGCAACGGAGCATTTTCAAAGAGAACCGTTCGAATTTCTGACCTTCATTGCCTGTTAAGTAGGACGTATCGTTTGTGAGACGAACGAACATTCGAGAAGTGAGATGTAGAGTAACTGACACACAGACCCAACTACAGTACCCTCGCTGCGCATGCGCGCCGAGGGTAACTAGGGAAAAATTGAAAAGCCTGATTTGAGTTCTCTGCACAAGCTCTACGTATCTTTGTTAATGATTTAGACTCAACTTCTGTTCAGTAAGTCAACCTTTTACGCAATGAAATTTTCCTCCAATAGCGACCTCTGTGGGGGTGTAGCAGCATATTATACATATGGCCACTATCAAAAAGTGCACTCATGCACAGCTGTTCCACCTGTTATATTTTTTCAGTTGTCCCTTTTTTCTAACGGGTCACATATTATAGTTATGGCTGTAATTCATGTATGCACTAAAGTTGATTGACTGCCTTATGTCCTAAACTGTCTAATGTGAGGAATTGCAAAATTTGGTATCATAAGCACTTGTTTGCACTAGGCATATACCTGTTTAATACCTGCAGATTTACAAAATAAAGTATATACATTTGAGGGCATGATTTTTTCGCCAATATATTTTTACTAGCCTCACACCCTTTTACAGCAGAGTAATAAGTTTTGCACGGTTGCACAGGCATGTATCTGTCGCACAGTTGATAATCTGAGTATATTTTGTGGTGCAATTCAACCATTTGTTTTTGACCCATACCGTAAGTGTGTTGACAGCTATTCTGCCACTACATGCTACTAAGGGGCGTATGAGCAAGGGCATAACGGCGATTTTCCTTAAAACAACTGCGTTCAAGAGATATGACTTAACTCTTTGGGCCCAAAGCCACTAGAGTGGCTTTTTACGTAGATAGCGCGGAGTACAAATGTAACGCGTAGCGTGTGCACCCGCTTGCCTTCTAGCTATTTCTCTGGGATAAAGCTCTCCTTCCGCTTTCCTGTGACATTCTTTTTCAATATTACCAACGCTAATGCACAAATAGAGCATGCCACGCCGGGGCGTGACGTGCGCGCAGTCCGTACACGCGAACCGTGCAGACTTGCAGGATCTGAGATACTCCCATTTTCTAGCACACGCAACTGAGCTAACGCCTCCACAATTGCCAGGAAGTTCAGCACTAACACGGAAGTAAGTTTTTCAGTGGTGAAAATGAGCATTCCAGCTTTTTGCATTGCGCGTAATAAATGTGGTTTAATACCTGGATTAAACCTAGTTAATATTCTAGGCCGAGGAGTCAGGCAGAATAAGGACGATGGGCGCATGTGCACCTCGGCATCGTTTGGTATCATAGAGCGCATGCGCACGGAAGACCGTGTGGACAGTCAGACTTCGGTAAGCGGGCAGCTGGAAGCATAGCCAGACGAGCTCGAAAAATTTTCAGCGGCGTCAGTCTATCTTATCGGCTGGAATCCAACGACCCAACGTATCTCGCCCAGCGACAGAGTTTCTCGGCACCCCGATGAGTCTCGACGGCGCACCGGATCCACCACCGCCCGATGCTGGTGACACAGATAGACCTGCGAGGGGCGATGGCGGTGCCGCAGAAGGGTGAGGGACAACGGCGACAGCGACGGAGACCGAAGGGCTGTTGGGCGCTGTCCGCGCTGTGGTGCAACAAGAACTGCGCGCAGCCCTCTCGAACGCGGGCACGGGGGCTAGCGTCGACGATTCTGGCTCAACTTCTACAGCTGCACCCCCAGTCTCTGCAGAGCACAGTGGTGAGGATAGAAGCGCAGAGGCGTCGGTAGTGAAGACTCGCCCTGCCATGGCGCTATAGCGAAGAGGGCCCCTGGCGGCGACCTCTGAGCCACGCGTAGGCGCAGGCACCTCGTTAACACCTGCTAGGGTGCACACCTGTCACAGCAGTCTTGACTCTGTCTCTATTGTCACAGCTACCTTGGGGACACTACCCCCTGCGTCAGCCCTGTCGGGTGTGACAGTCATGTCCAGTCGAGACAGGACTCCAGCAGGACATGTCATTAATGCCATGCAGTCCTTTGCCACGTTACCTGGACTGGTAACTTCTCTGTCAGGCGACATGGGCAGAAGTCCGAACGCCGGTGTAGTCAAGCCGGGCTCAGCCGTGGTCCTTTCTTCGGCCCTCCCCCCGATAATGGCCAAGCTAGCAACGAAGATAACATCCGGACAGTTTGTTGCGATGAAGGAGCTGCTGGCTGACAACATGTCCCTGTGCCACCAACTGGAGTCTTTTCCTACACACCAGCACCTCTTTGCTGGTACTGTAAGGCCACGGCTACGGGAGATAGACTCTCCACTGACTTGGGTGTCGTGCTTCCTCACCTACGCAGCAGTCAAAGCCACTGACATACAGACTCGAAACTTGCTGACTTACGGCCGCCTAGTCATCCGGGAAGCACAGCGTCACAGTGGTCCAGGATGGCGGGAATATGATCGCATTTTCCGTCAACATGCAGCACTCAGCCCCAGTACAGTATGGCACGAGATTAACCCAAGTCTGCATGCCGCAACTGTGCTCTCATACCGGGCGGGCCCCGGCCGTGTCTGCAGCATTTGTCACGAACCTGACCACGCCGCGGACACTTGTGCCATGCAAATGCTCCAGTCAGCCCCACCGGGGATGTCAGGCCCACCGGCGTCGCCACATCGGCCTCAGCCCCTAGGGCGCATGAACACTGGAACATCAGGGGGTGGGCCAATGCGTCGGCCGGGCCGACAAGAGACACTGGAGCGCATCTGTGTGACCTGGAACAAAGGACGGTGCAGCTTTCCAGCATGCAGCTTCCGGCATATCTGTGCCACGTGCAAGAGAAGAGGGCATAGGGCAAAGGACTGTGAGGACACTCCGGCTGACTCGGCCTATAAGCTCGCAGCACCTACGAGGAGCGTGACTGCTCCAAGTGATAGTTCGGCCTGAAACAGGCAGTCACTCTGGTCAAGTCAGGGGTGAACGGTCACAATGGACTGATAGAACAGCATCGGTAGCTATATATTATGGTGCATGCATACATTATAATGATGATTAACCAACTAAATCAAGCAAAGGCTTGTCAGCAGAGCATGGCCTAGGCCAGAGGCGGCCACCTGGGCAGCCAGCTATGCCTGTGTCGTACTTTGTCACAGGTATCAGCCCCCCTGGCAATGTGACGGAAGGCCACTACAAGTACATGGGGGACCTCCTGGCATTTGAAACAACTGCAACAGACCAAGGACCCCAGTGCTTCGTGCCGGCGACTCCACTTATAGCCTCGGCCTGGTAACATGCCCTGAGAACACATCCAGACAGGCAGTTTGTGGACTACATATTGGGAGGCATCGGCAAGGGTGTCCACATTGGAGTAGACAGAGCGACAAGACTGCGGCCAGCACAGTGTGGGAACTTGCCATCAGTACATAGCCTCCCTACGTTGGTTGCCCAGCATATAAGGGAGGAGGGAGCAGCAGGCAGGCTGTTGGGACCACTCCCACCGCTCCTCACACGTGGCTGCCAGGTCAGCCCGATAGGTCTCATCCCAAAGCCCCACCAGCCAGGCAAGTGGCGCCTCATTGTGGACCTGTCGTCACCCCATGGCTTCAGTGTCAACGATGCGATCTCGGTCGAGCACTGCCACATGCACTACACCTCGGTTTTGGAGGCATCCGCACTCATCCGGCAGCTGGGCAGGGGAGCCAGGCTAGCCAAGATCGACCTCCATCAGGCATACAGGATGGTGCCGGTACATGCAGACGACCACCACCTCCTGGGCATTAAGTATCAGAACGAGACGTTTGTGGACACAGCCCTCCCCTTTGGACTGCGGTCAGCCCCCAAAATCTTCTCGGCTTTTGCTGATGCACTGGCATGGATTCTGCATGCCAGGGGGGTAGTATGGCAGCTGCACTATCTGGACGACTTTTTGTTCTTGGGGGCACCAACTGACAACTCATGCGGGAGGGCCCTGGATGTAGCGCTGGACACGTGCGGCGAGCTGGGAGTACCAGTGGCGGCTCACAAAACAGAGGGCCCAGCATCCCAGCTGACTTTCCTGGGAATTCTAGTTGACACTGTAACCATGAGCCTGAGCCTGCCTGGCGATAAGCTGACCCGCATATTGGGACTGGTCCTTTCCTGGCGGAGCAAGAAGACAGCTTCTAAGCGGGAGCTGCAATCCCTCATAGGACACCTCAGCCATGCAGCGATGGTGGTGCTGCCAGGCCGCACATTCTTGCGACGCATGATAGACCTCATGAAGGTGGCGAAACGCCCCAGTCACCATGTGAGACTGACAGCGGGCTTCAAGTCAGATCTGCAGTGGTGGGCGTCCTTCCTGCCTAGGTGGAATGGACGGTCCATAATGCCCCCGGAGGCTCCATCACATGTAGTCACCTCTGACGCCTCGGGGTCGTGTGGCTGTGGAGCAGTGACGGACAGCGGCCAGTGGTTCCAGGTTCAGTGGCCAGAATCATGGGGGGAAATAACCATAGCCGCCAAGGAAATGGTGCCAGTCGTCATCAGCATAGCGATCTGGGGAGCGCAGTGGACTAAGTGCGGAGTGCTGGTCCGATCAGACAACATGGCTGTCGTCCACTGTCTCACATCAGGAACAGCTAGGGATCCCCTCCTAATGCACCTCCTACACTGCTTGCACTTTGCCACCGCTACACACCAGATTTACATTGTGGCTAGGCATGTGCCTGGTGTACTAAACACGGCAGCGGACGCTCTGTCTCGCAACTCTATGACATAATTTTTTTATGTCACCCCACAGGCTCAGTCAGAGGCCACCCAGATCCCGGTCACTCTGTTAGACACGCTGCTACACCAGCGCCCAGACTGGACGTCACCCAATTGGAGGAAAATGTTTCTTTCTTCTTGGGACAGGCATTAGCCCCAGCGACCTTAAGGTCATACAGGTCAGGGCAATCCAAATATCGGCGTTTCTGTCAAGAGGCAGGTCTGCAGCCTCTGCCGTTGACCGAACAAGTACTCTGCATGTTTGTCGCCCACCTGGGTGCGGAATCGCTGGCGTATCAGACACTCAAATGCTATCTCTCAGCCATCCGTCATCTCAGCATCATGGCAGGACAGGGCGACCCCTTTGGACCAGGGAAATTCCCGGTGCTGCAGTATGTCCTCAGGGGGGTAAGGCGGAATCCCAAGCCAGCAAAACCACGCCTGCCCATAACCCCGGAGATCCTCCGCCACCTCAAGAACCAATGGGCGCCCCATGCCAGGGAAACAGACTACAAGATGCTATGGGCAGCCTGTTGTGTGGGGTTTTTTGGGTTCTTGAGGGCAGGGGAGTTCACAACAAAGCCTGGAGAACCTCCCACACTCTCACCGCAGGACGTGGCTGTTGATGACCGTGAGCACCCAACACTGATCCGCATACACCTAAAGAGTAGTAAGACCGACCCATTCCGGCACGGGGTGGATATCTATCTGGGACGAACCGGCAAGGACCTCTGTCCAGTTGGTGCACTGTTGGCATTTATGGCAGTTCGTCCGGCAAGGCAGGGGCCTTTATTTGTGTATACAGATGGCACACCACTGACGAGAGACAGGCTAGTCGAGGCAGTCCGTCGCACACTTCAGCAAGCCCGAATATCCCGCTGGGGATATTCGGGGCACAGTTTCCGTATCGGAGCCGCCACCACGGCGGCACATGCAGGCCTAGAGGACTCTGTGGTCAAGATGCTGGGGAGGTGGGAGTCCTCAGCATATCAGCGGTACATCAAGACCCCCAGAGAAACGTTAGCGGCCTTCTCCTCACGCCTAGTGTCATGATATTTACTCGTTGTGTGGCAGTGATCACCCTATGTGGCAGGGCTGTATGTTGTTGTTTAATGAGTGTTGTGGTTGTGTGGGTGAGAGATATAATAAAAATGGGGAGAGAGTTGTGTGGGATGGACAAGTTGTGTACTCAACCCAACCACAAGCCGCGATTTTGCAAGTGGCCTGAGGCAATATGTGTCAATTATCCCTCATGGTCTAAGGTGCCCCAGCTAATAAGTGGGCAGGGCAAGCGGGACTAATTAAGCAGCATTAGGTCAGGCATGGTGACCAAGGGGTTGAGTCGCGGCTTGGCCGTCCAGGCCACATGCTTACGCCCACAACTACTCCTCTGCTCTGAGAAGCAGTTAACGGAGAGGAACCAGGGTGTCAGGTGGTGGTAAGTAATCGGGCTGGTCAACATGTACATCAGTGCATAGAAGGAAGATTAATAATGTAACATAATAAATTGGGCCCCAAAGAGTTTTAAAAACAAGCAAAAAGGCAATATTATACATTATCATCAGCACTGGCTCACCTTGACCAGATTTAGAGTATCCAGTCCATCCAGTGTTGCTCTAATGGTCTACTGATGCAGCTAACCTGTGTTTGGCTCTTATGACAAGTTAAACCGTGCCGTGGCCCAGCACATCAGTTTGTAGTGCCTGCATGTGTAATGTGCACGTCAACATTCACACTTCCTTTTGCACCCAGGTTTTGCTCTTAAGTGTTTTCATTGTCCTTGAGGCTATGTTTCTCCTACCTAATTAAATTAACAGGGTTTTCGATGTACCAGTATTCATGGGATCGCAGCCAATCTCAGCGAGAGGGTGCTCTGAGGTCGTTCAAGTCAGGTCGTACTCCCATCTTGGTTGCCACCTCAGTGGCTGCTAGAGGACTGGATATTCCCAACATCAAACATGTCATTAACTATGACATGCCTTTGGATATTGATGAGTATGTCCATAGGTAAGACACTGTATAATATTCCCTGAAAGTTTATTCTACGGTGTTAGTTTGACAAGTTATTGGGAAGCAAAAAAATTTCCTGTTCAAAAATGTCAGCTACATTTATAACACCATTGAACGCATTTGTGCACGTATCCATGAATGCATATGCGACTTCTATTTATTGTGCATTTTCCCGCTCCTATGTGTTTGCAGAATTGGCCGGACTGGCCGTGTTGGTAACCCAGGGCTAGCCACCGCATTCTTCAATGATGACAGCCGTACAGCGAGCAGTGAGCTCCTGGTGTTGCTGGAGGAGAACAAGCAGGAGGTACCCTCCTGGCTGCGGGACCTCCACTTCGAGATGAGGATACTTCCGAAGATAAAGAGGGACGAGATGAGACAAAGACAAAGAGGGAAGTGGCAGCAGAGGTATGTTTCAACTTCTAGCACAGCAAATCAATAACTGAAGGTGGGTTTAAAAGGGGGGGCATGAATTTAGAACTCAAAAAGCCAGAAACAGACCTTTGTACTTATAAGTACAATGAAACGCACTAAAGTGCAAAACCTCGGCGTAAAGATCATAAAGAACACACATACCAAACGAACTATTGGAGCCAAGCCCCATAGACTGAATTTTTGTTCACTTACTACGAAGTCTTTTACTGTAAAACATGTTTGTGTTCGTTGCCAGCAATTTATTATAATGAGGCTTCATATTATAAGTTTTATGTCGCATTGTTCCCATTGCCAAGTGCCGTGCATGAACTCTCGGCGCGCATGTGCAGCAAGGGTTACAGTACTAGGTCTGTGTGACTGTTTGTGTGTTTGTTTGTTGTCTGCAGCTATTCTTGCTCTACAGCTTCAGAACTACGAGGGCCTGGCTAGGGCTAGGGCTAGGGCTAGTTCATAAAAGTACTTAATTAAGTGAAAAAGCCGAAGTGCATAATCAGTGCTGCTAGTAGATCGATGCCCATGCACGTTCCTTTCACTGGGGGTTTGCACTTTGGTGCTTGTCATTGTAATTTAGAGCATATGAGCATTGCTAATAAGAGGCAAAACTCTCAGAACCTGCTGAAAGTCTGAAATGCTTTTTTCCCTGGTTGAGCGCTCCTTCTCCCTTATGCACTCCTAACAGAGCACGTGTTGAGGAACGGGACCGGAGGAGAGGTGGAGGAAGAGGTGGACATGAACGTAACTGGTAGAAACTTCAAACGTATTATTGTATTGCAGATTGTAAATGATATGAATTATTATTCTGTTATGAGGTTGGGAGAGAATGGATTAGGCAAGTGACAAGTTACCAAGTACATTCAGGGTTATTGTGTGTTCAAAGTTTTGTGTTTGCTGTGAATTATCTTTAGATAAAGTGCTTTTGTTCATAGCTAACTTGCTATGGCCAGGAGACATATCTAGAGGGTTAATGGACCTATAGCTCTGACGTGTGACCACACTCACATCTGCAGCTGTCCGTTTCACCAGCTTCCCCGGCCTTCTCCGCTCCAGAATCTTAGTTACAATGCGTGCCTTCTACTTGATAATATGTCCACGATTCACGCTCAGAGTTGCCGCGGTTACCAAGAAAAACGGTGGACAGACGGACGGACACACGCATGCACACACACACACACACAGTCACACACAGACCGACTGCAATAACCCTCGCTGCGTATGCGCGCAGGCGAGGGTTAATAATCTGACTTTTTGCTATGGCTACTAAGTATGCTGTTATGCACTCGGATGGCTGGGGTTTCTAGCTGGGTCGTAAAGCAGATTTCATGGTCCGGGTTAAAACGACATTGAGAGGCTAGCTTTCTCATCATAATATTGCTCATTGTGCGTCCAGAGATCCCAGATGATAGCTATACTTAGATGCTAGATGCTTTGCGTGTGTGGTGAAGATTTGCTGGTCTGCCTGTATTGATGGTTTAAGAAAGAATACAGCTGAAATTATTAAAGGAAGAGCAGTCTCTGATCTTCTCTGAGACAGCCAACTATTGAACATCCATAATCAACAGTGGCGAGGGCTATGCACTTTCAAGTGCTTTTCATTGTTACATACCTGCTGTGGGAAAAGGGGCTATTCGTTGTATAGACACACTTTCGAGCTATATATGGAGTAGTAAGAGTTTGGACAATGGGTGTTAGTGCTGAAAATCCTTAATTTCCTGAATTATTTTTTCTTCAATACGTGAAAGTGGAACCCCAAAAGAAGACAAAACAAGACTGGATGGAACATAAAAATATCTATGATGAGAATGTCATGCAAGTATGATAATTCTGTATGTTATGCATACGTGCGCATGCGCAGCGAGGGTTACAGTAGTTGGGTCTGTGTGTGTGTCTGTTACTCGTCATCTCACTTCTCGAGTGTTCGTTCGTTCGTCGCACAAGGATACAGTTAGTGGTACGGCGCATGTGTTTACTTACGCGTGCGCGTCACAATGCGCCGAGGGTTTGCACTTCAGTGCTTTTCTAGTAACTTCAAGAGGAAGAGATTCCAAAGGGAACACATGTGTGAGCGCATCAAGTAAAAATAGGGGCTATGACACACAGGGACAAGTTTGAGTTTGTGAGTAGTACAACGAATAGAGAATTTGCATGCGCGATATGGCGACGATTAGCCACACGCGAGAGCAACGCGCATTGCGCTCTACGTGAGGGATTTCCCCTCCGCCCGTGTATATATTACCAGGGAAACATTATAATGTGGCAAACGCCCTATTTTTACTTGATGCGTTCACATGTGGTTTGAGTGAATAATAATAGGAATTTGTATGAGCTCTTGGTTGATGAAGGTAAATGGAAGGAGAGAACGATTCTAGGAAGAGGTGTTTGCTCACTAGGATTAACAGTCTTCTGGACAATTTTGAATATATTTTGTCCTAGTTCCACCCTCCTTTCAAGAGGTAGTGCAGTTAGAGATAAGGGGTTTGTGGTAACCTAAATTCCAGTTACGAGTGACCGTCCTGCATGGCAAAAAAATATGTTTGCATTTATGAGGAGCCCGAACTGGACAGGCATATATATAATACTCAAGATGTGGACGATCTAGTGCGATGTATATAGAGCTGTGTGAGTGTTAGAACTTTCGATAGAGTAGCCCAGGGACCTTTCTTGCCTTTGAACAGATTGTCTCTGTGTGAGTAGACCATGACAGTCTTTCGAGAAGTAAGCGTTAGCTACTCGCACTTGGATGGATTGAGAGTTATATATAATTATATAGGTTTTTTTATAATGATGTACTAGCATACCAAAGTACAAAAATAATATATAGTAGGAAAATCTTGACTCAAACCAGGTGGAGTGGCCTCGCCCTTTCTGGAGTAGCTATCTCACGTGTCGAGGCCAAAACATGGTGAATGATTGTTAACTCTCCTGGTGGCCAGTAACAAAGAGCATAGAACTGCACCTGTGTGTTACTGGACTTGTGGATAGGTTTACATGTACATTTAAGCAACTGGCTGGCTGCATGCGGTGACGCCGACAAAAATCCTGCTTACACTTTACCTCTCTTTCCCCAATCACAAAAACACACAGACCGAGTATTATACTGCTTGGCGCCTGTTGATGAAGTCAACGTGAAAATACTTCAGGTTAGCATGCCTACTGCCAGAACCATTATCTGTGTGTGAAACTCAGCTCATTGTACATACAGTAGTTTGAACAGGTTCGACATGGTTGAACCACCTCAAACTCATGTGAACTCTCCCAAACAAGTTTTGGCCTTCATTGTGCAGTAGTATAATGTGATACTCCCTAACGTGACCGTTTGCCAGTGTTCGGTGTGCTTCTGCCTAACATAAGAGTCTTACACCCTAAGGCATTCAGGGGATTAAAAACTGATTTTGAAGGTTTGTTGCTTTAATACGTACACGTTTTGCTACCAGCAGCAACATTAAGAGTTTGGTAGGAGGCATGCAGTACTTACCCTAACTCAATGTAGGAAGATGCAAAGGCAGATACTCTGGGTTGGAGGTGCGTTATCCCTATACAATAGTTTACACACAGGCTATCCTCACAGCTGACTTAGATGTGGAGTAGCCAGAATTTGCAGACAAGTCACCTACAGAAAAAAACCAGTCACCCAGAAAAGAACAACCAAAGACCGGTCACATGAGGTAGAGTCACTTTTGTATAGACTGCATTAATTGTGGTATTTCCCCCCCATAAAAACCAGGATACAGTCAAAATGTATGTGGTCTCATTGCAGTATACACTTTTGTATCCTGCACAGGCTCACTATGAAGACGTCAATGTCTTGAAGGTTAATGCCAGCCATATGACAGAAGGCAAAAAGGGCCTTACCAGATGGGTAGAATACTTCTACCAGGCTTCTTTACTCAATAAGAACTGGGGAATGCTGTTGCGTCCCCACCAGGGTGAGAAAGCAGCCAGACCAGCTGCCAACTGTGAAAAAAATGGAACCGTTGCTGCTTTGTATGCGAACCATCAGTTTACTTTCTAAAGTCATTATTCCCCTCTCAACCCCGCATGGAGGAAGTTTACCCTGCAGGGTGGGACATGCTCAGGCACCTAAATCAAGGATTCATTGACTGCAGAAACAAACATATGAACTGACTGTAATGTGTATATATTTACCTTCTAAACTTTGTAAGTGTGAAAATAATGTTTTAACAGCTGAATTAAGCACAGTTTAATACGAGGAAAATTGTTAATACCATTAGAAAAGCTGTACGTAAGATCTTGTTTTTGACTTTCTAGTAATAATCTTATTTATCTTGGAGAGCATTAATCGTTCTTTCCATCTTGGTCATGTACTCTTCATGTAGCTATAATACCTCAAGAGCGTAATCTGTGCTTGGGAGATAAACTGCAATCAAAGTAAGACAAGGATCCGATGATGACGACCCTTCCAACTTGATGGCACAGATGCGGTCAGAGGTCAGAACATATACGGTCAGAACATAATTACTGTGAACTGGAGTTGCCTGTAGACGGCCCTTCCAAACAATGGCAATGCTATATACCAAAACCACAAGGGTATGTAGCCCCTTCAGTGAGCCGGTGGTCACTGCACCCTGTCTGGTATCCCTCTAGGATTGAGTCATTATGGCCATATGCTCAGCAATCAAATGACACCATGCCCATTTTCTGCCAAGTAGGGCAGGGCATGGTTCAATCCCCTGCAGTTGCATGAAGTAAGTTCAGAGAACTATGAATTGATGATGTAGGTTGGGGATTTGACTGCGGGTTGGGTGTGGGATTTGACTGGGTTTGTAGTGAACATCAGTTTGTGATATCTCGGACTAAATCGCTAATCTCACGCTGCAGAACGGGATGTCAGCTGTGTGTGATAATTCGCCGCTTCAACAGCTCGAGCGCTCGGCTTCGATCGAGGTGTATACGCATGCGCAGATCGGGCGAGTAGGACGGTACAAAGGTTATAGCCTAAAAGAATGATGGCGAGCTGTTTTCCTTCGCTAGTGGCCAGGCTTCTTGTTTCTTTCTTCCTGATTCTCCAATGCGTGGTGGAGGGCAAGGTTTCTGGTGCTGTCCAACCAGAGAAGTATGACAGGTTTACTGCAGGCTTCCGCCCTCCATCAGTTCCTCTGGTCGTCGTTGATCCATATTTCAGGTGAGCTAGCGGTAGCCTAACTTCACGGATCAATAGAACATGTGTCTTTCGTCACATTTAGCAGTTATTCAGCTCGTCTAGTGTCATTTTCTTACACAGCGTATGGTCTATGGCTGAGAATCTTTATGATGATGTGACGAGGTTTTGGACTGGTAGGCCAGTCAACATGTCGGGAATGATGTCCATTGATGATGCTGTTTACAGGTTAGCAGAAAGATGCATGCAACAACGTTTATATGTGCGAATGTTTTCCAGATTTATGTCCAATGAACCTTTCCTGCCCGAAGAGAGTATGAAACAAGTCAATGTCTCAGTGAGATGATAATAATTTATGGTACAGTATCAAGTTGCCATGCTAAACTTTCAGGTGTTCCCCACTCAGACAGTGTACACATTTCAACAAGATGGGGTGCAACTTGTGTTGACTGTGAGTTGTCTATAACAAGAGGGACAGATCACTTGTATTATTTTATGCAGTTCTCAACACCAGCTGTATGGAACTACCTCTATAGCTTTCCAGTAACCTTTCTCTCCTACTACGTCAGATCTGTTGATGGACGGAACCACACTGTCCGTCTCTACTATGACAACTCAGCTGAAGTACCAAAAATTATGCTAGGTACTTGATTTCAGATAATTACAATGCAGGGAACAGTGTCAGATAATTCACACTTTGTGGTGTGGGAGAGAGTGAATGTGTCCCAAAACTATGACACTATGAGGATTGGGAATTTTCACCAGGTATGTATATTACAGAATTTTTTATATGTAACAGAGAACTATACTATTTTATCCGCAGAACTACTGCTACCAGAGTAATGACAGGATCGACTGGGGTAACTGTTGGCTTGTGCCATCCCAATAACAGTGTACACCAATGCATGTCTTGTCCAGGCTACTGGTTTGTGCAGGTGGCAGCTGATCCCAGTGTGTCCACGAGTATGGCCTTCACAGAGCTCTCCAGAATGAGCTTTATTACCAACTCTCCACTGCCTCCAGATGATAAGGTAGTTTATGTTATGCACAAAGTCGTGTAGTACTGTCTCTTCTATCTGTATTATCGCCTGCAGAACCAGCCTCGACCATGTGATGACATGACTCCTGCTCTGGCTGTTGCCTGGGATTTAGGAGTGGTCTCTCCAGGCATCACCCTCTCTCGGTCACTCACACTGGCCTATGACCAGGTCTACTCCATAAAGTGAGAAGATTCAGAAGAGCATCTATGTATAATTAACCCTTGGCGTGCAGCACAGTGGTTTGAAGTTTGCCTTGTGGTGTGTTGTGTTGTAGATTCGAACCCCTATATACCAGCTGAGTTCCCCTGGTTCAGTTGGTAGAACGCTCGCCTAGACTGCAGAGTGTCGTGGGTTCGAATCCCACCCAGGGCAGCTCTTCTTCTTTTCTTTGAAAAGAAAGAGCTGTCCTGGGTGTAGTTAACTTTTTCCTTGCCTTGCCTTCCTACCTCATTACCAAGTTTGTTGAGAGGGTTACGGTACTTGCTTCTTGAGTATGTCTGTCTGTTACCATGTTTTCTACCACCACGTGCGATAGTAACGGGATCATTGCTACATTGATTTTAAAAAGGGTGATTTTGATGAAACTACTTCGTCAAAAGTTATTGCGTGAAAACCAAGTGAACAAGCCAATTTGCAAATTACCACTGACTTACCTCGTCTGCCTTCTGCCTGTTTGCATACTGTGGAGACACCACGGAGGGTGAGTGCCGAGTCTCGCTATGTCTAAAACGCTATCTTGCCCGTGCCAGACTCTCACAGGGTTAGCTAGCTAACGAAGCGCAGCAGGAGGAAATCGACAGTGTGGCTCTGCCCATCAATTAGCAGTACTGACAGTGCATGTGTATGGGTGCAATGCATACACGTGCGTGTCTAGTGCAAGGGTTTGCACTTCAGTGCTTTTCACTTTATCTCAAAGCTACTTTGGTACCCTGATGGCTCCACAATGGAAGCAGGAGTTTGGTTCAGCCGAGAAGATGCTGGCTGAAGTTAACAGAGATGAGCTGATAATGGTAACTAGTATCATTCGCTGTTATGCCATTAAAGTTTGTGATCTTAGACAATGGATTCAGAGGATGATCGTATAACTAGTCAACTGTATGCAGAGGGAGGCTCAAACTACACCACAATCTCTTCTCTTGCATGGAGGTATGCAGCATGAATGTAGTCTTGGCCCCAGACTCTCTCTAAAAAAGGAAGGGGGTCTGGTAAAATTTCCTATTTAGACTTGTGCTGCGGGCTAAGTGCTGGAGCCCTTAGTTTACAATGTGTCAGAGCTTTTATGTGTTCATGGCACTGTTTTTTATTATGGTGGAGATGAGTGTATATTTGTTTGCAAGTGACTGAGTAAACTGTGGTCTGTCAGCCACTTGCCTTGTTACTTAAGACCAAGTTTTTTGAGCCACGAAACTTGTTATTGGTTACTCAGTGCATATATTATTTATTTGCCATAAGAAAAACAGGTTATGAGCATTGGTTACGAGCTGATAACAATGGAAATACTGACTAGAATATTTCGTAACTCAAAACTTAGTCTTAAATGAGGAACCAACCACCACTTGAGATAAACCATAATGAGAGTGGGTGATAATCGCCAAGTGTACCTAGTAGATTTGGCGATTTTTTGTGGCCTTGTTTTCACAAACTCATCATGTTGCTACTCCTCCATACATTCTGATATGAAGGAAAACCAGTGCACAACTTCGTAATAATGGCTACTTCGTACGACGAGGGGCAGCTCTAGCCACACAGTCGTCCTCTGCCTGGTCCTTGAATATATGTATTCTACATACCGACTACTCAGTGGCATACACTTGAAACGGTGTCCACCTGGAAGTTGCTCATGTTCCAAGCTTTTTCTCCGCTTTTGTTTTGGTCTAAGCTCATTTATACATGCGCGTGCAAAGGGGGAGGGAGCCTTGGAACGAGGCTAGGGTTCACTTCCAATAGAGAACATATGCAGGAAAAGTTTGTGCCTAAAATTACCAAAATAGTTAGTTTTTGTGACAACTGCCTCCTGTGCTCATTATGGCAGTTGCTGGGGATAATGAGGAGGTTGGATACTGTCAGTTCCTAATGTACGAATCCCACCAAAGGATCTGATCTGGCACCCTTTTTAGTGTATTTCTGTGCTGTTTTCAGTGTTGAATATCTAGAGTACTCCCACATACATACTACAGACAGCAGTTTTGCACAACTGTAGTTTCATCTCTACCCTGTCCAGACAGGCTACAGGTGCAACAGTAGCAGTGTACAACTATGTTACAGATGAGACGTGGATGTTTATGAAGGAAATATCAAGTGATGGAGACGTCAGCACAGTAAGTATTACATGTTATACCCACCAAAATCTACACAAAATACACACATGTCAGGTGGATGTGGTGTATCCTGCGTCTCCTCTCTTTCTATGGAATTACAATCACTCCTTTTCTCCCATCAAACTTATTCTTCTCCCAATTCTGAACTATGCTAACAATGAAACTGCGAAGTATGGACTGAATGTGCCATACAATTTATCCTGGGCACCACACCATCTTGGAACATGGCCAGGTTAGTGCCAGGTGATTGGGACTTCACAACAGTAACCCTTTTTTTTCAGTCTGTGATCTGCCGCCCAATCGCCAGGAACAAATGCCCATGGAAGAAAGTGGGAACATGGTACGGTTGGATGCATGGTGCGTATATGTAGTACCCATGACATCTCTTTGCAGCTTATAATGCTGGCCTACCTTGTAAAGCGTGATGGGGACCTCTCTTTTCTAGAGCCTTACTGGTCAGTATTGTACTACTAATAACTTAGTCTGAAGCCTTGTTTATTGTTTTCCGTAGGAACCTGCTTAGCATTTGGGGGCAGTACCTTGCTGCATCCCTGCCTGATCCCGAAGACCAGCTCTGCACTGATGACTTTGAAGGCCCATCTCCTCATAACTCAAACTTGGCTGTGAAGGTATCTGGCCCACAATGTATCCCTGTGTAAGTATTGACTGATGTGCATTACTACCCATGCCATTGCAGGGCATGGTTGGTCTACGGGCGTATGCGTATCTACTAGAGAAGAAAAAGGAGACTAAAGAGGCTGAAGAGCTTCAAAAGATGGACCTTAACTTCACTAAGATATGGTGGTTAGACTCCATGGTAAGAATACGGAACAAATTCCACGGTTTAACATAATGCGCTTAATCTCTACAGGATGGTCTGACTGAACTTCACTCTCGTCTCCAGTATAACCTCCATGATACCTGGTCTCTCAAGTACAACTTTCTCTTCAGAGTAAGTACAAGTATTAGCTACACGAGTTCACTGCTACGCATAATAATGGTTCCGAAGTATACCCCTTATTACTCCTGCCTATGATGGTAACAAAAATTGTTCAGCGCTTACTTTTCTACGTTGTTTGTACCAATTATAGTGAGTAAATTTCAGGAGAGAAAACTTTTGGATTTGATTGCAAACTTAGTAGAGAAAACATCCGCTGACTACAGAGAAAACCTTTCTGTCGTGGAACGTTTGGTCACTTTATTCCCGCTGTATGGTATCCCACTTGCAGCAAGTGATGAATTTTACTGACATATTCACTGACGAAGACATCACTCGAGAGCTCAATTTCTACATGACTCGGATTAATGAGGTAATGAGCTGTGTAAGAACGTGTATTACTGTACATACATCAATTCTAGGCAAAAAAAGTACACTAAAGCTGGTTACATTCCCCGCTCAGTAGTTCAGTCTGTTCCTACTTCTGTAAACCTGTTTTAGTTTGGAATACCTCTGGATGACCGCCAGGCCTATACCAAGGCAGACTGGCAGATGTGGGTGGCAGCCATGGGTACTCAGGACCAGTTTGAGACCATCACAGACCTGGTGTATTCCTTTGCAGACAAAACTCCCAATATGGTCCCCATGACGGACTGGTGAGGCCCTTAATGATTGAGACTGAGTTAATGTCTGGGGCATTGGCTAAAGTTACCTAGCTTGGTCCCCAGGCTCTCCTGTGTGAATTGTCACAATAAAGTCATGCAATCAAATAGCACTTGTAGAGAGAGATAGAGAGCGTGGTTATGAGACTACATTTTCTATGATGTTTAACCCCAAGTTAATGTGGAGGGGGCTGTGGCGTCCAGGGGGTGCGGCGTCCAGCGTGTGCTACTAGAGTGTGCATGTGCGGTGGCTGTCAGATAGCCCATAATACAGTGCGGTGCAAGGGCAGCATCGTACAAGTTCGTACGCAGCAAGATGCATGGGCATGTGGCAGCAACACAAGTCGCAGGAAGGGAGACTTTCTAGTCGGCATGAGCCGGGAGCAGTACTAGGGGCATCGTGACCGCACTACCACGGTCACGTCCGTGACATCCGCTGGTCGGCCGCTCCTAGGTAAACTCCAAGCCTGTATCACTGCATTTCTGCCCCAAGCAGCAGCAGTAGCCCCAGATTCCGAGATGGTCTCCCAGCACACTGCTATGCAGATTCTCATTGGGTGATTAAGGTGTCCATCACCCCTGCCCTCTGCTGGCACCAAGCTGGTGCAGGAGTCTGGCAGACGTTGTGGTTATCACTGTCTTGAGAAACATGTCCCTCATATTGACACCCCCGGCCGTTCGGGGTAGTTAACCATTGGCGAGCTTGTGCAGCGAGGGTTACAGTACTTGGTCTGTCCGTCTGTTACCATGTTTTCTATGGGGGGAGATTAGTGTCAAAATTACGCACACCAACGTCCGTTAAATAAGATAGTCGCACTACGTACATTTGGTTACACACATTTTTTATTTTGGGTTCCCATTTTTCATTTGGGTACACACACTTTTTTATTAGGGTACCCAGTTCTCATTCTGGTATATACGCACACTTTTTATTAGGGTACCCAGTTCTGATTCTGGTACACACACTTTTTATTTGGGTACCCAGGGTTCATTTCTGTATACAATGTGTTAGGATTCTGTCAATCGCATAATGAAGTCGAAAATCATTTCACATTTTTTATTGCTAGCATCATGATGGAATTTACACCAATTTTTCGCGACCCAGAACACCCCTTGAATCAAACAAGTGTTCATACCCAAATGAAAACTGGGTACCAAAATTAAAAAAAGTGTAATAGTACCCAAATGAAAACTGGGTACCAAATAAAAGTGTATATACCCAAATGAAAGCTTGGTACCCAAATAAAAAAGTGTGTGTACCAGAATGAGAACTGGGTACCCTAATAAATGAAAAGCACCCTCGGCGAACTGCGCATGCGCGGTGGGCTGGGCTGGGCTTATTGGCCTTTTACTCGCGGTCTCCCGCTAGTAGCTCGCAGAGAGTCTGACACGGGCTAGCTACAGTAGTAGATAGTATGTGGCAGTCGATACACACCCTTCGCTGTGGCTTCTTGTGCCTCCAATGTACACAGAGCAAGCGGATCAGGTCGAGGTGAGCCAGCGTTGATGGCGTCTAATACACGCATGTGCACCACTTATGTATAGGTTGGGCCACGCAATGCTGTTCGAGACCGTGCCAGTTTGTCGCTCTCGAACGCAGTCGTTTCATAAAATCGCCATTTTATTTTTCTAGCCCATGTACCGCTAAAGCTGTTGGTATCGCTCATAAGCCGCCTCGTAGCCTGTAGTGCGAGAATAGTCGCGGACACACATACACACACACAGACCTACTACTGTAACCCTCGCTGCGCATACGCGCTGAGGGTTAAAAAGTGTGTGTACCAGAATGAGAACTGGGTACCCCAATAAAAAAAGTGTGTGTACGTAGTGCGACTATCCTATTTAATGGACGTTGGTGTGCGTAATTTTTACACTAATCTCCCCCCATAGTTTTCTGCCACCACGGCAACAAAATCGGCGACACAGCAGCTACACTGGCTTCATTGGTGATTTTCCTTAAAATACTGCATTCTAAAGTTATGCCGTGAAAACCAAGTGGACAAACCAATATGCTAATTAGCACAGGCTTACCTCGACCGGGTCTGCTTGCTCTGTGTATCTTGAAGGCACAAGAAGTCACAACAATGGGCGTGTATCGACTCCCGCATGCTATCTACTACTGTAGCTAGTCCGTGTCAGGCTCTCCGTGAGCTGCTAGTGTGGATACCACGAGTAAACGCTCACTAAAAGGCCCAGCCCATCAATTAGTGTTGCCGCGCATGCGCAGTTCGACGAGGATTTGCACTTTTTCATTCTTCCAGCAGTGTTGATACCCACAATCGCCAACGTCATTGGCTAACATTTCACGTCAGCAGCAAGCAGCGCCCCCCACTCAGTGTGAGTGGGGCGTCAGCTGGTTCACCGTCATAGTAAAGCAAGATACACCTTCTGGGACACTAAGCGCAATGCAGCCGGGCGAGTTACAGACACTAGCCCCACAGGCAAGGCAATCCCGTAGTTGTCAGTGGCCAGGGTTGTGGACAAGTTTCAGGTCCCAGTGCTGTCCGTCTTGTATAAAAAGCATGCTGCACATCACGGCCAGGCCAGGCTGCCGAGTCACAGGAATCGTGTTGCTAGTCCCGTTGGTGCTACACCACAGCAGTGCTGACATAGGAAAACATTCTAACTTGCAGATGCTCAGACTGAGTCGAAGCCTACAGGCAAATTTTTCCAGCCTACCATGCAAAAAACCCTTTGTGCAAGTCAAATTGGATATACACAGCTGCCACCCCAGCAATACAGCGAGTGGTCTATTTGCCACCTTTAGGTCTGCTTGGTGCGTCTGGCCCCTCATTTGCTGATGCGGATGTAATGGCCACGGTATAAAAGATTAGCTCAGTTGCACAACAGGTGTTCTGACATAGGTGTGGCATTAACCCAGGCATCAGTTAGTAGCATGTAATTGGGGATAGTGTAGATTGAGGTGCAGCAATACGGGGAAGTTTATACGGGCTAACGACTGGACTGTAGTCCAGGCATATCACATATGAGTTTGATATTATATTACTGTCAAAGAACAGTGATGCGTTCCTGTCCTTCTTTCGGCACTGGAGTCAGTTTCCAGGTTGTGACATTCTGCTAGAGTGCAGTCAGCTGGCATTGCCTGGGTTAATGCCACACCTATGTCGGAACACCTGTTGTTGCAACTGAGCTAATCTTTTATACCAGCATTAAGCGTGCCCTGTACTATTATAATAAAATTGTTTTTTGGTGGTGAGTTATAGGGTATAGTATTGTTTTGGCTGGATGTAGGTAGTGGTTGTGCATATTAAATTCATTATTGCAGCATTCCCCATTGCCCTCAGTCTAGGTGCATGGTCATGGCCCTAATGCTAGGGCTGCCATTTGAGGGTTAATATCATTATTGTAGCCTACTGCAAAATGCAGCAAGTGCCATTCAGTCCGCATGCATAACTCCCAAACCCTCTCAGGCTCAGCCTGTGTACAGGGTTATACTGTGTCCCCAGGTCATTATAATAACCCCCCACTACCATTAACCCTGGCAGGTACTACACATTCACAGCAGAGTTAAAAGGTTTCAGAGCAAGACCAGTTGTTGGTGGATTCTTTTCAAGGATGTTACTTAATTATGCTGTCAAAGCCTAATGTGTATAATAATTATAGTACATACTTTTATGTGAGTCCACTGTCATGTGAATAAAAATGAATGACGTGTGGAAAGAGCTAGAGATCTAAAAAAATTTCAAAGGAACGTTTCTATCAGAAGAAAGGTGGATAGAGATTGATAATGTGTACGTAGAGTCACCAGACCATTAGCTATTCTTCACCTTAAAAAACTTCAGGATTCCTTTTTTCTTCTGTCTACATAAGGGTGAGTTGAGCATTATGTGAGGATCATTATGTTCATGTACACACATGCAAAATATGGGACAGAGATTACTTGATGGGCTGATTTCTGATTCATACACACGACAGAGGGTGAAGGTCATACAGATGTTCCAGCACTGGGTACACTATTGATGAACTCGTGGTCTCTGCCTGTGGAGTGTGGCTCAGAGTAGATGTGGGTATTCCAGGGCTGAAGAGAGAGGGTTGTACTAGAATGGTTCCCCAGTGGATTTACAGCATCATACTGTGTGGAATGATCGATATCTAGGGGTGAATTATTATTGTATTAGCTTACGTGATTTAGTTTAGAGTACAGCGGCTGCTGTGTGATGTCAGTAGTGAGGGGAGCGTGGGATGAGAAAGAGTCCCTGGTGAGGATACTGTAACGAACTTCCTCATCCTGACATAAGACGGCGATTGAACAAACGAAAGACACACATACACAGAGAAGGACTCGTGAGAATCGCGGTTTTGGTAGGGGTGATCTCCCTGGACCGCTGGAGTAGCTAAATCTGTAAGTACACGGAAGACACTGCGCAGTAGGTGCCATGTGTAACGTGCAGAGATTCCCTATAGCTTTTTCCAATGTCCACACACGAGTTTGGTTTGTTGTCTTCAACCTACTTCGTCTCAATATTCTTGTCACTCAATGCAGTAACGCGCTATGCCAACACATATCCACTTATCTGTATATTATAATTATAGTTCTTCTCATGCGCAGGCCAAGCAACTGTGAATAAGCCCAGCAAAAAGTGGGGCAGTCAGACCTATAAACCTCCATCCCTAGTATATACCTACCTCCTCTATTATGCAAAGCTGAAGATGGTAGCATGTTAGCTACATAAAGGTATTATGTCATTGTGTCTTACGAAGTTGACAGAGGAGACAAGGGAGTCTGGTTGGTCATAGAGGGGAGGAGGAGGGGGCACGGTATTAGGAGGATCATGGGACCTTGACATGATGATAGAGGCAAAAATATAATATCACTGTATAAAGTATATAGTATGATGTCATACCGTGGCTCCTGGCTAGGAGGTGGCTCTTGATTAGATTCTTTGGCTGGCTGTACTGCAAAGAGAGAGAAAAATAATTAATCATAATCTAATTAGTGAGGAGAGAGACAACAGCGTAAGGTTATTGAAATGAGTGTTATAAAGTCCGAAAGCTTGCCAGAATTATAATTATGGCTGTTTTTATAATGCAAGGTCCAAGCATGAAGGTGGTACAAAGATAAAAATAAATGAGAAACACCATAATGTCATTGTGTATTCAACTTCAGGTACAAACAGCTAAGAAACATTGTAGTTACCAGTCCTTGTCTTGCGATGGCAGTATATCCCTAACCCGACCAGCAATAACATGGCTGCAATCAAGACCACACCTCCTACAACACTTGCTACGATTGGTGCCAGATATAGCCATGAGGAACCTGGAAAAGAGAAGCAACCATTATCCACCATTTGAGGAACATAAGGATGTCACATAAACATGTACTAGCTACCTAATGCGTTTTGTGCGAGTGCACTTAGCCAATACAAAGTTCATTCGTGTCCTCAGTACATACCCATGTTAGAACCAGTGGTATTTTCACCAGTCACAACCTCAGGTACATCACACAATTCAGACCCAGTTGTTAGTGGAATTGAAATAAGACCAACACTGCCCTCAGCCTCCCAGTCATACACCTTCAGCTGGTAGCAGCAGGACTGAGGACTCAGGACCAGCGTAGCCCTGGCTTCTAGAGATGAGTTTAAGCGTGGAATTGTCTTGTTTAACACCATTTGTTCCGAGCTTTCTTCTGGCTTCTGCTCAGGGGGAGGTATCAGTGAGATGAAACAGCCTTTCGCAAGGGAGCCAGGAAGAAGATGACAGGTTATGTTGAGGGTTGGGCAGTCAAGAGACACAACAACGTCAGAAACATCAGTTGTAACTGGGAAAGAAATAGATAAATGAAAGATTATATAGTTGTGAACATTTCAGACAGGCTGAGGGGGGAAGCATACTTATGATGCTGATCACTATAACTAGTCATTGAGGAGTTAGAGAAAGTTATAAAGAGATTTAATTTCCCACCTAAAACCCATACACATTATACACTCTCATACTTGTGCACACACGAAGTACTCATTGGCAAAAAAGGGCAAGGGAGGGGCAGTCAATTGAGGCTCTGCCTAAACACTATCCCTCTAGGTTCCTTCCTAGTACATCAGCTTTGCCAGGTCAAAACAACCACAAAATGATGAGCCAAATGACCTCCCCCTCATTTGGAAAGAGCTAAGGTCTGCAATACTCTCAATACCTCACTGGCTCTTGGCCTAAGTCACAACATAAGTCCTTGCCATCAATGACTTGTACCATAACAAGCAGTCTTTGTGATGTCTGTTATTAACTATTACTCTTGTACAAAAGTTTAACTTAGATTTCCTCTTGCACCATTAATAAATTAGTGTCTGCTTTAAGCAAAACACCACTATTCCTGGCCTTATTCCATTACAGTTTCCTACACAGACGTACATAATATTCCCTACTCACCCATTTGTCTCCTTTCAGACTCTCTTAGTCCTGCTCCACCCTTTGCAGTCACAAAGTACAAATAACGAGAGTCTCTCTCCAGACCATCACTGGAGTCCAGTTTCAGGAGAGGGGCAGTAGGAAGAAGAGTTGGGAGAAGATGGTGCACAGTGGTGGTGTTGGTGATGGTATTCAGGAGGTTAAGTGTGTACCGGATGACTGGATAGTCGGGACAAGCTTCAGCGGGCTGAATAAAAAAGGACAAGGGCTGAGATGTTTAGTTGGCACAATGAGAAAGACACCCTACCCTCATGTTCCTTCCCCATCTCACACAGAGAAACACAACGTTGCTTTCAGTTGGCAGCCTCACAAAATACAGAGTACATAATCAGTGTTGTCTTGGCTGTCTTGGCTAAATTGCACATAGAACAATGTCTCGCTACATAAGGTGGATGGTATTACAAATGGAGACAGAACAAGCTGCTTTTGTCCTTCGACAATGCTCTCAGAATCACCAACATGCTGGCTGTCAAACAAGACAAGGAAAGCAGAGGTAGGCCTTTGGCCAATAATGTTGTACAACACACACATACAAACACTGAAGATTCCCCAAAACTAAGTTGTGCTCACCAGGAAAGTGATGTTGCATGTGACGTCACCGTTATCATCAATAGCCAGAGAGTGAGTGAGACTGGACGATAACTGTGTCATGTTGGGTGCTGTGGAATATAAAAGTGTATTATTAAACCCGTCCGGAGAACATTTCCTGGGATACACATTTGATAGCACCCCTTGCTCACCAATTGGTAGGGTTGCAGATACAGCCTTGCTATACCCACTAGTTCCTGCTTCATTTTCTGCTTGGATTTGGAATGAATACTCATTGCATGACTGGACAGCTGGTGTGAATGTGTACATGATACTATTCTCTACCATCACCATAAACGACTGTCCGACTATGGTCTTTGTTATAGGGTCCAGTTCTGTGATGGTGACCATGTAGGAGATGGAGACAGTGGGAGGAGAGTATGGCTTAGACCAGGTCAGAGATAGCTGGCCAGGAGGGATAGGAATAAGGGATACGTTACCAGGAGCACTTGGATGGCCTGTATACAAAGATTACACCCATTTGACAAGTTGCAAGCATGAATCACAAAGCAGTGCCATGGAAGTCTACAACTGTTCCCACAAAAGCTACATGATTATTCCTTGTGATAGTTGCACCCATATAGCTACCTACCATATGCATAGAGATGGGTGGCAGGTGTCTTTATTATACCATCACTGACAGTGAAGGCAACACAGACTATCCGAGTCCCATTATTTTCCTTTGATGCCAGTACTGTTAGTTGCAGACTCCATTTTTGGTTATCTTTGGAATTTGTCCAATTCAATCCTCTCCCTCTCAGACTTTCAGCATAGCTATCAGACGAAGTCTGGCCACCATCGACCTCCCAAAGAAGCTCTCTCACTTCCGTAGAATTAACAGAACACGAAAAGGACGCTGAAGAGAGTAGAGGGGATAAACTGGGCTGGGGGCTCTCGATGAATCCAGCGAAATCTGTGCAGAAAGATAGCTAGCTGCTTGCAGTCCCTGCAACTTTGACACACTAATCGAACAAAATAGACTCGCTTACTTTTGTCCCCTTGCACAAATTTTGCGATCAACAGCAAAAGAACCATCCAAATCGTCATCGTAGGTTCTAAGTCGGTTGGACGCCGACGACAGTCTCTCAACGGGCCGAAGCGCACGCGCACACCCACCAACGTCTGCGAACGACACGCCCCCAAATTGAGCCCTCTACTCCCTAACGCACCGCCCCCACCCTGACTTCGGGACTATCGCTGCTGATTTTGTCTACTACTGCTAGTAAAATCAACAACCAGTAAGAACATGCTCCTCTGTTTCCCAGCACCATCCACCAAACACTCTACTGACGAGTGTCCTACGACCTTGAATGGAATAACCATCTCAAGTTCATTGCCTCTCGAGCATACAAGGTGCTAGGCCTCATTCGGTGTTCATTTTCCTCTGGTCTTGATACTAAGGCTAAAAAGAACTAGTACATCCTCTTAGTTTGTTCTCAACTGTCCTACGGTTAACAGATTTGGAGGCCCCATCTCATCAAGGATATTATTATGTTGGAGCGAATCCAGCGATGTGCTACAAAGTATATTCTGAACGACTATAAGTCAGATTACAGGCATCGCTTACTGTCACTTAGACTTCTCCCTCTCGTTATGCAACTTGAGCTGTATGACATTATGTTCTTCATCCGTTGTCTCAAGACCCCTGATCCCTCTAATACCTTTCCCATGCAGTCTTACGTACATTTCTCCGAAGTCAATACCCGGTCTTCAACTCACCTGAAGTTGATGCATTCCCTCTGTAAATCCAACATTACACATCACTTGTATTTTAACAGACTTCCACGGCTCTGGAACTCCCTCCCACCTATTAACCTTTGATCATTCTATTCTTACCATTCGGAATCAAGTTCTTGAAGCATTTTGGTCACATTCTGAATCTCATTTTCTAAGTACGAATCCATGTACATTTCACTATAATATTTGCCCATGTTCTGTGTGTTTGCTCATCAATAGCAACTAATTACTAGGTCATCAACACTTTGTTGGTGTTCCGTCAGTACATGTCACAAAGTATGTATGCCCTGTCGTTTTCTTTTGTTTTTGTTTTTGTCCCTTTCTTCATGTACTGTGAAGCTAAAATAATAATAATAATAGTACTCTTATTATACTCACATTAGCCCAGTAGCTAAACATCTGTAAGTTTGTTTCTCAGAAGTTATTTGCAAATAAGAATTCTCCATGTTTCCTACCACCAAACCAAAGCTGAACCTCTCAATGACAAGACAGACAGAGGACACGGAGACTGAGAGCATTGAGACAGAAGTAAACAGTAATGGCAAGACTTTGTGGAGAAAAAGCGGAGAATTAGGTTGCAAGACTGTGGAGACAGAGAACAGTAAGGCAGAGAACAGGAATCCGGGAATAGTGAGTCTAAGAACAAGAAGGCGAAGGGGGGTAAGCTTTATGGAAATACTGCTGTACATTTACAGGCAATGGTGCTACAGTCCGTTAGAGCACATAGATGCAGCATTATCAGTAACACATGGTTCTCACTGCTCAAAGTGTACAATATACCATGATGAAGTACATCACAGTAGAAAAAAGAGAATGTGAAGGTTAATACACAGTATGTATACCTGAATTGAGTGCATGACAAAGCTTGCCATGCTACTTGGTAATAATTATTATGCCTCTGTAGCAACCACAGCACATGATGGATAAGTCAAGTGTTGCGTAATTTATGATGGAACTCTAAGTGGGTGCTGCTGCGGCCAATAAATCGTGCCCTATGTGTCGTTGCTGAGGTAACATTTACCAATGGGCAATAAATCATACCCTATAGCTAATGCTTTGTTGCTAGGGTAACATATTCCAAACGTACTTATGAGAGAAAGAGTGTCCGTTAACTGACAGACTGTGTGTAAGCTTGTACCTGTCTTCTACCAAGATATGTCGCGCTTAGAAGTTTTGAGTTGACAGCTCTTGTTTGTGAGCTAAGTAATATTCATCGTTTGAAACTTGGTTAATCAAAGGAATTTGTAGTAAAACAACAGAGGAAGTAGTGTGGCTGGCTATATAAAGCATGTAATGTTAGCTCAAAATAAAGAAGCAACACTAATTATGTCGAAGGTTGGTGGTGTTTTACTGCTTGGCCTTCTTGGCTTTCTGTTGCCTATGAGCTGTAGTGATGCAAATATAGTTCAACCTGGCTGTACTCCTCCGAAAAACGCTGGAGTACCTGTGGCAGCAGTGTTCCTGATGTAATAATCTGCAGTAATGAAACCCAAGATATTAGTATTCTTAGGTCATTTTGCCTGACCACGTATGACAGAGACACCAGTGAGCAAGTGGTTGGTAGCTGTCTCTTCACACAGAATCATGGGCAAGCAGTTGGTGTTAAAGATAGATTCTATGTCGATGTTAACAAGAACCTCACCCAACAAAACCACCAGCTCTGTGATTACCTCAGCTCTGTGATTACCTCAACTCTGTGGAAAATACAAGCCAAACTATGTAGTGTCTGCCTATTCTTATGACTTAAAATGCTATCAATGGCAAAGAGGATTAATCAGCAATGTCACTATCTGCTGTGGCGTACCTCCCTCTTACGTTGTTCTTGGTTGGTGGTTGTAATGTGTCGTGTGTCAGTTGCATCCCCTTACTTAAATCTGGCTGTACTACTGAGTCAGTTACAGAACAAAACACATGAAGTAGGTTCTTGTTCACATTATTGAAGGTGCATAGGGAAGTTGGTAGCTCATTGGATAGTTTATCACCCGTATTGATCAGGACGTGTGAAACCTCATGCTATTCTCTTATTACAGTGGGTCCCACTTAAACCTCTTAGTGGAAAATCTTGTTGAAAAACGGAAAACCAAATGTCAGCAGCTGCTGAACACAACAAACTCTTAATTCACTTACTAATCAAACTGTCTGCCATTCATTACTCCCTCTTTTGTTACCATGCACTTCACTTGATTTAGTCCCTCTTACAAGTCATTGTACACATGCATGCTCAGTCTCTGCTTCAAGCTTCCCCCAAGAGTAGATAAGGTGCAGAAGCTGAGATTCTTATTCTCAGCCTACACTGCATAAAAATTCACACTCTGACAACTACTACTATGATTGTCAATACCTGAATGTTTTCTCTACAGTTGAAGCTAGTTAACCCTCGGCGCGCATGCGCAGCGAGGGTTACTGCTGTCTGTCTGTACTGTGTGTCTGTTACTCCCAATCTCACTTCTCGGGTGTTTGTTCATTTCACAAAGGATACCACCTACTTAACGGGCAATTAAGGTCAGAATTTTCGAACAGTTTTCTCTGAAACTGCTCCGTTGCAAAGCTAGAGCGCGAAAAGGTCAATATGCAAATACACAACGGACGGGATGGCTTACCACAGTCGGATCGATCCGCGTGCTCTGCGTACTTCGGAGGCACCAGAAGATGCAACGCAGGACGTAAATCGCCTCTCGCATGCTATCTATATAGCAGTGTAGGGTCGTACAGAACTTCGCGTAAAGGGGTCTGATTCAATCATGGGACGATTTTACGCGACTTACCCCATGATTGAATCATGGCACGACTTTACGCGACCTACGCCATGACATACAGGACGCCGCTGGCCCTCTGCAAGTGTGCGCCGGCCAAGATGGAGGTTGCGAAGCAGCCGTCCATGCTATGCGTCAATTTTTCGCGGAACCGGAAGTACATGGGGCTTTGCTAGTCGATGCCTCCAACGCCTTCAACACCATCAATAGACAAGCAACCCTACACAACATCAAATCAATTTGCCCTCCCCTTTACCAGATTCTCGTGAACACATATAGAGCTCCAGTAAGATGCATCATCTGTGGCGACGGGGAGATCACCTCTTCGGAAGGTACTACACAGGGGGACCCGCTAGCCATGGCCATGTATGCGCTAGCTGTGAAACCACTGATTGAGGAATTGAAGTCGGATGCCCCCGGAGTGAAGCAAGTCTGGTACGCGGACGATGCCACAGGTGCCGGCACCTGTGATGACCTAAGAAAGTGGTGGGACAGTCTGCAAGTACACGGCGCCAGATATGGATACCATCCTAACGCTTCCAAAACCCATATCGTAGTGAAAACCGAGCACGCAGTGAGGGCCAGGGAGTTGTTTGCCGACACTGATATCAACATCACTACCGAGGGCAAGCGGCATCTTGGAGCGGTTGTTGGCTCTAGATCTTATACCGAAGAATATGTGGCAGGCAAGGTGGAGAAATGGTCGGAAGATATAGATATAAAAAAGCTAGCCCATATTGCCCAGACACAACCTCATGCCGCTTACAGTGCTTACACTCACGGTCTCTCGAGTCGCTGGTCCTTTCTGTCTCGAACCATCCCTGATATCGCTGACCTGCTAAATCCACTGGAGGAAGCTATGCAACAACATCTGATCCCAGCCTTAACTGGTCGCCCACCTTGCTCAAAAGAGGAGAGGGAGCTGCTAGAGTAAGCGATCGACCGGCGAACTGATCTATTTTCGAACAGCCATAACTTCTTTCGCATACCATGTAGAATAGCCAATCATTTTGCACCTTGTAGTTCATTTAGAGCTTAGTTAACGTACCAAGTTAGATCCTGGACCGCTTCACCACCGTCGTGTTACAGTGGTCCGAACACTAGCGTTCGAAGATCGAAAAAATCGCACGATCGCGTCAATAAGCGAACACCGCCCATATATTCCGCTGTGAATGACGTAGCGAAGCGAAATAACGGATGAAAATCCCTATCAGACCAAAACTTCTGTTATCACCGTGTTACGACCCGGCAAATTTAGCAATCTCGCGCTTCAATTAGCGAACATATCGCGCGCTGCGCGTTGCGGTTATTAAAGGGAACAAAAAGCATTACATACAACTACAAATGTTGCACAGCCAATATGTCGGGGTTTTTTTGGCCTTTAACACACATGAGAAATGGTACCATTTATTACATAAAACTAGTCGGCATCAATCATTGAAACCACAGGCTTATGGGGCTCCCTTTTGATGTATTGTGGATTGTACTTTATAAAAGGCTAGTCTACAAAGACATATCAAGTTCCCACTTACATCTTAGAGCTGAGATGAAAACGGGGAAACACGACCAGCAGCCGCCTATCCCAAATAAAGCACCCAGCAGCAAAAGCCGGCCTCTCGCGGCCCGTTCGCCGCTATCCGAAATTATTGCGTGCGTTCGCTAATTGAAACGCGCGGTTGGTATTTTCGCGTCGCCTGTAATGCTGGCGTGTGTGACCTATTAAAATCCTCGTGTTATTGCTTTTTCGCAGGTATAAGTGGCAGATTTAATTCCCGCTGTCCGACCCCTGTCCCCTGTGTAGAACTGGATTTCTGGGCTCCGTTCGTTGGATGAGTCATATGTGCGATATTTGCGGTCTTCGAACGCTAGTGTTCGGAGCACTGTAACACGACGATAGTGAAGCGGTCCTGAATCTAACTTGGTACGTTAACTAAGCTCTAAATGAACTACAAGCTGCAAAAAGGTTCGCTATTGTAGATAGTATACGAAAGAAGTTATGGCCGTTCGAAAATAGATCTGTTCGACGGTTGATCGCTTACTCTAGCTCTGCCAGTACGCCTCGGCGGAATGGGAATTACCAACCCAGTATCTACATCACATCGCAACTTTGAGGCCTCAACGAGACTAACATCACCCCTAGTTGCTACCATCGCCACCCAAGATCAGGACCGATTAGTGGACATATCAGAAGTAAAGGCCTCAATACGACGATCTAATCGCGAATATCAGGCGCAACAAGCCGAGTCTGTTCACGGCCACCTCTCTCCACAACTGAAACGCCACGTTGACCTTGCTATGGAGAAAGGCGCTTCCTCGTGGCTATCAGTCCTGCCACTTGATGACCACAATTTTTCCCTCCACAAGGGTGCGTTCAAAGATGCAATTTGTTTGCGATATGGCTGGAAGCTGCCGAACACCCCAACCAACTGATCATGCCATTATCTGCCCCAAGGGGGGCTTCCCTACAATTTGACATAACGAGCTGCGTGACGTAACGGCCTCACTGCTCTCGGAAGTATGCCATAACGTTGCCACCGAACCCGACTCCAACCTCTCAGCGGGGAATCCCTGACCCATCGCACAGCCATCACTTCTGATGATGCCCGTCTAGACATCCACGCAAGAGGATTCTGGTCTGCTGCTCAAGATGCATATTTCGACGTAAGGGTTTTTCACCCGAATGCACCGAGTAATTGATCAGGATCCTTATCTGCGGCCTACAAGAAACACGAGGACATCAAGAAACGGGCTTATGGCCAACGTGTTAGGGATGTGGAGTGTGGGGTCTTCACACTTCTTGTGTTCTCCACCACTGGGGGGATGGGACGAGAAGCCACAACCTTCTACAAAAGGCTGGCGGACATGCTCGCCCGGAAACAACGGATGCCATACCCCGTTGTCATCAGTTGGCTAAGGTGCAAGCTATCCTTTGCCGCTGTCCGATCATCCATCATGTGCATCCGCGGGACTAGATCGTCCATCAACAGACCATTACGGGACGCTGACATTACCCTCGCAACATCCGAGGGTGGCATCCCTCAGGATGAATAGAACTGTTCCTCATGTTTTTCATTCACCCACTCATTCCCCCTTATTTTCACCCTTCCTTGTAACTGACTTGTTTTTGCATCGTCTAAACAAAACCTAGTATGCGCATACGTACGTACGCGTGTGGAGAATTCATTGCGCATGCGCACCAGGAAGAGAGTAGGGCCGGGAACAAGTACACCCAAAATTATGGCTGGGCTCATAAAGACAAACAAGAAGGCTGTGCATGTGGCATCACATGGTCTATTGTTACATGTGTGAATTATGATCACTGTATCGCACTCAGTGCGGGTTCAGCACCTCGTTAAAAGGCATGGGCGAATTGGTTGAAAAGAGCGGGAAACACGTCGAGTCTAGTCTAGTTGCGTTCGAGTTCGCGATGCCTCGTCACAGACGCTCTGTTGTGTTTTTCTGTGTGTCATTGTACTCACCCCCCGTTCTTATCTGAACGCTCCAAGTGCACCCACGGCAAAGGTGGCCGCCGCAGTTGGAGCAGTTGTTCATAATTCACACATGCACAACCTTCTTTGTGTTTAGCCCAGTCCTCATTGTTCCCTACCCTCCTTATGGTGCGCATGCGCAATGAATTCTCCACACGCACCGCACGCGTACGTGTACGTACGCGCACACTAGGTGGGGGTGTGTCGCGTCGCTCGGCACTCTCTGCGTGCGCGAGTAAAAAGGTTGCAGAGTAGGGGACAGGAGTTACTCTGGCATGATTTTACGTGAGGTCAAAGGTCTAGAGTGACGCAAAAGCCTTGCAGAGCAGTTGTGTTCTCGGGCGTATTACTCTGGGGCGGTTTTACGTGAGGTCAAAGGTCGCAATCCTGGGGGGCGCCCCGCTTTTTGAGGATCATTACCAAGTCGCGTAAAACCGTGCCACTGTAAGAGCATCCCTTTCTACTAGACGGGGTTTTACGTGGGTTGCAACCTGCGTAAAACTCCCCCATGATGGGATCATGGGGTAGGTCGCGTAAAGTCGTGCCATGATTCAATCATGGGGTTATTTGACTTTCTCATACTTGTATAATATACATTTTTTTTGTTTTTTTTGTTTTTTGTTTTCTGTTTGCTTGCTTTTGTTGTTTTTTTGGTTGTATTTCTAGCTATACATGTTTTATGTCTGTATGCATGTTTTCTTTTTATTTTATTTTCCGTTATTTATTTATTTATTATTGTATAAACTGAAACAAAAAATCATGGGGTAAGTCGCGTAAAATCGTCCCAAGAATTTTTTGTATTTTTTTAAATTTATTTATTTTTTAAAAGAAGAAAAAAAACAACGTATATACATGTAGCTAAACTACAAGATCAACAACAAGAAACAAAAAAACAAAAAAAAAACACAAAAGAACAACAAAACAACGCAAAACAACACAGAGTCAAGCATTTACACCCCTTTTACGCGAAGTTCTGTACAACGCAGTGTAGTTAGCCCGCGTCAGACTCTGCGCGAGCTGGGAAAAGACCACGAGTGACAGCTAAACTAAACCCAGCCCATAAATTAGTGGTACGGCGCATGCGTTTACTTACGCGTGCGAGTCACAGTGCGCCGAGGGTTTTCACTTCAGTGCTTTTCGTCTGTCTGTGTGTCTGTTACTCTTCATCTCACTTCTCGAGTGTTCTTTCGTCTCACAAAGGATACCACCTACCGAACGGGCAATGAAGGTCAGAAATTTTGAACGGTTTTCTCAAACGCTCCGTTGCAAAGCTAGAGCGCTTCAACCATTGTACGGCTAATACGTAGTCGGCCATTTTTATCGCTGCGCATGCGCTTATATTTAGCACAGGACCGGGTCTGCTTGCTCTGTATTTTGAAGGCACAAGAAGTCACAACGAAGGGCGTGTATCGACTCTCGCATGCTAATCTACCACTGTAGCTAGCCCGTGTCAGACTCTGCGAGCTATTATACTAGCGGGAGACCGCGCATACTAATATACCGCGCATGCGCAGTTCGCCGAGGGTTTGCACTTTTGCAGTGCTTTTCTAAACAATATCAGTAAAAATGTGCATACATAGAAATGTGATATGGTTCGGGTACTTAGCCAAAATTGATCTGATAACGCTAAGTCATCTGCTTAAATTTACATCTGTGATATATCTTGCGAAAGTCAAGGAAGAACACAAAATAAACACAAGGGAACAGAGTGATTGACATAGCACTGAGAATAAATGTTAGCTTTTCCGCCTGTAACTTATAAAGACCACTCTTTGGGCATTGTGCCTCCATCCCTGCTCTTTCACAAAGAAAGTAGTCCAACACTTGTTTATGTTGACTGGATAAGACAATGTTTAGGGTCGTCAGGATAAAAAGTGTGTTAATGAAGAAGTAAGAAATTAGGATGAGAATTTTGACTTCAGATGCTCTGATTTTATAATTCTTGGTTTTATCAGAAAATCTATAAAGCTAGAAAGAGAAATTGATAATACTTATGAAACTGTGAGAACAGTGCAGCTACTGACCACATTGGCCATATTCCATAGTGTTGATACTAGCAGGAGGACACCAATAATCAGTGTCAGGTCAACAGGGAGAATCAAAGTGTAAAAAAATATTTTAGGAGTTATCAACCCACAGAGTGGGGATGAAGGTAAACTTAGCACAAATCCTCCACTGAGTTGCACAGTCACCACAAAAACGAGTGGTAGAATGATGCTTGAAACTACTGCAACTATGTGGTAGTATTTTATTCTCTCTGAAGTCTTTTCAACTGAGTAGTGGTAAGGCCAGGTCACACCCCAGAATATGGTTGCACAGTGAAACAGCCACAAAATTAGTATTGCCAAGAAACTATACATTGTTATCGCACCTAACAAACATGAAAAAAATTATATCAGATCATTCCAATAGAACGAGAAGTACCGTTTAGCTGGCAGAAAATTGTTGCCTTTCTGTGAGCTATATTTTGTAATAGGTTAGGTGAGCTGCACAACATATCCTTGGGTAGCAGGGGCTGACAAACACCCAGAAGCATGATAAAAATTCCATAGATTATCTGATAGATCATTAGCACAGTTGGGTAGGTAAAACTGCATAAATGACATGTTGAAATATTTTTGTGGAGGGTAATTTTTGCTTACTATTTCTTCCAGTTGAGGCATGCCAGGACAAGCACACCAACACCAGCCACAAGACCAATGATAGCGGTCGCCACATATAAGACACCAAGAGTTATGGTAGTAGTACTAGAGAAAGGGGTCCACACTCCACATTGAGGCAGACATGTTAGAGTTTTGAGGTTCAGGTAGAACATGTCACTGCATGTTATATTATCTTTTCCTGACAGGGTTCCGTTGGAAAATTAAACAAATGTGTTTACAACTTATTGCTAACCTTCAGTGTGCTCATTACTTGTGATGGTGTCAATGGACTATAAAAAGCAGATAACAGTGATCATTATTTAGCTATGTCACAAGATTGGGACAAATGGTTTCTAATTTCTGCAAGTCAGTGGCCTACACAATTATTCAAATCCCTGTGTTGGGGCAGGAATATGAAAATGACTGTTTCATGGGCTGCACCTCATGCAGTATGAGTTTTTCAACCACACCCGCTCATTTCCTTATTGAACTCTGATTGCCATCGATGACAAGGGTGGTGGGCTTAGGCAGCTTAGAAATCAGAAGAAAAGCATTCAAATGTGGACCTACTTCAGTGAGCTTGAACAACTGAAAGTGAAAGTGCTGATAATGGTTTACTTCTTCCAAATCAGTTTCAACTCTCATCACCATCTAATTAGAAGTGTGTTTCAAGCATAGAGCAAAACAGGATCTATAATCAGTCCAGGAAATGTATTAGAGACACTTTGGAAAGGTATTTGACATTATCCACAACTGAGAAACCAAACTAGCTGGACAATGTGTAGGGGGTTGAACACCTATGTTGCTTGGTATTCAAGGCACGCCAGGCTCTTGCTCTCAGTCCAGGCTCAGTGCTTGCTTTCTATGTACAAGGAGTGTGAGGAGTTATTATTATTAGGGAAAGTGATACAGCAAATTATTTTAAAGCACAATTCATGGACCATCACATTGGCATATTTGTACAATCATGAATATTATTCGGAATTGGTGTGGAAATACTCTCCTTCATTATTATACTGGCAAAGAAGAGTGACTGAAGCACTCTTGATTATCTGGAAGTTGAGTTATATCTAGCAGCCAGCACTACACAAAATGTGATACTTGTTTACATCATTACGATGTAAATTCCTTCCCGGTTATCAATTAATTTGTAACAGCATTTAATCGTCAGGTTTATCACATTCAGTTGCACTAGTTCACTGAAGAAGGACCACGGACAAAGAAATCAGAATGATATATTACTTACTGATGTTTATGCACCATGTTTAGGTCTGCACAGAAATTGCCTTCTACATAATAATTATACAGCTAGATCTTTACAAACATTCATGTAAAGATGCCTAGCTGTGTGTAGAAGGCAATTTCTGTTCAAACAAAAGTCTTGGGCAGCGTTATAATTATGTTTGTAGCAAACTCACTCACATAGTTTCCATATTCAGTAACCGAATCTCTGAGAATATAAGGCAACAGTGGAAGTAGTAGCACTACCATCACTGTGAGCAGAATAGCCACCAACACAGAAACTGAAATCCACCTCCATGCTAGCAGTTTTCTTCCGTTCTCCATAAGGCTTGTCATAAACGCCTGCATAAGCCAACATTTGGTTTACATTTAGTCTTGGCCAAGGTGCTTCCTTGATTGCTTAGTGTGTTCATACAAGCCAGATCCACCCACAAAACAACTGCACATGCACCCACCAGAGTATTTTTATTGTCACAATACTCTATGCACATGGAAGAATATTCTATCCATAACTGATAGATTGTCCTTTATTTTGGGTAGTGAGATGTGGGAGGATAAATTTGGTTCTTTTGTTAAAGGTTTTATTTTGAATGTTTGGGAGCTAAGAAAGGGTAGGTTACACGGCGATAATCCCAGCGTTCAACAGACCCAGTCTCAGATTGCGTCTGGGGAGATGCAGGGTGTCGCTGGTGGAAGGGGTGAGTTGAGGTGTCTGGGAGGTGAGACAGACACCTCATGTTCAGTGTATGTTCGTTTGTTAACGGTTCCGCCCAGTGCTCTTGGTGTGTGGTCTATGGCCCTAGTGCTACAAGTGGAAAAATCATTTCTTCAAAATGAAAGGGGGATATAGGGATGGCTTGAAGCACCAAAAAGGAAGAAACAAGGGGTCATTACACAGCAAAGATGCACAAAGCTACATGACACCATCCCTATATCTTTGTTTTATTGTTTATAAGCAAAGTTTAACAACAATAATATAACAACAAAGATATAGGGATGGTGTCATGTAGCTTTGTGCATCTTTGCTGTGTAATGACCCCTTGTTTCTTCCTTTTTGGTGCTTCAAGCCATCCCTATATCCCCCTTTCATTTTGAAGAAATGATTTTTCCACTTGTTTCCACTATTTTTAACAGCTTATGACAACACTGCATTTATTGTTAGAGTCACTCTGGGTATGTTGTAGATAGGCTACCATAGACAAATTGTAACTGTTGAAAGTAGTAGCTAATGGGGCTGCTAGTGCCTGAAGCAGGGGCTAGATACCGCATGTATTGTCTTCAACAAGGATGTATTATTATACTTAGATTATTGCACATGGTTGTGGTTTCATGGGCAGGCTTTGGTAATCAGGCTACAACCTGGGGGGGGGGGACAAACAATGAAGGCCCATTTTACTGAACGCCCCGCAAGGCTCGCGTAACACCGCGCAGACTCTGGCAAGTTGCTCTTCGTGCACATCAACAGCAAGATAGCCAGTTGGAAGTGTGCTCACTTACTTACAGAAGGTACTGGAGGCTGAGAGTTCTTCTGCAGGTCTGCCAACTCGCCTGGTAATACGCTGCATTGGACAACGCCCCTTGTTCAGGTCGACCGTGGAAGAGCTCCATGATCTACCGTAGTGACTAGCGGCAATAAATAAACGATCGCTTGATGTCCGTGCACACCTCCGGCGAAATTGGAGACCTTTAGTGAAAAAATCAGTGCTTGAACTGGTAATGAGATAGCGGGTTTAAAGAAGAAGAATATGATGACACGAAAATCGTGAAATCGCGTATGAGCGAATTTTCGCGTGGACGACTGAAGGTGCGTATGAGGTCTTTGGGAACATGTATAGGTAGATATGGGCCCGTAAGTATGTTTTGAAGGCCTAGGGAGTGATTCTCACCGAGTTTTTAGTCGTTTTGTACGCGGATCACGTGAGATTTCACCCGTGTCATCCCTATATAGAGAGTCTACCGACTCTCTTAAGCCACCTGATAGATTGTCATGGAATGAAAAACTAGGGGAACATAGGTACATCGAAGAAAAACACATTTAACCTTTCTTGCAGAATCTAAAGGTGAAAAGGTATTCCTTGCCCTTGCCATGTGTTGTAGATTTGAGCCCCTGGCCAATTGAGCTGACCTGTCCTCTGAACAGATAAGAGTGGGCTTGAATCCCACCAGCTGGGATTATCAATCCCAATCTCACCTCCCTCAACAACCCATTGATAAATACGGAAAACAAAATTGGAGATAAGCTACATCCCTGAGCTACCCCCTGTTCCACATCAAATGCCTCTGACCGTTCCCCATCCAACAATACAGCACTCTTTGAATACTCGTACATCTTCTTTATGACCCTCCACATCTTCCCTCTTACCCCAAATTCCCATAACTTAAACCACAGGCCGTTACGCCACACACTATCATATGCCTTCTGCACATCTAGAAAGAATGCATGTCTCCTTCCCCTTCTTGTGTCCTCCTGCACGAGTTCATTCAGCGTATATACACACCCCTTCAAACCCTAAAACAAGCCTGGCCCTCATGCAATGCCTTGCCCTCGTCCAGATGCTTCACCAACCTATTGTTCAATACCTTACAAAAGACCTTCCCAACCACACTCAGCAGAGTGATGCCCCTATAATTCCCAGGATCGACGGAAACACGTAAACGGGAATTCCTCTTTACTATATGCTTACCTATTGAATGCGGCCGGATGCATGCGCGCGCGTAATAACACGGACTTGTTATGAGAATACGGAGATTGAAATTTGACACCGGAAGTTCAACTTTAGACGCGATTTTTCACTTTCGCGTGTGCTCATAACTTCGCAACCGAACGGGCTACGCCCCAGAGACAAACGGCAAACTATAAAGGACTTTCGGTCTAGCGCACAAAATATATTTCGCGAATTTGCGCCATAAGGGTCGTTTTCTCAGAGCCTGTCATTAATTTAGTGTAAGTTCTGAGTATTGTAATGGTGAATGTTTAATACTTCACCTTGGCAACATTGTGTGATGGGGTTAGGGGTGTCAGCGTACTCAAATCTGTTCATTAACCATACTCAAATCTGTTCATTAACCACAATTGGTTAATGAACATATTTGAGTACGCTGACACTCCTAACACCATCACACAATCCCTATATTGTTGCCTAGGTGAAGTATTAAACATTCATCATTACAGTACTCAGAACTTATATACAATACACTACTGAGTAACCAACACCCTTATAGAGTCCAAGTGGAGTTTAATTAAAGGGAATGGTGTAGTATAAATACAACAGGGCCGGTGAAAGAATGCTTGCTTCTAGTAACCTTTAGCCCCTATAAAAGTAGCACACCAGGCAACAATATAGGGATTGTGTGATGGGGTTGGGGGTGTCAGTGTACTCAAATCTGTTCATTAACCAGGCTTCATGTATCCCATCCCTATCATGTCTCCCTTTCTTTTTATACCATTCCTATATGCCTCTTTTTTAAATTCGCAGGATTTAACAGCAGTTAGCCCATACATGTATTATATATACATGTTCCCCACTCATTGACAATATACACATGTAATAATATGAAGCTATTAGACCATTGTGATGCCAAGAGAAAAAAGATGGGAGCTCTGGACAGTTGTTTCGGCCCTGATCAGCAGAGCATACCGCAATTCTCTCTCCGGCATCGCGAGTTTATAAAGGCTACCAGGAGCGCAGCACTTGTGGTTCTGAACTCATCCCCACAAGGCTTTGCCACTGGTATGTGCTGCTGACCATGCCCAGACATTCGTGGTTTGGAGCCTAGGCCCCTCCTGGTCAAGGCCAGCACCGAGCCAAAACGCTAACTCGCAATCTGGCGTGCGGATATGTACATGTACCACTAATTGTTTTTCACTTTTTCACGCACACACATACAATTAATACTTGTGTAATTAGTTTGATCTGTGCATCTTGAAGGCACTAGAAGTCACAACGAAGGGCGTGTATCGACTCCCGCATGCTATCTACTACCATAGTGTAGCTAGCCCGTTTCGCGAGTAAACGCATACTAAAAGCCCAGCCATCAATTAGTGTTACCGCGCATTCCCAGTTCGCCGATGGTTTCGCTTTAGTGCTTTTCATTTTCAAGTAACTACAACACGGACTAGAAACCAATGTCAAAGTTTTTTCAACAGTAGTGATTAAAAAGTTTCAATCGTATATACTTAATCTTGAGCTAACTTGTCTATTGATGACAACTGAAAATATGTATGAACTTACCTTACATAGATGCAAACAAACCCTAGTGAATTGGTTTGGACGTTTACATGGGTACTTTTCCTAGCTTTTGCATACGTATCACATGAGATTTGGAAGACAGAAATTAGTAAAGACACGCTTAGCTACAACAGTGATATTTGCAACAAACTGTATGGACCACCTTCTAATGAGAGTGGTGACTAATTTCCTGAGCTTTTGCTGTGTGTATAATTGGTTTATGTACGTTACATATTATATGTGGAAGCCTTTCACCCAGGTGCAGTTGAACCTGTTTGAAGCATAGTGAATTGATGCTACCTGTGCTCTGTGCTCTTGCATGCTTACCTCCCCTTAGGAGGTAGAGTAACACAAATTATGTCGGATGAGAGCTTTGTTTAGTTTTTCACACATTCACACAGGGAAGCTCTGGATTCTAGAGGCTATACTCTAGGCTCTCTACTGTAGTTTTACAGCTCGTTTCACCAAAGGGATTCTAGGTTGTGTGATGAATCAGGGTCAGTCTTATTGACTTTACTCACACCAATAGCTAAAGTTGTAGGTAAGAGAAGATGACAATCGCAGATGTGCAAATCCATAGCTTTCCTACATAGATTTACACACTAGGGTGTGATTACCTTTTGGTAGAGAAATACCCGCAAAGAAATATGGAATGCAGAGAATTGGTTGTTCAGAGTGATGCAGATCACCTGCCTAATGCTTATGCTACATGTGTCATAATGACTTAATGAGCAGAAAAGGAAGATGGCAAGTGGGAGAAATTGCCTTCTAGACAGTATTTACATGTGTACACCACGGTGATAATTGAAACAAAGTGTATGTATGGCCACCATTTTTACTCAATGCTATGGAGATTGCCTTCAAACTCTCTGAGCTTTTATAATTGGCTCATGTACAGGTCGAATCCTTTCACCATGAGGCAGTTTACTTTGTAGCATGGGAATCTAGGCATAGTGCAGGGCATAGTATTTATTTTCTATAGCTTATATACAGGAGCTCTGGGCTGATTGAGGCCAATGGCTTAGCCAAAGATGAGTAGAGATGCCCAAACAATTTGCATTGATATATAGCTGCAGTTAGGAATGGCCAATAGTCACCCCAAGAGTATATATAAAACAGTGCAGCAGGGAACAAGCAGCCACATCGGAGGTCCCTCTACAAAGATCCCTATGTCAATGTAACCTCAGTTTAATTCCAAAATCAGCTCAACTGAAAAAGTCCTATAATACTGTTTGCAGAGTGATGGAGGAGGGGAACTCTGCATAATTATTATATAGCTACCAAGAAGCTTAAAACGTAATAATTTGCAGCGACAAATGTTAACAACATCATTGTTTTGTTTACGACAGTAATATTCTGTGAAAAATATTAACATGGCATTTACAATTGCAGCAGGACCTTTTGTCACAATATTAACGGGCAATTCAAAACATTGGAGGTGACCATTATGCTATGGCAGTAATAATGAATCAATAGCTATCTTTCATGGTGTTTACAACTGAGGTTTAGACATTGGTATATACATTTATATAGTCAAATTTTGTGAACAATTTTCCCAATTGTTACAGAAAATTGAGAAAATTAGCATGGCAGAGTCAATAAGTCATGGCAGAGTCAATAACTATGTAACCTCTTTCCCATTGTTCATTGTCGTCTATGC